TGAATGTGATATTTGATAAATGATGTTCTCCTAGCCGATTCCGGCCACGGCGACCAATCTCATCGAGACTAGCCAACTGCGCAGGAGATATTATAGTGCTCTAGTGTACGCGCAGACACAAGTGCACTCTCTATTCCTGTCACTCTCATACTCCGGTGGGACGACTTCTCGACACGACCAGTGAGAGTTAAGGCGTAGGACCGACGGCTTTACGTGCTCTCCGAGGCACGGGGGTGAAACACCGCCAACTTCCCAACTCCGGGCTGTTACTGAGACTTACTATACAGAAAGACTCAATAACTAAACTTGGCCCGACCCGGGACTCGAACCCAGGACCTCCGGTGTGACCCTCACCTCACACCTCAGTGTGTTCAGGGTGTGCAGCCGTACGTGCTAGCCACTACACCACCGAGGCAGTTAGTTAATATTTGATAAGCGTTAACAATACAACATATACTGTAAACAATTATGTGTACAAAACCAGTTTTTATAAACAAAAACCTATTTACAGGAGGAAGCTATATTTTGAGTCATTTCCCAAGTTCCATCACCACGTTCGGTAGTTAGTATGGATGACGCAAATGCACAAAGAAACTCAAAGCGTCTATAATTTTTGTATATTTCAAAATAAAACGTACGAATTAACACGTCATTGGACTAGTAATGGGCATATTTCTTGTTTACTCATTTAAAGTCAAATATGGATTGCGTCCTTTTTTGGTAATTTTTAATTATTACCAATGTACTTACTATAATTTATACACTATTCAAGTTATATTTAATTGACCGAGTACAACTAATTATAGGAATCGAACTCTGAATAAGGTTTTGGTGGTTATCTCTACTAATATTATAAAGAGGTAATCTCTGGATCTACTGAACCAGTTTAGATGAAATTTGATAAAAAGATAGTTTGAAATGAAAAAAATGAAAAAACTTTTTACCCCCGAAATAATTCCTTATGGGGGTGAAAATGGGTATGAAATTTCGTACGAGGAATCAAGCTAGGGACGAACCCGAGCGAAGTGAGGGTGAGTCGCTAGTGTAAGATATATGGGTAATAGGGCGGTATTTTTCGGCGTTCGCGTTCCCGTTCCCGATCCCGTTCCAGTTACCGTTCCCGTTCCCGTTCCCGTTACCATTCCCATTCCCGGTACCGTTTCCGTTGCCGTTGCCGGTCCCGTTCCCGTTCCCGTTCTTCTCCACCACCACCTCCTCCTTCTCCTCACCTTCTTCTTTGTAATAAAACACTATACGTCGGCAGGAACTTAAACGACTGTCTTCAATATTTAATTTATAAAAATACATAGCACAGATTAAGGAAACTAACAATATTTATTTTAGAAATGTGTCACAAGATGACGCTTGTAGATCCTATATTTTGATATATACAACATTCTTCTTCTTCTTCTATTACAAATTTATCTAACGGCAATAATAATTAAAGTAGTAAATTAGTAGTAACGGGTCTGTTAACAAGATAGTTTTATTTATTCTAATAATCTCACACAGCTTACTCAGATCTTTATTCAGCGAACGGACGCAGTTTCACTATAGATGCTTATTTATTTTTATATTTTATTTGTGAAATGTTTTCTATTTTGAAAATATTACGAAATCTGGTCTGATTTTATTTTATAATTAAAGAAATCGATAGTTCTAAGAGTAATAATAGGCAAAAAATCGAATATTTTGTCTCTGCAGCTCATCTTACTGAGACTAGCCGTCTGCGCAGGATATATTATAGTGTACAATGGTGTGCATATACAAGTGCACTCTCTATTAGTTTTCACTCTCAAATTCTCATGAAACGATAATAATTAGGGCGCAAAATTTTACGTGCTTTCCGAAGCACATAGGTGTAACACCGCCAACATCCCAAATTCAATAAAACTTGGCCCTAGGACTCGAAGCCAGTATCATCGGATCTGCAGCCGTACACCATCCACTAGACTACCGAAGCAGTTTCGCATTTATAAATGTAATATGATCACCTTGTAGTGGGGTTTTTCCACTCAACTATATTGTTAACTTTTCTTTTGTTTATCCGTAAATTGCGAAAGCTGAAGTTGCGAATTTTGAGTTTAAATAGGTGCTTAAAACTACATTCAAAAAAATTTGTTAAGTTTTAAAAATATTGTATATGAATTATGAAATATGTACTTAGAAAACAATTAATATTGATAAAGAGCGTTTATTATTTTAAAAAGTTCTGAATAAATATGTGGAAAACCCTGTTTTTATAAATGTACGTGCATATATTTTTTAATGGGTGATTACGAATATGCAAACGAATTATATTACACGCATATATTTACTTACAATGTGTTTATATTTAAATTTATACTTTTGTTGTTATTCTTCCGGTTCAATTTAATTGATTTTTTAATGATATTTACCAATTATTATCTTATAAATATTCATTAATTCTATTTAACCCTTTTTCGTCCCAATGTTAAGAAAGGCCTTAAGGAGAATCAGGCTATAGTATACTATACTGACAAAGTGCTGGTTAGCAGATTTCACAGGTCTTTTGAAAACTTGATAGGTACTATAGGTATCAAAAATACAGTTGTCCTCACGATATATTTTACCTTCACCTGGGGATTGAACTCGCTTCATTGGGTTTTCCAAGCGAACGCGCTACGTTTTTACTGGTTTACCACAGCCTCTTTCAACAATACTGTAAACTTTTCTTCTATGTATAAGTAAATAATTACAAATGTAATAAATAAGTAAATAATTACAAATGTAAAATTTAAAAAACCCCCTTCGCAAATTAATTATCATTTAACGATTACACTGGCACGCGTGAAGCACTTAATCGAGTAATCACAAACATAGATAAGAACCACCGCAAAGAAACTGGCTTTCAAATGTTTTCATAAATATATATTATAAGCCGCATCGAAATCGGTCCATCTGTTCGAGACCTACGATGCCACAGACAAACACACATACACACACACACAGACAGACATCGACGTCAAACTTAGAACACCCTTCTTTTTGCGTTGTGGGTTAAAAATCAACCTGAAGCAATTAATAGCCTTCCAATAGGAAGAGTTGCAAATATCATTAAATGTATTATTTAATTTAACAGGAACTCTTCGTAATGCTGCTTAATGACTTTAATGAACCAATGAATAATTAATTAATGTACATAATTAATGTATTTAACACAAAAGTATGAAAATGATTTTGAAGTATAAATTTATTCTGGGTCATTATTTTATTCTGGACAAAAGATTTACAGCAATAAATTTAAATGAATGGTAATGTTATTATGTATTACAATTATATATCTATACATATAATAAAATTGTAACTAAACCGAATCTGTACATTAAATATTTTTTGGGAAATCTTATTGAAATAGACATTATTATCGATACAGAGGCCGAATCTATAGTTTTTAGAATTTGTGTCTGTCTGTCTGTCTGTTACCGCATCACAGAAAAACCACTGGAGGGATTTTGATAAAATTTGGTATGGTGATAGCTGATTATCCGGGTCAACATATAGGATACTTTTTATCACGGTAAAATGTCTCATTTCTGAGTAAAAATACAAAAACTGCAATATAAGAGTACCTATACTAATATGTAAAACCTAGGAATTTGGTTATTGGTTATATGAACGCGGGCGGAGCCGCGGGCAATGCTAGTCTATACATATAATAAGATTCTGTGTAGAATCTTTACATTCAATATTTCTTTGGAAAATCTTATTGAAATAGTCATTATTATCGATACAAAGGGCGAACTCATAGTTTTAAAAAAAATCTCAAACATACAGTAAAAAAACATTCATTCATGTAAAGTATTTAAAAAAGTAGGAAACTACTTTTTTTAAATGGTTCAAAACCTTATTAATTATTCATAAAGATATCTACTGAGACGATTTTATTTACACAAGCCATTCTTTGTGTAAATGAAATCGTCACAAAATTATTTATTTTATTTATTTATAAATACTTTATTGCACACAAGGATAATAAATGAAAAGAAAAAGTAAGATAACAAAAGGCATGCAAAGGCGGTCTTATTGCTATTAGCAATCTCTTAGAGTCAGCCTCTGGTGAAAGGATTAATGAAATCGTAAACAGGTCGGTACAAATACAGATAAGATATACATAAAATATATATATTTATGTAGGTATATATTACGAAAATATTTTGCTATAATTTTATATACATTTAATTTTTCAAATGCCTAAATATTCGTTTGGAAATATATAAGAAATAAAGCTTTTTATATATATGCATTAATATGTATATAAAAATTGTATATTTTTGAAATGGCTTACCTCTGCTAAAATTTCATCCTTGGCCACTGATATAGGTATATACTTAAGTAATAAATGTTTTTTTAGTGCTACGGCAAAGGTCTATATGAAAATACTATATTAAAATAATATAAATATAATTATAAACAATAAACCTACTTTACACGTTAAAAGTACATAGCATGTGACACAAATTGTTTTTTTTTGAATGGCCAAGAGCATACACAACATAATTTTCCGACAAGCAAATTAATATTCAAGCGGTTATATTTAAATCAAAGCTGTGGTATAGCTCTAACTTATCGTTTATCACGGAACTTATAATCAAATAAAATAAATTATAATCAATTATAGTTATAATCAATTATAGTTATAATCAATTATAATTATAGTCAAGATATCTTAAAGGAAATGGCCAACTTATATTAATAACAAATTAAACAAAAACCCCTCCTCTTTGACAGAAATCAAAGACCTTAAACTATTATCACGATCAACAATACAGGTCTTCTTAAAGTGGTCAGTTAACCACACAATTTAATGTCTTGGCCGCGCCAGTTGTCACTCAGACCCAGCAGCAAGTGTTTGTGTCGAATCTGTTAAATAATTTGTGTGAAGTGGAACAAAATGATTTCTTTAAATTAATGATTATACATTTAAATATAAGTGTAGTGTGTGGAAAAGAACATGTTATATAAAATATAGTTCAGATATGGCCTGGATTCTGCAGTGCATTTTGTTGGTTTCTCTGGTCAGTAATAGTTTATAGTCAAACATATTTACTTAAACAGCTCGCTCGAATCGTTGAATATAATAATTTTGATCATAAAATACTTTGCCAAGACCTTCGATGTCTGCGGAAATCCTTTTATAGGTGCTCCATTTCCTGTTTAACGTTCTTAAACGAGTAAGTAGAGTTCGATGACAATTAAGCATAAAATACGTATATTGTGTTTGATATTTTACGTATTTTATAAAACACAGTACTGGCATTATATGAAGCGAAACTCACCGTTATCTATATACAGTGTTTAATCAATTAGTAAATAGGTACTAACAGTTTTTGTTTATATATAACTTGCTATTTTTGGCTTTGCATTTTTATCTTCACGTTTTATTTTATTTAATTCTAGACGTTTTATACGTTTTGCGTGTAAAAGTTTATTCATTCAATATTATGCAGATATTAACATAATATAGTGAGATTAGACTAGTATCCATATATAATTGAGTGTTCATATGTATGTGTATATATATATATATATATATATATATATATATATATATATATATATATATATATGTATGTAATTTCTATAGTTAACATTCCCGCATAAAAATGAAGCTGTCAATGAAAATATTTAACTAACAGTTAATAATCAAATAATTAATTAAGCCGCAAGGTTAATCTCCTCAATTAGTTTCTAAAGCGACACATTGCGAAAGTAAAAGTGACTTTCTTTCGATATCGTATAACGTGTTAGAACGAGTTGTTTTGAATTGAAAACAAAATAAAATGACACTTTAGTGCTATATTGTCTGTTATAGCTATAATTAATGCTTACATAATAATGTGGTTAAATATTCCTAATCTCTAGCAAATAGAATACTTTGTATATAATATACTAGCGACTCACCGTCGTCGGTTTCTTGCTAGATATCTCAGAGATGAGATACTTCCCCGCAGTAAAATATATGCTATATGGTCATCCGGATTACCAGCTATCATCACACCAAATTTCATCAAAATCTGTCCAGTGGTTTTTTCGTGATACGTTTAGACAGACAGACAAAAATTCTAAAAACTATGGATTCGGTCTCTCGATAATAATGACTTTCAATAAGATTTTCCAAAAAATATTTTATATACAGATTCGACTCAGAATTTTATTATAAGTATTTATTATAGATTACATCTATTAAATCAAACTAGTATTGTGTATTCCAATTTCAACCAATTTAATATGTAATACAATCATTCACGAGTTAAACATACCTACACTCAATTCGTCAAAGAGTTTTGAATGGGAAAATCCTGTGTACATCATCCTTATTGTAAAGGCCTTAATGACAACATGCATAGGTACTGCCAAAACTATTCTACAACATAAAGGAGAGTAACGTTTTTATGAATGCAAATTTTTTGTCTTTACTTGTAAATAATATTGAAATATTTAAATATCCTGAGTTTTTTGATATGAGTTGTTTTGATTTAAAAAAAATGAATGTTTTTGATAATATTAAAATTTTAGACTAGCGGATGAGAAGGATAGGGATAGGCGAGAAGGATAGTATATCGGGTAAAGAGAAGTAAGGGAAGTACATATAGTCTATATCCTACTCCCCGGTCGCTAGTATGAAAAAGGATTCTCATTACTAATTATGTTCATAATAAAATAAAATTATATTTTATAATTATATAGTGTTGGGTCCCTAATAAAACTTCGAGATATTCCTTGCTTATATTCTTATATTCAGTACTTTTATAAACGTCAGTGAGTTACATAATTTATAATCATAATTTTCAGTATTACAAACAATCCGTGACCAATCACTACATGGTGCAAAAGCGCGGGAAAACAAATGAATTTTATTTTTTATTTTTTTACCCTTTTTTATTTTTTTTAAAACACATTCCTATCGGCCAAGATCACATTAGTAAATACCTTATACATAAATCATTACAAATTAATCAAATATATTATTTTCTATTAAAACATTCAATAAATAAAAATACAACCGTACAATAGCGAACGAAGCAACATATTTAAATTAATTTTAACATAAAATAATGTAGTATCTAATGGGACGCTTTGACTTTGTATATAATTGGCGGTAAAATAAAATTACAGATAACAAAAACAAATATTTCTCCTACGAAGATTTTATTATTGCTATGCAAAATGAAGACAAAACAACCGCTGGTTTTGGTCCAGCAGTCAACTGTCTTATACCTGTCTCAATCTGTATCTCTATTTACATGAAAAAGTTGAAATATCTTAATTTTATTTATAAAGTTGATAATATTCTGCATAATTGAAACAGTACAAGTACGTTTTTCATCTGTTATTGTAAACATTTGAGTTATTTATTAAATAAACGATAATTATTTACTTATTACTTTAAAGATATAGGTAAAACTCTTGAAACGTGAAGAATATAACAGTAAAGATATTTATTAATTTACTAGCGACTCATCCAAGCTTCGCTCGGTTTCGTCCCTAGCTTGCTTCCCAATACAAATTTTTATCCCCATTTTCACCCCCTTAAGGGATGATTTCCGAGATAAAAAGTATTCTATGTCCTTCCCAGGGTCTCAAACTATCTTCTTGCCAAATTACATCTAAATCGGTTCAGTAGATCCAGACATTACCCCCTATAACCACAAACTCACAAACTTTACCTCTTTATAATATTAGCTCTTTGTTTTCGTATTTAACGTTGAAACTAGTTTTCTTGGAACGATACCTCGTATTGCTTATAGATTTTTATGTACATGTGAAAATGAAGTATAAATAAAAAAATATTTTCCTTTTAAAAGACTGCATGGTATTTACCATGACATAAATGCAAAAATAATATAGAGACACATCTATACAGATAAATAAAATCGAAGTGTCTATTTGTAATGTCGAGATAAAAGCGTTTTACTAAATGCATATGAAATTATATACGGTACTTATATGAAAAACACTATTTTAAACATTTTGGTTTGTCTGTCTGTTTGTTCCGGCTAATCTTCGAAACGGCTGGACTGATTTTGACAAGACTTTCACTGCCAGATAGCTGATAGTATAACGACTTAGGCTACTTTTACTTTAGAAAAAGCATTAGGGTCCCGCTCAAAAAAATTAAAACGTACCTAGGGACGCACCCAAGCAAAGCGAGTATAAGTAGCTAGTTTCCACTGATATATAAATATCGTTAAAGGCATCATCTCTACTGTGGCAGAAATCGAAAATTCGCAAAGAATATACCTTTCAAAATATAACTTAAGCACGTTTTCCTTCTGTATTCGTACTATTGAGATAATTTTATTACAAAATATATATGTATGTCAGTAACAAACAAATATTTACCTAATACAGGTTTGCATTTAACGCGCTCGTTAGCGAGTATCGTAACACATAGTAGAAGCGACACTAGACCATTTAGCTACAAGGTCGTCATAGGTCTCCCCAAGGCCATGGTTGGATGATCATAAAGTATAATCAATGTAATTATTTATCGTGCATTCAAACGTTTACAAATATTATACATTGTACATTAATATTTTATGCTATTTTACATATAACAGAGTGCGCATTAAAACGGTAATTCATTAATATTGAATTTGTAAATATACTTTTGATTTGACTTGGCTTGCCGGAGCCAAAGTAGAAATGATTAATTTCATATGGTTCTAGGAGTCGTCTTAGTAAATTTACTTGAAGTACTATAGTAATAAATGTATATTGTATGTATATCTTTATCGTTTATCTACAGTAATATATTTTCATAACTTTATATTTTTAATACGGCGTTACGCCTTTGAGGCGTCTATAACCTTAGTCTCTGCCGTGACCATGATTGATGTAAAGCATTCGAAACGTCGGGAACCAAAAATCAAAATAAATTCGCGAAAAAATCCGAAAAGGTAGTTTTCATTAAAATGTCAAATATTCGCGTATATCTATGAAAGTTTCATATTTTTTTATGAAATTGAATTAAAAATGTGTGTATGTACCCACATAATCATCAAAATTTTAGTGTAAAAAAATGTATGTGTTAGACTGTGGTACAAATAAATTATTTAATATCGTTATGTTATTTATACGAGTATCTGATGATGATGTTCTCCTAGCCGATTCCGGCTACGGTGGCCAATCTCATTGAGACTAGCCAACTGCGCAGGAGATATTATAGTGAACAAGTGTACGCGCAGACACAACGTGCACTCTCTATTCCTGTCACTCTCATATTCCGGTGGGACGACTCGACACGACCAGTGAGAGTTAAGGCGCAGGACCGACGGCTTTACGTGCTCTCCGAGGCACGGGGGTGAAAGACCGCCAACTTCCTCACTCCGGGCTGTTACAGAGGCTTACTTATGCAGAAAGACTCAATAACTAAACTTGGCCCGACCCGGGACTCGAACCCAGGACCTCCGGGTGTGTAGCCGTACATGCTAGCCACTACACCACCGAGGCGAGTATCTACATACCTCATATATAATATAAATCGTTAGTTATTATTACTTTAGGTATTTCATGTCTAACGTTATACATAATATGTTATTAGTTGTAAACCCTATTAGCTTTTGCCCGCGGCCCCGCTCGCGTAGTTTATTTATTAAAAACGTCTCTGCTCCTGAGAATCAATGAATAATGTTAGAATATATCTTAGGGTCTTCCTTAATGAATTATAAAATGGAAAAAGAATTTTCCAAATAATTCCTGAGATTAACGTTCAAACAAACCAAAAGGTCTCATTATATTTATGTGTGTAACACGCACACAAATGTAGCGCTCGCGGATGTAGAATTTTTACTTACACTATAATACTCGTTTTTTTTTCTTTAATGGCTTAGACAGACGCAATACATTCTGCCAGTGTCTTGTATTGTGAGGAAAACACGAATTAGTTTGAGCGGTAATTTTGAAAACCCGTTTAAACGTGGAATTAAAACTATGAATGAATCGGTCTAGAGCAGCCATACTCGAGCTTTTTTTTATAGGAACCACAAACACGTTTCAGCCATGGTGTCGAGAGCCGCAAGCAAAAATTATTTAAGTCTTGATGAAAACTTAATTCCAAGTTAACGATGTAGTTACTTTTTTAACAAAGATATGTTACAATGCGATTTTTGATGCTGCCGCATGCGGCCCGCGGGCCGCAGGTTGAGTATAGCTGGTCTAAAGGAACAACCTACAACAATAAAAATATTATTACTAGACAGTAAAAATACATAATTAATGAGAACTATATTATAAATTATTTTTATTATCTTCAATAAATTTATCTAATTTTTAATAAATGGGCTAAACACAAGGGCTTATATATAATACTCGTTTCGGTTTGAAAAATCGGCGCTTGTCACAAGACGACGACTTGTTATAAGTACCTCTTCGATCAACAATACTACTGTTGATCGAAGGAGTACCTATACGAGTACAACGTAAGGAAAATAACATTACCATAATAATGTTATGCAACAATTAAATTATGTAAAATAAAAAACAAAACATCAGATAAATTACATAAACAAAACATAAACATGAAAAAATCTACATGTATGGATATATCTAATATTTATTTTTTAATGAAACTTTACAATAATAGAATAAGCTTATACATAAGAGTAACACATAGGCTACCTTTTATCCCGGAAAAATGTACGGTTCCCATGGGATAGATATGTTTGTTTTTCTACAAACGAGCCGCTAGTTTATAATAATTTACCATTTACGTGACAAATATCAGAAAACTGAAGTCATAAGTTTACCATTTCACTCCACCTTTTCAAGCAAGCATGGAATATATGAATGGGAACATAATTTATAAAAACAATACAATAGTTAGGACTCAAGGTCATTTAAAGCCGTAAAAACCGTAATTTATTAAATAAATAGTAATAATATTTACATATAAATCTTGTAGTAAAAACATTTTACGATTTAATGACTAAGTAAAAAATCTCAACATACCTATTTAAAAGATATGATATCAGTACAATTCTTTTTATATGATTTATGGTCCTTGGTTTAATAACTGCGATAATAATGCTGTAAAAATAATATTTCTTAATCAAGTGCTAGCATTTATCGTTATAATTACACTGTTTTTGATATTTACTGCTTTATCTCAAAAAATTTATACAATGAAAATGCAAGCAAATATACGTAATAACCTTAATATGTACCCATATATAACATTTTTGCTTGGATAATTTTTGAAAGACCTAACCAAGGGCAGTCCACACCATATGGTAGACAAGAAAAAAAAGCATCTTCCACTTTACATGTAAAGGAAGTACACCTACTCTAAAATCCAAATAATTTTGTAAATCCAATCCAAATAATTTAATAAATTTATCCATGCCAAATTACAGCTTTGTAGTATTAAGATTCTCTGAGATAAGCTGCGGACAGACGGACGGACATGGCGAAACTATAAGGGTTCCTTGTTGACTACGGAGCCCTAAAAAAAGTCATAGTCCCTCTGTAAGCTAAAGTTCAACCAAACTCTTCCAGCCCTTTCAGGGTAAAGCATTATTTATCAAATCAGATATAAATTATAGTATATAAGTATGTACATATATGTAAGTAAATATCTTTTATGTATGTATGTGTGTATATATATTTATGTATAATTATAATATTTAGTTGATATATTTTAATAGTACTGTATGTACCTACACCGCACAAAATTATTATTTTTTTCTCACTTCTGAAGTGTTTCTGGAAGAAATCCCTTAAAGAGATAAGTTATCCTTTGTCAACATTCTGTTACTTTATTTTATTTAACATATATTTATGGTACATAAATAAATAAATAAAATAAATAAAGAAGTGACCAACAACCACACATACAAATTGTCGCATTTGTAATAGTAACCCGATTGTACTTTCAGGCATCGACGCATGGGGGTGAGATAGCCGACGCTCGCTCGATGCGAGAGGGCGAGCGCGCTGTAAACCTCAAGCCGAATGGTTCGTACAAAATCTTGAATAGATTTGTGAAGCCTTTTGTCAATAAAAGAGGTTCGTATTTTCTTCTCTTGCTTTCTTATTATGCCTTTTTTATAATGAAACCCAAATTAAAAAAAATAAATATTTGCAAGAAATTTTTAAAAATAAGGCGATTGTGATAAATAAATATCAAAATCTCCTTAATGTTATATTTTTCCAATAAAAGGTATAATAATTAACGTTCAATTTTCCAATACTAAAAGAGTATTATCATTTATAACAAAATAAACAATTTCATGACATTTATATTAATTACAACTTTCATTCTAACAACGATAACTAATTTTCATATCCATACTTAATATTATAAATGTGAAAGTGTGTTTGTTTGTTTGATTGTTTGTTTGTTTGTTTGTCCTTCTTTTAAATCGAAACGGAGTGACGGATTGGCTTGATTTGTGTAGACTACCTTTTTACAGTTTTCTTTGTAGTTTAAGCGCGAGCGAAGCCGCGGGTTATAACAATAATTGCAAATACATTTAAAAGAATACCTAATCTATACTATAATATAGCAGAAACTTAGTGAAATTTGTACACGACATATTTTTTAAAAACAATGAGTGCAAAGTATTATGTACAAACCCCAAAATAATAGTTATTAAAAAAATTGTCTGTTTGTGTGTGCGTGTTTCACGCAAAAAGTAATGAACCGATTTCAACTAAATTTGGTGAAGTGATAGCTTATTACTCGGGTGAACATTTAGTATAATTTTTACTTAAGGAAAATCTTTCTTTCCCACGGGAATACACAATAATTGGTTTTATAGAGTCCTCCTTAGAAACCTTCCTTAAGACATATGTACTTCAAAACAACGTACCAAAAAATTGTAGGTCTTGACAAGGTCTACAGAAAAATTTGCAATAGTATATGTCTATCTCCTAAGGTACAGTCGCATTAACTATTTTTATTATATACTAGCGACTCACCTTCGCTTCGCTCGGGTTCGTCCTTAGGTACGTTTCAAATTAAAATGGATATAGGTTATCCTTAAGAGATAAACATATGCCATCGCGGACTTTTCTGTAGACCTATAAAAAATACACAATTCCACCATATATTATTTTGTTATATCTCAAAGGGTTTAGGCAGCGTTCTCGTTGAAAGCTCCCTGACGGCTTATTTTTTTTCGACACCTCCAACAAATATCGTTATATTTTATCTCCAGCCCTTCAACTATTTGATTTGACGTGAAAAAAGGACAGACAAACAAACAAACAAAAAAACACATTCACATAGTATAATGTACAATTTTACTATTCACTATACATAAATGTATGTGACTTAGTAATAAGATGAGCTTTTTGAAATTTTGAAATTTTAAATATGTTTTATTATGAGAACAGAAGTAGTTTACTAATAAAAATATTTTTCCTTCTTTCAGTAGACTTTGATGCTTTCGTATTTCCAGAGGTGTCTTCAAAAGCAGGCAACGAAATTAGCCCTGTAATTCCCGATGAATGTAAGAAACTTGGTATCTGTGACGACATCCCTAACTATCCAGAAGAACTCGTGTCCAACTTGATAAAAAGAGTACGTAATACAAACCAAAATAGTTAAACTATTAACTAGATTAAACTAGTAGTTTAAAATTCTAGCTTTTCCTTATTTCGCGTTGTATTGCGATCCCATAACGTCCTATTATGTTCTATGGTGTATGGTTCCACAGTGGGTGAGTAAGAGTTTTGAAGTCCCTGTCCTTGGAGGCCAGCATGAACCCTTTTATGGGTTTCCCCAGCGACATAAAAAAAAGTTAATATATTTATACACGAAAATAACATCCATTATAAGTAATTTCTGTCTTTTAAGTCATAAAATATAGTATTTAGTAATAATTTGTATGAAATAGAGTGTTTTATTATTTCTCTTTTAAGTCATGAAATTTCAAATAATGCTTACATACATAAGAAAAAATGCTTCATGTTCATCTCTTAATAATTTCAGGCGTTACAAGAGAATGGAACAAAATTCAACAGAGACGTATTAGAAGTTCCCCAACTCACTGAGCGGATCGGTCCTGAAGAAGAAAATATTGAACTATGCGCCTCATCAGAAAGGGTATTTATATTCTCATACAACTACAACTTCTTTTAAATAGCAATACCATTTGACAAATCGTGACAAATGTGAATTCAATACAAAGAATTCATTTTCAAGAACAGGATTCGAATCTGCGACCTTCAGCGTAGAGGCAGCACTTTTACATTAATTACGCAAAACGGCCGTGATAATTTTTTAAAACGATATTTACTCGTTGGATAAATATTAAATTAGCATTAATATGCTATCCACTAGAGAAAGCTTGAACATTTTATACGATACAAGTATATGAGAATATATACATTATATTATGTATATATGAGAATCAATCTCGACTTTGTGGCGCTACTACAATAAATGCCTAATCGTAGTCGACCTCACGATACGTTACGCTGTTTTTGTTGAGTAAGAACTATTATACAATCTATAATTGAAGATAAAGTACCTGGACGACCGAGCTTCGCTCAGAGTTCTTTTTTGTTAAATCGTATTTTGTAGATCAAAAAAATAACTAAAAACTATAATAAATACAAAAAAAAGTAAAAACTCTGTATCTGACCGGGATTCGAACCCGGACACCTGTGATAGTCAATCTTGCGCCTAGGCCGCTTGACTACGATGCTTATGCCCGGTAGCCCGAGCGTTCGAAATTAACGATCATATCTTGCGTGGATTAATGCGAAAAAAAACCGCATGAAAACTAGCATTTTCAACCGACTTCAAAAAGGAGGAGGTTCTCAATTCGACTGTATGTTTTTTTTTTCCTAGAAATAAAACTAATCTAGATCGATTTTTCGCCACCGAAAACCGTTATTTATCTGTATAGATAAGTTATTGATCACCATCATAAGTAGATAAAATACTTACTTTCACAAGGCTTTAAGTATAACTTAAGTCAGCAGTAGACATAGACATCTGGCACATATTATCAGTTAACGACTGTACGATGATTAAATGAAATGTAATATTAGTCACTGAATTCTAAATCGATTTAATATACATAAATCTAGGGATTCCCATATTTGACATTATGTTTATGGGTACTAAAAACCGCAATTAGCCTATTTTAATTATTTATACCTAATTTAAAATATTTTTTCATTATTACAATATAATTAATATGGTTACAATATAATTAATATTATTACAATATAATTAATATTAATTAACAAAATTATTCATTACAGTTGTATGCCCCAAGAGCTGCTCAAGATATGAATAACGAATGGCATGTCATACTGAACGATAAGCAACAACCACAACAAACATTCCGTGTAGAAATTTGCCAGTAAGTAAATTTTTATGGTTATATTTTATTAAAAACTAGCTTCTGCCTGCAGCTTCTCATGCTATTTTATTAAGCTGCCCCACCAATAAAAATGAAATCTAAGTAAATTAGATCCTAAAAACAACAACAACAACAACATATTCAAAAAGGCAAAGTTAACATCTCTCATACTATTTGATGTAACCTCTGGAAATACTCCATTATTTAAAAAAATATAATTTTTCTTCGAGTAATAATTTCTTTCCGAAGTAAGAGCAAAACCGCAAAGATAACTGTATCTGTACATATAATAAAATTGTAACTAATCCGAATCTGTATATTAAATATTGTTTGGATAATCTTATTGAAATAAACATTATTATCGATACAGAGGTAGAATCTATAGTTTTTAGAATTTTTGTCTGTTTGTTACCGCATCACAGAAAAACCACTGGAGGGATTTTGATGAGATTTGGTATGGTGATAGCTGGTTATCCGGGTCAACATATAGGATATTTTTACCGCGAAAAAATGTCTCATTTCTGAAATAAAATACAAAAACTGCAATGTAATAGTATACTAATATATAAAACCTAAGAATTTGGTTTTTCTCATCTGAACGCTGGTAGAGCCGCGGGCAATGCTAGTACATAATAAGAATACTATACTAAAAACTAATATACTTATTATATTTTATTGATCTATTATTTATTTTTACAGACAAAAGGATTCACCGTGCTCGTCTATTGCGTATTTCCAAAATGGCTACCAATCAATGTGTATACAGAAGTACATGTTGCGCAGAATGGTCGCTTTGAACGAACAAAAAGAAGCCGTCGAGAGACCTTTCCAAGTGCCTAGCTGTTGTTCCTGCGTTGCGAGAGCTGTTTGAAATGTGGTTAATAATTGAGATTGCTGTACGCGACTCAAATGTATCATCATACGGCTTGAAGGACCAAATACGTATCATATTGTATTATAAAAAAATGATCATTAAATAATTTATTCGTACGAATAAAAAATAATATACTTAATATTATTTTGTTTTTTTTTTTAATGAAAACAAGTATTGATAGTAGAACTAATATAATGTTGAATAAGTATTTCTTAAACTCAGATGGTAATGTATGTATTCAGCCCTTTTTAACGTCCCACTGCTGGGCACGGGCCTCCCTTCAATACGAGGGGGATCAGGCCACAATTGTGTAGAGTTTTCTTTTGATAAAAGAGCACTGCAAAGGGTGTATGTGAACTCGTCGGTGAGCTTTCTGTGTGTCTGAAAATTATAGAGTACAGGTCTATTGTTGCGTTCTACGAAGCTTTGCCTCAATAAGGATACTCATGTGTTATGAGATAGTTTGTAATGTAATTCATTCATATTAGACAATATAAATAAATAAATATGTTGGAACATTAACACATAACACCATCTAGTTCCATGGTAAGTTACAAGGCTTGTGTCATGGATAGCAGATAGTAGATACACTACACATATATAACTTTAAATTCATACTTATTATAAATATAAACACCCATGACTGGAGTACAAACATTCGTGCTCATCACACAAATGAATGCCCTCAGCGGCACTCGAACCTGCAACCGCTGACACAGCTAGTAGGGTAACAAATAACTGAGCCAAACGTGTCGCCAAACAAAGAAAGCAGAAAGAAACAGGTTTTGTCAAAGGGTACTTCAAAGGGCGTACGTGAACTCGTCTGTGGACTTTCGATGTGCGTGAAAGTACAGATTTATCGTTACGTTGTTGTATAAAGTTTTGCCTGAATAGGGATACACATGTGGTATGAGATAGTTTGTAACATTTTTCAATTCTTCCATATCAGACATTATATATCCATATTATATTTATAATATGTATGTATTTAAAGTTTTCCTAGTACGAGCTTCTAAGCACTCTTACTGGATAAAAAAAAGTTATAGTTGATATATATTATAGTTGATACACTATATATATGTATATATAGTGTATCAACTATCTGGTATCCATAACAAATTTCATCAAAATCATTCATCAAATCGTGCTTACCATGGAACTAGATGGTGCTGTGTGTTAATGTCCCAACATATTTATAATTTATATTTATTTATATTATACTTATTTTTTATTAAAGTGATACTTCACTATAAATCATACTATAATCCAATGCACTCCTAATAAGCACTATATATGGAGCGCATTCGACTATCAGAGTGGCATCCCAAATACATCACGACTGTCGTCATCGGCTTTTACAAGTAACAAGTTACTTACACTACGAAATTTTACGTTATGGTATAACCATACGAGATACAATATTACCTATATTGGAATTGCAACGTTGTTGCATGAAATTTCCTCATACCGAGTTTTCCTCATACTCGATTTATAGGAAATAATTAATAAATCTTTCATGCTTATTACTATCCGGATGTAGGTAAATATAATTAAAGCATATATCATAGCTGATAACAAATAATGAACTTTGAAATAATTGTCAAGTTCATGTGGTTCTGTCACATAATTAATGAGATTTCCAACAATTATTTGTTCTATTTTTAAATAGCATACACTTTTGTAGCAGAAAAAAACAAGAAATTGTGTCTTATATTTATTTTAGATTGTTGTATGTTCTTATGTAAAAAATTTAGGATTATCTACAGAACTTGGCACCCACTTAGATCTCGATTCTTTTGTCGATGATGTTGACAACTACGCTTATTCTTAATATTGAACTTGGCTCCCATTTTCACATTTATGTTTTTGATGGAATATCATAACTTTTTGTAAAGAAACTTCTTCTTTTCATAATTTTGCGACTATTCGTTAGTGGATAAGGCGGAATAGCAAAATGTTATTTAATCATCATGGAACCTTTTCTCCTGCGAAAGAAAATGTTTTTACTATTACTATGATTGCTATTGCTATTATATTTCAAAAGTCACTAGATGTTAAGCTATTATTTTTTTTTCAAATTTAAAATTTTTACTGGCGTCGGATTTTTTCCTAACCCATCCGGACACCAAATTCCAACTTTCTAGGTCATCTGGAAGTGGGTTAGGTTTTCTACTATATGTCAGTCAGCTGTTTGAGCAGTATTTATGAAATTTAGGATTCTAGTTAATCTAAGGAGATTTAATAAATGTACCAAATTTCATGAGTTAAACAGACTTTGAGTTATTACGAGGTGAAAAGTGGCTCCAAATGGTTCGTGTAAATATACACACGGTGCTGCGTCGCAAGTTTCTTTGGCTTGAACTTGGCTGGACACGCTACCGCGTGTCTTAATATTTTTTGGATAATCTTATTGAAATAAACATTATTATCGATACAGAGGTCGAACTTATATTTATTAGAATTTTTTGAGTTTTGGTCTGTCTGCCTGTCTTTAAGAACCGCATCACAAAAAACCAGTGGAGGGATTTTGATGAAATTTGGTATAGTGATGGCTGATTATTTATTTATTTATTTTTTTAATGTCGGGAAATGCATTATGTGATGTGGGGCTCACCGGCTAGAAGAGCCGGTACTACCCTAATAAAATTGTAAAATCTAAGAATCCCTTCCCCCCGCCTTAGTGGGACGCCGCAGGATCGCTTGCGCGCTAATACTAGATACAGTAGGCGGCAGGTCTGCCTAAATACTAGGCAGACCACTTCAAACCAATGGGGAGGTTCTCCAATTCGTCTGTATTTTTTTTTGTTTTTTTTTTATGTTTGTTACCTCAGAACTACGTCATTTATTGACGAGGACAATTTTTGTTTTGTTGAAAGGGTATACTTCCAGATTGGTCCCATTTAAAATTTCCAAAAAAAAAATGGGCCACCCCTGCAGAGGACAGGGAGAGCGGCAACGAAACACCGACAATTTCCTCTTCCCCTGCAGCCCCACCTTTGCGTATTTCCGCCGTTGATCAACACGGTGGTTCGGCCCCGTCTAGGCCGCGGAAGGTGGATAGGGAGAACGGCGCACCGAATAGTAGATACTCTCCCGCCGCGGCTTATTTTCCGCCGAATGCGGGCCTGCGACCACACGTTAGACCCATCCTTACGGTTGTGGGACCAAGCGGTCCCACCACCGGTGGCCGCAACGTAAAAACTTTGGCTTAACAAAAAAATAAAAACCGAGCTTCAAACGAGCGGCCCCATCCAAGTAAAAAAAACATTTGGTCCGCGCCGGATTTCTCCGGTAACACCCGCCCCTCTAAGCGGGTGGCATGCCCCTATCCGCCACCTGGGGACGCGCCCGGTAGGAGTTGGCTTCTCCCCCGGGATAGCTGATTATCCGGGTCAACATATAGGATACTTTTTACCGTGGGATCATGTCTTATTTCTTAGAAAAAATACAAAAAGTGCAATTTAAGATTATACTAATATGTAAATCGTAAAATGTAAGAATTTGGTTTTTGGTCATTTGAACGCGGGCGGTGCCGCGGGCAATGCTAGTTACTTAATATAGATACAGTAGGTACAGTATTATACTTTATTATTGAACTAAGAATGCTCTATTATAGTATAATATAAATGAATTAATTCAGTGCACAAAAAAGTATAAATAGAAAATACCTACTAATTTAATATTATTTGATAAGAATTTAAGCACTAATTAATTGAAATAATTATTAAAAGTTTAATTGATTATAAACGAAACCGAACATTAAATAAAATTATCTTTTCGGATTATTTGGCAGATTTATTTTGATTTTTGGTTCCAGACGTTTTGAATGTTTTACAGCAACCATGGTCACGGGAGAAACTCTTCCGTGACCATGATTGCTGTAGTTATTGCTGTATAATCTTATTAAAAATGTCAAATATTCGCGTAAATATAAGGAAGTATTATGAAAACCGAATTTTTTAATCGTTGTATGTTCACATAAACATGAGACAAAACACATTAAAATCATCATTAATTTTAATAAGAGCTAATTGTAGTTAACTGTACTCTGTACCTATAGCTTTTATCTAAACAAGTATATATCATAAAATTCGGAGTCGAATCTGTAAATTAAATATTTTTTGCAAAATCTTATTGAAATAGTCATTATTATATATACAGAGGCCCAATCTATAGTTTTTAGAATTTTTGTCTGTCTGTCTATCTGAGAACGCATCACGAGAAAACCACTGGACAGATTATGATAAAATTTGTTATGATGATAGCTGGTTATGCGGGTCAACATATAGAATACTTGTTATTGCAGGAAAATATCTCATCTCTGAGAAACGTAGGGACGAATCCGAGCGGAATAAGGGGAAAATTGCTAGTTATTAATATATATTTTAATATCTTTTATCATTTTCCTCTTATAGTTAATAGCGTTTACACGTTCACTAAAAGTTACAAAGCTTTCACTAGAGGCTTTCAATCGAGCTTTTTTAAAGGGATTAATGGCAATGAGACTATCTACGAATATTGTCCTATGTGTACTATTATTGGTAAGTTTTCGTTCAAAAAATCGATTCTTTTTAAAAATTAGGTACCTACATACTATTATTTAATTTATTTATTTTAAATTTTATCCATAGCTCACAGAAAAGAAACCTGTTAATGTTTTAGGTTGAAATTCAAACTCAAAAAACTATACTACAATATTTGATTCAATTGTATTTCTTTAAATGAAAACGATCCGTAATGATGTGAAATTGGTTGAAATAGATTGAAATGAAAAAATTGTAATCAAAGACTTAAATATTTATTAAACTAACTACTAAATGAAAAATACAACTTTTTTAAAAATTATGTTTTAGAGCACAGAAAGAATAAGTAATTTATTGAGAATTGATAGGATGAAGTTGGATTTAAGGTTTCTCAGTGAACTGGTCACACATTTTCGCGTCTGTTCAGAAATAAAATACCTATAGTATTATATATTTTGAAATACTTGGCATTAATTATTTTAAATATTTGAATTTCAGACAATGATACAAAACTATGTAATGATGAAAATAGACATGTTTAATACAAGTACGAGTATGTACTTACAGGAAATAACAGGTCCGTGGTTGTTTTGACTGACTATATTATAATATAGATTAAAAAAAATAATATAGATTATAGTATAAGTAAAAAAAAAAGAAAAAATAATTATTTTTACAGATTACCCAATTCTTTTCAAGGTTATGGGCGTAGAAAAATTTAATTTTAACATCCCTGGTGAATGTGAAGAACGTAACATTTGTGAACACTTACCGGACTATTTACAAAAATACGTTTCAGAAATAATAACAATGGTAACATCTAATTCGTATTATTAATTATTTAAAAAAAATATAAATGTAAAAGTTTGTGAGTATGTATGATGTTTGTTACTCTTTCACGCTAGAACAGCTGAATATCACATAAGCTACTTTTTATCCCGGAAAAATGTACGGTTCCCGTGGGATAGGTTTGTTTTTATTTTCCTAGGGGTGAACCCGAGCTAAGCGAGGGTGAGCCGCTTACTTTATTATATAAGTAACTTTTGAATACCAAAATTTACACCTTATACTTATTTAATATTCATATTACTTCGTAATCAAAATTTGTAACGATCCCTCAACGTTTTGAATTAAAGAAGATGCTGTATTAAACGTGTTCTTACAGATTGCAGTTAGATAGATTTCAGTGATAGTTATATTCACTAAATATTGTATGTTCTTGTAAATAAATATGAGGATCATTTATAGAACTTGGCACCCATTTAGATCTCATTTTTTTGTTGGCGACGTCGAAAACCAAGCATATTCTTAATACTGTACATGGCTTCCATTTTCACATGAATGTTTTTGATAGGATTTGTATTACATAAATTTTTCTTGAGAAATTAATATGAACTAGGTGAAGCTAGTTTTCTGTAAGACTTTTTTACCTTGAAAAATATTAAAAATGGAATATTTTAGCTCTCTAATAAAAACATAAAACTGCAAGGGAGTGAAGACGTGGACGATACAGCACAATACCACACTAAAGACACAAATAAAAATATTGACACGCAATATGAGGATTTGTGCTCTACAAAACAAGTTGTAAGTTTTTTCAGTTAAATCAGACTTATGTTAATACAAAAAAATATTTTACGTACCTACCTTCATGTTTCCACTCGACGTGATATTTGCGAAGTAACCTGTGCACTCAACTAGCACACTTTAAAGCCATTGCCGATAAAATTTAAATTAATATAAAAGAAATCGTAAGCGAGTGAGTGCGATTGGTTCTTCACATTATAATTGTGAGCATTATACGTAATGAAGACAAGATTATCCTGTATCACTTTTAGCCGACTTTAAAAGAACAAAGTACTCATTCGCCTGTATTTATTTCAAGAGTGTTTATCGGTACTTTCGCTAATTTTAAATAGATTTTTGTCCCTATATAGGTTGTCTTAGTATAAATTTAAAAAATATGTCCTTAAAGATACAATAATTACTTTAAATTGATTTTTAACTATTATTGACGTACTGTCTAACAACGCAAATATAGTTATGAAACAAAATTAGACTTTGATTTTAGTAAGAGCTTCAAGTAACGCTTACATTGGCGGCTTCAATGCCAACATAAGTAATGTAATATCTCAGAGTTCAGACTAAGAAATAATATAGACAGAGTGCTAGAGAACTAAACATGAAGTCGAATTAAAATTTACAAATGACATATTTGTAGTGTGTACATAACATCATCGAGCTATGGTATATATAATTAATAATCTATAGGTACATATAATAAAATTGTAACTCAGCCGAATCTGTACATTAAATATTTTTTGGAAAATCTTATTGAAATGAACATTATTATCGATACAGAGGCCGAATCTATAGTTTTTAGAATTTTTGTCTGTCTGTCTGTATGTCTGTCTGTTACCGCATCACAGAAAAACCACTGGAGGGATTTTGATGAAATTTGGTTTGGTGATAGCTGGTTATCCGGGTCAACATATAGGATACTTTTTACCGCGGGAAAATATCTCATTTCTGAGAAAAAATACAAAAACTGCAATGTATGCAGAGTATACTAATATGTAAAACCACAAATTTAGTTTTGGTCATCTGAACGCAGGCGGAGCCGCGGACAATGCTAGGTATGTATAAATTAATGAATTAATTATATATTACCTATCTATTTCATAATCATTTATCATTTTATTTCTTTTAATAATAAGAAAAATATTATTTATTTCAGTTATATATACCAAAAGCTGCTTCAGACGTAAATAACACTTGGCATATTATACTGAACGATAAGCAACATCCCCAATACAAGTTTCGTGTAGAAATTTGTAAGTAAGTAACAACTTTAGACTTGTACTCTACGAAAACGGCTACAGTATTATTTTTTAATCGAAATCTTAAATCATTTGAAAGTATTATTGCACATTTAATGTATCAATCTAACTTAAAAAAAAAGAAAGAGTTTTTCGTCATGAATTTAGGGAAGAATAAATAATAAATATTACATTCTAAAACATATAGAAAGTTATGCTAAAGCTACCAAGTGTTATGGATACCAGATAGGATACACTACACATATATAACTTTAAATACATACATATTATAAAAATTTTGAATTTAAAAAAAAAACTAAATGTTACCACTAAATAAAACATCAAGTAATCTAACTTAAAAAGAGAGAGTTTTTCGTCATGAATTTAGGGAATCTGAAACTACTTTCCTTAACTACTATTAATTTCAAATATATTGTTCACAGGATAAACAATTTACCTTGCTCATATGCATATTTCCCACTGGACATATCAAAATGCATTCAGAAGTACACGCTACGTACAATGATGGCTATAAACGAGCAAAATGAAGTTGTTGAAAGACCATTCAAAGTGCCCAGCTGTTGCTCCTGTGGTACGAAAAATGTTTGAAATGTGTCTAATTTTAATAATATTATCTTTTCGGACTTTTTCGCAGATTAATTTTGATTTTTGATTCCCGACGTTTCGAATGCTTTACAGCAATCATGGTCACGAGATAGTAGGGAAAAATCATAATAAATCCACGAAAATCTCCGAAAAGAAAATATGAAATATTCGCGTAAATCTAAGAAAGTATTATATATCTGTTATGATATCTTACTCAACTCTAAAATGTACCGCGCATCTTGCAGCATTAAATATGTATCATATTCTATACCTACAATATTCATTAAATAAATTATATCGTACAATAGAATTTAAATGACTTTCCCATTTTCTGTCACTAAAAGAAATTTTACAGTTGAAGGAATGAAATTATGTCTTTAACCTATTCTATACATATAATAAAATTGTAACTAAGCCGAATCTGTACATTAGATATTTTTTGGTAAATCTTATTGAAATAAATATTATTATCGATACAGAGGCCGAATATATAGTTTTTAGAATTTTTGTCTGACTGTCTGTCTGTTACCGCATCACAGAAAAACCACTGGACGGATTTTGAGGAAATTTGGTATGGTGATAGCTGGTTGTCCGGGTCAACATATAGGATACTTTTTACCGCGGAAAAATATCTCATTTTTGAGATAAAATACAAAAACTGCATTGTAAGAGTATACTAATATGTAAATCCTAAGAATTTAGTTTTTGGTCATCTGAACGCCTGAGGAGCCGCGGGCAATGCTAGTGATATAATAAAAGTGTAACTTATAGCTGAAAAGCCATATATTATTGGGGGTCTAATTTGTTACATTTATTTTAAGGATAATATAATTTCATTCGATTTTTGTGACCAATATAATTTTTTCCATCCCTATTATTAAATATGGACCTGTGTAAATTGCGGTAAGTTTTTTACCAGTTTCTTCTTTACCTAATATTAAATCATTAATTATATAAGATAAAGGGCTCATTTTAAAATCACATTTAATGGCTATATTACATTTTTAAGTCACAGAAACACACACACCATACAGGAAAAGAGTTTTAGTACTTTAAAAAAAATAAAAATAGCCTGAAGCAAATTTTTGGTGACAACCCCCCTGGATTGTGTTTGTTAATATGTTTTATGGTTAAAAATATATTTCGCTTAGAAAAAGAGTGAGGGGTCCACCACATAGACTTGGATTTTAGACTATAAGATTAAAAACTTATTTTTGGATCATTTTTTAAGGACTTTTGCTAAACGAGCTTAGAGTGTCATTTGAGACATACAAGACCATAATTAACTGTCATATTTAATTTTCGATATTAATTATCATAATTAAGAAAAAATATCGAACGTTTAGAGTTCTTATCTAGAAACATGAACGTCATTTCATTACTATTAATTAATGAACCTGCTTAGATTAAATAATAAATTTCATTATTATAATATATACAAATGATTAAAAAAATATATAGTGTTTTTCTTTTTTATAGCATAATCATTAATTTATTGGTTTAAAATCTAAATATTTTAATTAAAAGCATGTTTCAGATTGTAGTACAATGGCCCTTGCATAACAAAATTAAATAAAACCTCATTATGTTTATCTGTTCATTAAATTTAATTTAGTTAGCATTTTGCTCATACAGTTCATAGCGTTTACACGTAAACGAAAGTTTCCCTGTAAGTATATTTGTAAAAAAATTTTCAAAATAAAATCCATAACAATGAGAATGTCAACGAAAATATTACTTTTATTGGTATGTTTCATTTTGAAAAATTTATGAATTTATTTCTATTCCCGATATCCTATCGCTGCGTTCAGATTTTTTAATAAAACAAAAGCAGCTGAAAATTTTTTAGGTTTCATATTTATATATTTATATAAAATATATTATATAAAGCATTTGAAAGCTTATTGAATTATTTAAAAACAAGCTGAGAAGTAGATCCCGGGCTGATTGAACCGAATCGATAGCCCTATATATATATATATATGTATATATATATATATATATATATATATATATATATATATGTGTGTGTGTGTGTGTGTGTGTGTGTGTGTGTGTGTGTACTTTATTTTACCTTTATCAAGTTAACTTTAAACCAATTGTTTTAATCACTTCACGACCTCGAACACGCCGGCGCGCGTTACAGTTAACAATAAATTTCTTAGAAATTTAATCAATTTCTTCTTTCCTTTCTTAGAAATTTACCTGGAGGTGTTAATTATTATATTTCAGACATTATTACAAAACTATGAAACGCAGGAAGTGAATAATTTTTTAATTAAAATAACAGGTACGTGTGTAATGTTTCAGTTGTTATATTAAATATTTATTATAAATCTATCTTGAATTGAAAATTGACAAAATTTATTATATTATTATGTATATAAAGAAAAATGTAAGGGTGTTCGTTGGTAAGTGGTTAACTTGAGAGCGGATGGATTGATTTGGTCATTTTTAAGTGTTGCTAATAATCCGAATAATGTTTATAGGGAAAAATTGCGGAAAGCCTGACATCTGGAAAATTAAAAAAAAATGTTCCAAACTAAAATTATTTTTTTTAAATAATTTTAATATAGATTTAAAATCACAATCAAAATTGAAGTTTTATCGAGTCAGCTATTAATGTAGTTTATTTTACAGATCACCCGGTTCTTATGAAAATTAATGGTATAAAAAATTTTAATTTAACCATCCCTGAAGAATGTAAGGAGCTTGGCTTCTGTGAACACATACCCAACTATCCATACGATTACGTGTCGGAAATAATAACCCTGGTATTTGTAATTTTAATATATTTGTATTTGTTAATGATAATTATTAGCATAACACACGTAGTCCTTGCTTTTCCTTGTCATTGAATTAAAAAAATAAATGTAACAATATCTAAATTCACGCTATTTCCCTCGCCGGCTTAATCCCATATACTTATGTTCGCCTCTTTTTAGTGTCGCATTTTCATTTCATCGAGTTTCAAATCACAACGATCCTAAAAAAATATAAGGCAATTTAACTACATGTAATCAATAGGTACAATACTATGTGTTTTAGCTCTCAAAGGCAAACATCAAACTTCATGCAGATGTGGATCCGAGGGAACATATAACACAATACGATGTTGAAGAAATAAATAATTCGGAATATGAGGATTTGTGTTCTTCACAATTGGAGGTATATTTATAACAAGCATTGCCCGCGGCTCCGCCCGCGTTCAGATGACCAAAAACCAAATTCTTAAGTTTTATACCTATATTAGATTACTCTTACATTGCAGTTTTTGTATTTTTTCTCAGAAATAAGACATGACTCCACAGTAAAAAGTATTCTATAAGTTGACCCGGATAATCAGCTATCACCATACCAAATTTCATCAAAATCCCTCCAGTGGTTTTTTTGTGATGCGGTAACAGACAGACAAAAACTCTGAAAATTCTAAAAACTATAGATTCGGCCTCTGTATCGATAATAATGTCTATTTCAATAAGTTTTTCCAAAAAATATTTAATGTACGGATTCGGCTTAGTTACAATTTTATTATATGTATAGAGTATAATAAACTAGTCACTGCTCGTGAATGCGACTACAAAAAGTATTCATTCTATGATTAGCATGCACGATATATAGATTTTTTGTATATCGATGTTGACATGACATGATTTACGTATAAGTATGTTTGTGTTTTTGTATATTTGTTTGTGCGATGTTGCATCCAAATCAAAGAAATTAATATATGTACATACAAATTTTGTTTGTTTTTTGTTTGGTCACTTTTATCTCTGAAACTGCCTGATTTGATAAACTTTCTCTATTTTTATAGCCCAATTCTAGAAGAAAGTAATAGGCTATCTTACATCACGATATGACTTTTAGAATCGAAATAACTATACATAAAAAGACTACGCGAGCTATTATACTATTTTCATGTAAATTAAAATTAATTAAAACTATCTTCTCTATTGAAACGTCATGACAATTGTACGATGACACTATTAAGTTAATTTTTACGATCTACAGTCACAGACCAAAAGAATTATACTTTAGTCTAATTCGTCAGCGTCGTCTGTCCGTGAGAAAGCTACCACAGTATTGAAAAGCAGTTCTGCTAAGAAAAGCCAGCAAGGAACTTAACAGTTGTTATTTTAATATATATAATTTACAATATTACAACAAAGTAGTGCCTAGTCAGGTGATAATTAAATGGAAAAAAATCTCAAGCTTTCTCACCAAAAAGATGGAAAATGTATCAAATTCGCACTTTTACTCTTTTATTTAAATTTTTTATGTATTTTATTAAAACTATTATGTAACCTTACACAATATTTATTTATTATATAAATACACATATTATGAGACACGCTCGACTGACGCAATAATGCTTCAATTAAAACCAAAATAAACAAAATCAGAATTGTAAATAAGTGGACGCTGGCAACTTTAGCTATCTTCATAAAGTTACTCTCCGTAACTCATGGGACTTCCTCAGCTGATGTAATGTTGTACTGCATAACTCGCATTTATAATATTATTATAAATATTGATAAATATAATATTATGTGCCTACATTTAATTAATAAATTAATTTTCAGTGTTTACTGCTATTCAGGGAATTTGCCCGATATTTGAAATGGAAAAGATGCAAACGTATCAAAAATTGGAAATATATTATGTATATTTTAATTTTTTCTAATATAATACCTTTAATTTATGCAAATATGATTATACAAATTCATATTAAAAGAAAATATATATAATTACTATATTGTTCAATGTTTTTCCACCTTTTTCTTTTCCATACTTTTCTTTAGGATAGAGAGACCAATACATCTGATCAATACAAATGATTATTTCACACAGAAATCGAACTAGCTATCTCCTACTTTATGGGTAGTAGTACGCGTTGTTAATATTTATTATGTTTCAGATAATTCACCCCCAAGTAGTACGTGACAATAACAAGTGGTATTTGATTCTCAATTCAAAAACAAATCCACAAAACTATGTTATTGAAAAATGTCGGTAAGCTAACATAAGCATATTTTTGACGTCGATGTGTTATAAGTTTGACGTCGATGTCTCTCTGTCTGTCTGTGTGTGTGTCTGTCTGTCTGTGCCATCGTAGCTCTCAAACGGATGGACCGATTTCGATGCGGTTTTTTTTTTCATTTGAAAGCCATTCCTTGCGGTGGTTCTTAGCTATGTTTGGTTAGTATCGGTCCAGCAGTGTAAGAGCTCTTTACCAAAATGATGTAAGGTATTTTGGCGTATTGTTATAGCACTTTTCACTAATTGGTTTTTAAAAAAAAGAAAATAACTTGGATTTACATAAAACACACTTTTATTTAAAAGATTGGACCCGATTTTATTAGGGCAAGTGTCACGCGCGGATGTTGGAATCGAACTGTCCTATAATTAATATTTAATAATTATGAACCATCAAAAGTGCTGACCAAGGAGAAGGAATAGGGCTACTAGGCGCCATTATATACATAACATATATATAACAGCCCCCAGGGTTTTGACTAAACTTACCCTTAAAGGGGGTAAGTTTATGAAATAGTAGTGCGGATTTTGGGTGATGGAATGTCAGAGGAATTGGTAGCAACTTCTGTAAGCTCTTCGGCTTCTTTAATATGAAATTTAGAGTTATTTTTCTTAAATAAACCGTGACATTTGCCCGATTTGATACATTTAAATGAAAGTATACATAATGAAATAATAATAATAACTAATAATTATTGTTGCATAGGAATAATATTCACCGTATAGAATAATATGGGGTTTATTAATTATCTTATCTAAATCATTAACAATTTGGCTCGTGGCTTTGTCATGCTCATATGAAATTGAATCGAGTTCTATGTTTTTCAGAGTTAAATTAGGGATACTCTTCTCTTGATTTTGTAAAACATTTAAATCACAACATTTATCATTTAATAAATCGAATGTGGAATTAAAAAATGGAATTTCAATTTCTTTTATAGATTTAGGAATGAATATCAAGTCTTTATAATAAGCAATACAATTAATAGGAAGATTAAAGAATCCAGTACCAAAAATACTTAACTCACTGTCAACAGATTTTTCACAGGAAATAGAAAGCTTAGATTTCTCTGAAATAATATAAATCCACTTATTATTATTTAACCTTTGCCAAATTTCGACATGACCTTGAAAAAATTTAATTTCACATAGATTTGGAACAGAGTTCAAGGATTTAGAAATTATTTCAGATTCACAAATCGGATTTACAGAGCTAGAATAAACATTAAGTAGGTTACAAATAAAAAACATATTATATAGAGTTTTACAGTTATCTAAATTATCTAACTTACAATATAAAGATCTATCTCTAGTTATGCCTATATATTTTGTCGATGGAATAATAGTTGTATAAGTTTTTTTTTTCAATTTCGTTTAAAACTGGAAATGAAATACAGTTATATAAACTAAATTCGTTGGAGGTCACAAGTGGGACCTTAAGAACAAACACAATTTTATACTGATTATAGAAACTAGCTAATTCGGATATATCTAATAACACATACATGTTGTCCAATGAAAGATTTACAGGAAAATGTCTATAATTTGGTAAAAATCGATAATTATTTACCAATTCAGAAAACAACTGTTTCGGGGTAATAATTGACGGATGTAAAATATTAGATTTACTAAACATTATTCCATTAATTATGTCCTCTAATTTAAATGATAAAGTAAGTAAACTACTTTCCAACATATTTAGCATTTCATTAAAATTAGATTTTATAATTAAATTATCGGTTAACAAAGTTAAGTTCCTTATATTATTGGATATGCTTTCAACAGCGCTATTTAATCTTTGTTCATTATTACCAATGTCATCTATAATATTTTTATAAGAAGAAAGTGTAGATTTAGTTATCAAAATATTTTCTTTCATTAATTCCGATAATTTTAATTGATCATTCTCTACTGATTTAATGGCGCTGCTATACATAATTGCATCGTCTTCATTCATAGTTCCAAACAAATGCTTAAATGCGGTGCCTATGCCACCGAACCAGGCTGATCTTTTGGATCTCGGCTCAATGAAATGAGAAATAGATTCAAAGTCTCTAATTATGTCGTAGTATCGAACAGATAATGGTTGTAACATATTATGACATTCGAGCTCAGTGAAAGCGCTACTTTGTTTACATAGATATCGCGAGGTGCCTATCACACCGTTCAAGTTTTCTATATGAGGTTTAATAAATGAAATATCAGTCGGAATTACTACACTAAGATGTCCGTCTATAATTTTTAAGGAACCAATGGGGTCGAAATATATACCAGGATTTTTCCTGACAGGCTGGATGAAGTTTCCTCTTACCAAAATTGCAAAGCTGAAATAGAATATTTAGAAATAATAAAATAGATACCTAAATAAAATTATTTTTATTGGTCGCTATTGCGACGCGCAAGTTTTACTTCATCAAAATGATGAGTTACATGACGTCTGTTAATTAAAAGTGTTAATGTATTTCTCCCATTAATTTTAACGACTTTATAGGGTCCTTTCCAAATTGGAGATAATGCTTTACGGAGTCTAAGGTGGTTTTTTAAGAATACGTAATCACCCACTTTGTAGCTAACAGGTTTTGAACGTGAATCGTAATACGTTTTTGACGACTCTTTTGATTTTTGAATGTTTTCTATTGCTTTTGCGCGAGTGAATTGGAGACGGTGTTTAAGCATTTTTACATAATCGGAATATGTAGCATCAGAAGAAGAGGGCTCATAAATGGAATTTGGAAGATATGGCTTATTACCAAAGAGAAGTTCGTGAGGAGAATAATTAGTAGTGGAATGTATAGCAGTGCTATAAGCTAACATGGCAGTATACACATATCGAGGCCAGTTAGTTTGAGATTCATCTACATAGGATTTTAAATATTCTTTTAAAGTAGAATGGCTCCGTTCTAAGGCGCCTTGTGTCTGAGGGTGATAGGGAGAAGACCACAATTGTTTAATCTTTAAAAAGGAACAGGTTTCTTTGAAGAGTTCAGCTGTAAAATTAGTACCTTGATCAGTTAGGATGGTTTTAGGAATACCAAATTGAGAAATAAAATGAAGGAGACAATCACTAGTTTCTTCGGCGGTTGTACTTCTGATAGGATAAGCGGCGGAAAACTTTGTGAGATCATCTTGGATAGTTAAAATATATTTAAGTTTGGCAGTTCCAGATTCTGGAAGTGGACCAACAATATCTAAAGAGACTCGTTCAAAAGGAACAGTTGAAGTACTTGTAATTTGCATGGGAGCTCTATTCACTTTGCGAAGTGCTTTATTGGTTTGACAGGATGAGCATTCTTTTACATAATTTTCAATGTCGCTACGCATGTTTTTCCAGTAAAATTGTTCACGGATTCTATTAAACATTCGATTTGAACCAAGGTGACCTGCTACGGGTATATCATGGTTTTCTTTAAGGATCTTTTTGACTTCACTGGGGTTAGGATAATATATTTTATTACGATAAACATGAATTTCAATTCCTGTGTTATTAAATAAGTATGCTAACATATTATAGATTTTGATGTATATATGTTTATCGAATGGATTTTTAAAATCGGTAATACTAATTTTGTCAATGGGTTCTTCTAGAGATGTAAGGTGATTACGAAAATTCTTTAAAGTTTCGAATATGTCACTATAAGAACAGTTGTCAAAGTGATGAACTTTAATAAATAGGAAGTAAAAAGTTTTATCATTAATTATCAGTGATTTATAGGAAAATAGAGTTCTCTCTGAATTCGTAAATGGTTCACAATTCGGTGAATTTGATAGAATTTCCTGGACATACGGAATAGATTCATCTAAATCAAGCGATGTAGGTATTACTATAATTTTATTTTGACTCTTTAATATACTATCGTTATGTTCGGAAATTACTGTATCAAATGTTACTGTAGAAGGCACTTTCAAGAACTTTGAATAAGTATCTGAAGAATCAGGTGAGTTCAGAGTAGGAGAAGGGATTATTTCAGGAGGTTGATTACTAGAGGAAAGCTGTTCGTTTTCTTGTTCAGGATTTAGGTTTTTATCTAAAGTTTCCAAAGGATTGGAAGAATCAGAAGGATTGGGAATATCACAATGTGGTACTTCTTCTACGGGAAGAAAAGGATCTGGTAAATTCACTGGGCTTGGAATATTAAAAGGACTGAAATCACCTACTTCTGCATTAAAAGGACTAATATCTAATGGGCCAAGTTCTATAAGCTCAGTTTCAGGTAAGTTTACAGGATATGCAGGGTTAACAGGATACCGCGAAAGAGCATCAGCTGCTGAATTTAATTTACCTTTACGGTAAACAATTTCGTATTCAAATTCCTGAAGCTGAAGACGCCATCGTTGCAACTTACTACTTGGGTCTGTGTGGTTAAAAAGCCACTTTAAAGGGCGATGATCAGTTATAATAATAAATTTGCGACCAAACAGGTATGGCCTGAAAGTTTTACAACCCCATACTATGGCTAACAATTCCTTTTCCGTTGTACTATAGTTGATTTCACACTTGTTTAAAGTTCTAGACGCGTAAGCTACGGGTTGGTCTTTTCCGACTGGGCCTTGAGATAAGATAGCAGATATCGCGTAGTTACTTGCATCACAAGTAAGGTTAAAAGATTTTGTAAAATCTGGGTAAATTAAAACTGGGGCAGTAACGAGTTTGTCTTTCAGCATTTCAAAAGCTAATTGTTGTTCGTTTGTCCAGACAAACGGAACATTTTTCTTTAAGAGTGATGTAAGAGATTTAGATAATTTTGAAAAATCGGGTATGAAACGTCTATAATAAGATATGAGGCCTAAAAATGATTTTATATCCTTTGGACATTTTGGGACTGGAAAATTCTGAACAGATTTAACTTTATTCGGATCTGGTTTTAAGCCATTTTCTGTAATAATGTGCCCAAGATAGCCTACTTCTTTCCTTAAAAATTCACATTTATCGGGCTGTAATTTTAAATTAAAGTTACGAAGCTTTTGAAAGACTGCGGTTAAATTGTCAATGTGGCGATTTAAATCATGCGAATAAACAACAATATCATCTAAATATACAAAGCATCTTTCACCTTGGAGCCCTGTTAGAACATTATTCATTAAGCGTTGGAAAGTTGCTGGTGCATTTTTTAAGCCGAAAGGCATTCTAGTGAACTCGAAATGTCCTTGGGGAACACTGAAAGCAGTTTTACAGGCGTCTTGTGGAGCCATTTCGATTTGATGAAACCCGGAAGCAAGATCTAGTGTTGAAAAATATTTTGAGTTACCTAATTGATCTAGAATTTCGACAATGTTAGGGATGGGATAGATTTCACCTATTGTGATATCATTTAACTTTCTATAGTCAATTACTATGCGCCATTTCTTTTGGCCAGAAGCATCTATCTTTTTGGGAACAATCCATATTGGAGAAGACCAGGGAGATGTGGAAGGCTTGATAATATTCTGATCCATCATCTTTTGTATTTGAGAATTGACTTCTTGCTTATGTATTTCAGGAAAGCGATAGGATTTCACATTGATAGGCTGATCAGAGGAAGTACGAATTTCATGTTGAATTGCATCGGTTGAGGTAAGTAAATCATTTGGCAAATGAAATATATCCGAATATTTTGAGCACAGATCGTATAGAGCTTCACTTTCCTCAGAATTTAAATGCGAAACTCGAAGAAGTTTAATGACCTCGTTAGTTCTATTAAGACATGTTTGACTTTTGTCCTGTGATTGGTAAGCCTCATAGTCGATTGGATGTAAGGTAAGTTGAAGGTTAGAATTTAAGGAAACTGGTTTTTCAGAGGTATTTAAAACTGTAAGATTAATTCTATTGTTCTTTTTAACCTTAACTAAGCAATTCGCGATAAATAGCGTGTCACTGACATGTTGATCAAGAATGAGGCCTTCCTTTAATTCGGGGTTAAGGACAGAGCATTCTACAGTGATTTCGGAACGGGGTGGTATTTGGTAAATTGGGTCAGTAAAGTTTAATTTTATTTTATTTATTCCTAGGTTAAGAATTTTACGATTATAATCAATGGAGCACTGATATTTGGTAAGTAAATCGTTTCCTATGATACCATCATAGGGAAAGTCAATTGCATCTACGACGTGAAATTTGTAAGATATTGATTCCTTACCAAATATAAGATTCATATCGAAATTACCAAGGGTAGGTACAGCTTCCTCGCGGCTATCTATACCTTTTAATTTTATGATATTTCTATTAAGTTTTAGATCAAAATATGATTGAACGGAACTTTTTTGAAGAAGACATATCGAAGATCCAGTATCTACTAATAGTGTTAGTGGTTTCTTAGATACGGATGTGTGGATATAAACATGAGGTAAAGATATATTATGTTTGCAGGATATCTCATACACCTTATTCTCTTCTAAGTTATTATTATTAAGGATTCTATTAGGATTTGGATAATTTTGGGTTCTTGTTTGGGGCTGGATACCCTTGTGACCCTTAGAATTGGAAATATGGACACTTGTTTGGGGCTGGTTACCCTTGTGGTCCTTAGAATTCGAAATATGGACACTTGTTTGGGGCTGGTTACCCTTGTGGTCCTTAGATTTGGAAATATGGGCACTTGTTTGGGGCTGGTTACCCTTGTGGTCCCTAGAATTAGAAATATGGGCACTTGTTTGGGGCTGGTTACCCTTGTGGTCCCTAAAATTGGAAATATGGACACTTATTTGGGGCTGGTTACCATTGTGATCCTTAGATTTAGAAGTATAGGTGTCATTGGTTTTGAAGAGTTCTGTGAAAGGTCGGATATCGGGCCTCACGAGACACCTCCGTGAGCCCTTTATTCGTTTAAATGGTTATCTTCATAAGGTTGAGCGTCATTCGAATTTGTATTAGGTTGTGTCTCAAGGTTATAATAATCATCCCTATTGATTACACAATTAACGCGAGAGGGTTGAGGCCTAGAACTATCCTGGTTAGATTGCCTTTGAAATTGGGAAGAAGGGTTAGATTTGAACCGATTATTGTTGTATTCACGTTTCCTACACATTTCTATAGTATGACCGCTTTTCCTACAATAACGACAAAAGAGACTTTGATTAATTCGCTCATGTTGTTTTGGCATTTGTGACTTAGAAACAGCGTTATGATCATTTGAGTGAAAGTTATATTGAGGTTTTGAAAAAATGCGATGTGATGTTGAACTATGGGGATTACGTCTGTTATATGAATTTATTATTTTCTCCTCTGATACTGCCAAATTTATGGCATCGTTAAGGGTGGATGGATTCCGACCACGGACTAAATTAGAAATATCGGGCTTGAGGCCAGTCAAAAATGTGTGTAGAGCTAAGTCTTCCATAGCCGCTGTACGACCGACTAGTTCTGTTTTCTTTTTATTAGACAATGTGACCTCCGTTAAAAGTTTTGAAAGGCAGGTTTCAACGCGTAATGCAAATTGATTAACCGGTTCATTTAATTGTCGACATTCCTGTAATTCCGTCATAAGATGAGCGTAATGTTTCCTCTCACCAAACTGTGTTTTTAGGAATTGACTCAATTGATCCCAAGAATCGAATTCTTTAATAGAGCAAGCTACCTCGGCCTTTCCTTCCAATTGTGATAAAATGAATTTAAATAGTATCGATTTTTGGGCATCAGAAGCTAGGTCAATGGCATTATCACAATTAGTTATAAATGAATTTAATTTTTCGCGTGAGCCATCGAATGGTTTTATGAATTTAAATAATGTTCCGATTTGAATGCCTTCATTTTTTTCTTGTTTGACTTGCGTTTCCCTAAGAGACATTTTAATAGAAATGGAAAAAAAAATACGTTAACGAAGAATAACAATTAAATAAATATGATTCGGTGTAACAGACGGCCACTAAGTTCGCTACTGTGTGGTCTAAGATAAGCGCAAATATGGTATTGAATATCCTGATAATTCCGAGAATAGATTTATGACAAATAATATCTATGTGAAAGTTACAATAAAATTTACATGCAAATAAAATCAATTAATATTATTAGTCCTTAATAATAAAATAATTTCACTAGGATCACGATTACCACAATTACGCACTTGTTTTGAAATTTGCCATTGAAGTACACTTTCACAGGAAAATATGTTTAAAAACTCACAGGAAGACGTAGAAAATGTGCAGGAACATTGCCACCTCAGGATGCGGCGTTTCAGAGAATTGAAGTTTCCCAGGTAGTTCAGGAACAGAGCAGGAATACTCGCGATAGTTATTTTATGAGTTCGATTTTCTTTTATTTTCACCTTTTGACACTTTTGACACTTTTGAAACTTTCTTGAAATTAGGAAAATAATTTAAACTATATATTCATCGAGTCCGAACGGAGACGTACCAGGGATACCTTCACCATCGGTATCCCACCGCTGCCACCAAATTTGTTATAGCACTTTTCACTAATTGGTTTTTAAAAAAAAGAAAATAACTTGGATTTACATAAAACACACTTTTATTTAAAAGATTGGACCCGATTTTATTAGGGCAAGTGTCACGCGCGGATGTTGGAATCGAACTGTCCTATAATTAATATTTAATAATTATGAACCATCAAAAGTGCTGACCAAGGAGAAGGAATAGGGCTACTAGGCGCCATTATATACATAACATATATATAACAGTATGATTGCTCGATTAAGTACTTCACGCGTGCCAGTGTTATCGTTAAATAACAATTAATTTGCGTAGGGTTTTTTCAATTAATTATAAATTAGTAGGCTTAATATGTAGTAGCATTTTTAACAAGTCATATAAATGAAAAACTATGAATTTGAAAAGTCTCTAGCACAGACTCTACAAAGAAAGTAGCAAGAAATTTGTATATAAAGTTGTTTTTTTTAATACTTTACGTAAATCTAAAGATATAAGGAAACCATACACTTCCACATAATAGGCATCACGCAAACCCCAATGCGTAATAATAGAAATAGACGATACAGGATAATACTATGATCAAAGGTTACAAATTATAATTAAAAATGTTGCTAGTAAAAAAACTGCTTTCTCTTAAAATAATTTTACACAAATAATATTCAAAGTTAAACATAAATATTAAAAAAATATTTAATATAGATTTAATTTCCATGTTTCAGCGGCAACCCTAGTAGACCCGAAAGGTGTTCTGGTAAAGCATACTTCACACCCCCCTTCTATGGAAAGTGCGTTCAAAAGTATATAGAAAGAAAAATGTTCGCGCTTAAGCCACCTTTTTACGATTATCTTGTGTCGATATACTTCCCCATACCAAGTTGCTGTAGCTGTGAAGTAAAACGGGAATATCCATTGGCCGATGGTTAGATGTTAAACTCAAAAAAATATTTTATGGCAGATAGGAGTTTTACATATTAATCTAATTAATGCAACCTTGCAGTATTAATATTATCAATACATACATTTCACAGACAACTTGTTTCCATTACCGAAAAATAAAATATTGAAGATCGGCAAAGCTTTTCAATAAAGTTTATGACATTTTTAGAGGTTTTTTTCCATGCTTTGAAGAAGAAAACGGTGTATTTTACTTGTATTTATGTATAAAGCTTCTATATGATACTCATTTAAAATCTTTATTCATGTCAGATAATTCTGGTTTCATGTATATTAATTTAATTATTGATAACTTGAGGTAAACATATATGAATACTAGCGACTCACCCTCGCTCCGCTCGGGTTCGTCCCTGGGGTGGGGTCTGGGAGGACCACCCTTATCCTTATCACTTTGGGGTATGTAAAATAGATAGTAGCCGATTCTCAGACCTACTGAATACGCATATAAAATTTGGTAAAAATCGGTAAAGCCGTTTCGGAGGAGTACGGTAACAAACATTGTGACATGGAAATTTTATATATAAGATAAAGAAAACTTCTACTTTAACGTAACTTCTAAGAGTTCTCTTCAAGATCAGTCCACACAATATATCAAGTTTATACTTAATAAATAATATTGTAAAATATGTAAATGTTACTGCTTATCTAAATATTAATACGTGAAGAGAAAACTTTCAATCTCTTTTTAAGCATATTGCAAGTAGGTACGGAGGACAATGAGCTTTGGCGTAGTCAAATTTTGTACAGAGAAGGACTGCAGAAAGCCAAAATTTATTTTACCCGCGAATCCGCTCGCGTATTTTAAATAAAATTAAAACTAAGCCGAATCTGTACATTAGATATTTTTTGGAAAATTTTATTGAAATAAACATTATTATCGATACAGAGGCCGAATCTATAGTTTTTAGAATTTTTGTCTGTCTGTCTGTCTGTCTGTTACCGCATCACAAGAAAAGTACTGGAGGGATTTTGATACAATTTGGTATAGATTTTAGAATTTTTGTCTGTCTGTCTGTTACCGCATCACGGAAAAATCACTGGAGGGATTTCAATGAAATTTGGCATGATAGTAGTAGGTTACCCGGGTCAAAATATAGGATACTTTTTACTGCGGGAAAATATCGGCAGAAAATATAGATTCGGCCTCTGTATCGATAATAATGTCTATTTCAATAAGATTTTCCAAAAAATATTTAATGTACAGATTCGACTTAGTTAGAATTTTTTTATATGTATAGATTACTTCACTGCTAAAAGAGTATAATGTTAGGTAATCTTAATCTTTTTAATTACTTTTATAATATAAAAATAAAAAAATTTGTTTGTCTGTACGTGCAAATCTCTGAAGCTATAGGCCGGTTTCAAAATTCTTTTGATTTTATCAGCTATCTGTATACCTATGAAAAAAATTAATATCGATCATACTCACAGAAATCTTAATAATAAGGTAATAGAAATGCCATTGCGGTCTTTTAGTACTGGGACGCGTGTCGCCGGCTTGCAGCTACCAACACATTGACAAACAATAAATACACACTATCGCTCACACATGTATTTTGCATTGTTGCAACAAAAATTAAACTTTAAGCGATGACATTACGCAATATTTTCTAAAAACGCATAATCTCAGAACCCGTGATCCCTGTGACCAATAATAAACGTGTGCGAAAAGCACAGAATGATATCGCGCGCTCACTTCTAGTGCAGCACAAAGCGCATAATGCTCATATCGATAATTTTCCGTTGAGTCTTGCAACAATAAGTAACTAATTTATTGAAAGTGTTTTATGTTTCATTCCTCGACGCGATTTTAGACGATTTATTTATTTTCACAAAGGGAATACAATAAAACGTTAAAAGTAAGTATTTTTTTATTATTATATAGTTATACACTCAACAGCTACTATATACTCAACAGCGATATATTGTTTTTAATTCTAGTTTAATTTAATGAAGAGTCTGACTGAATTTTGTTTTTATAATGTTTTTATTGACTTGCATATATATGCATAAGTGATATAAAAATTGACTTGTATAACTACATATATGTTATTATATTCTAAATTGGGTGTATACCTTTGCAATAAATATTATTATTATTATACAAAAGTTATGCAAAGTAATTGTTAAAATCCTATACATTTTTAACAATGACTTATAGAATTTCTATGTTATGTTTATCAAACAACTCGCCCTTAGAATTATTTACTCAATCAAATCAAATGAAAAAAAAAATTTGGTAAATGCGGAACATGTCAACGATACAAGGATATTCAACGCATACTGTTTTTGACTTACCCATATACATAACAATAATAAGCCTACCTCCTAATAATTTTCTAAATGAAAAAGTAGTTTAAAAGTACGAATTTACAGATAATCGTTGATAAATGACTTTTTATAAATTATTCAGACAGAAAGAAAACATACATAATGAGATGTAACAATTAAATATTTAACGAAAAATATTAAGCCAAACGTAATAAATTTTCGATAAAAAATAGTGGTGGCACGTCACTAATTCGCGGTCAACTTGTGCGGCGTGTCCTTGGAATTTACGTACGCGACGATATTGTTCTTTACGCATGACTATTATTTCATTGCTGCTTTTAGCAGTTGTAATAGTAGACATGAACAAGCTTAAGTGGTAATGGTTATTGAATTGAAAAAAAAAAACGTTTCCTGCGATAATCGTAGTAGTGGTGGTGAAAACATTTGATTTGGCAATATTTCTTAAAAACGACATTATTTCAAAAATTAAGTACTTATATATGAAATGTTATCCCTTTATTTGTAAAGTTACAAATTGTGGAAGAATTTCCGCAGTTGGGTATGCTGCAAAACACCATGTTTACCTCTCCGTGTCTCAAATAACACTAGATACCGCAACAAACGCTTTACACGCGCTTGTGACCTACGAGTCACATGCGCGGCGACAAGGTCACGCGTCTATGCCACTTCTATTAGCTTATTATTAAGATTTCTGTGATCATACTTAATGAATTATGGTTGATTTTCAACCACGGAGCGATCACTGCTGCAAATGAAATGTGCTAAAATTTTATATGATTGCACAATTATTATTTAGAACAACTGATAAGCGCACGCACATTTGACAGATGAGTCAAGCTTACAAAAGTTCACAAATTAATTTATTAACAAAAATAAATGAAGAATATGAGTCAAGTGATAAGCAATATACTAAAAACAATATTTAATTATTTTTCATAATAATGGGTAATTTTAAATTTAGTGATTTATATCAATTTATAATATAAATTGATTTAAATTGCTATTAATAATATAACATATAATAGTGAAGACACGGCCCAATGTGTAGTGACCCCTTGCTGTGCTAGCGGTCGCGGGTTCGAATCCGAGAATTATAATACGTCTATGAACTATCTGGTATCTATAACACAGGCCTCGTAGCTTACCATGGAACTAGATGAGGCTGTGTGTTAATACCCCAACCTATTTATTTAATCTATATTTATGTAAGGTTTAGGTAAGTTGAACACTTTTTTCATAGAATTGTATGTTTTGTTTGTTCATGGAAATGTATAGGATTTTATTTATTAAGAAGTGTCTAGATTTCTTATATGTCATTCTTTTCTATAAAAAGAACGGCTTATAGGATTTTAATGGCACATTTTTGTTTCACAGATAATAAATATTTTTTTTTATAAATTGCTTAATTCTATAAATGAGTCATATATCTACTTACATATATGTGTGTAAGAGTGTAATATATATATTTTTAGGAATTTTGAAATCGTTGTATCTTTTTTTGTGAAATAATTGTTATAATAATTATTACACTCTAAAAATAAGGGTCCTTCACACAAATTTTTTAAACACATTTTCTTCTATTTAGTATATAATAGCTTATGTTACGGCGATTGTCAAATTAAAATGTGTCATAATTCATAAGAATAAATAAAGTCAGCCGACTGAAGGTAAAACGTCTCTACCTCCAAGTTAGAGTACCTATATGACTGACTGGTGTTATACATCTATTTAGGAGTTGTTTTGTAATTGGAAAATGCAAATATTTACAAACCTAAAGTTGACTTATCTATAGAGGCAAGTGTTATCTTTTCTCTATCGAAACGGAAATAAATATTCTAAGTTAAATTTTTCTATTAAATTTTCTTTAGAGTATATTATTCTATGAATATCTTTTATCTGTTGGATAACAAAAACAATCATTCGTCTAAGAAAACTTAGTTTATACTCGATGTTTTAGGAAAACAATTTTGTTATTATTTACATATATGTAGTGGTTTTTAACAAATTAACAACTTTACTCATACCTTTAAAAGCTATTATATATTAACAATATCCTTAGTAACAATTAAATAAATTATAATAATATGTAATAATTAATGCAGGCTTGCGTCAGTGCGACTATGGTCTTACTCACATACGTATTAATTAGTTTTACTGATAGGTACAATCTATACTAATATTATAAAGAGGAAAGAGTTGATTTTTTGTTTGTTTATGTGTGCCGAATTTTTATCCCGGAAATCGTCCTTTAAGGGGGTGAAAATGGAGATGAAATTTTGTACGGGGAATAAACCCAGTGACAAACACGAGCGAAGCGAGGATGAGTCGATAGAAATTTAAATAATTTTAAATTGGAAAGTATTAATTTTATTCATATTTTCTATCATTTTTGTTCTAACTGTACATTTTATAATTGTTCTATAATAGTCTGGCTTAAGCAAATAAACATAATATAAGAATTAAAAAAAACAGTGACTGTAGTAACAGTATTATAAAATTGTAGATTTTAATAGCGATCAGCCACACGCAGCCATTTTACTTAAGAGATTTTACTATGAAAAATAAAAAGAAAATAGGTATAATCGATAGATTTTCTAGTTGACTCGTTTACCTACACTCTAGAGCGAAAATTAAAATCAGTTTTTGTCGATAATTTATATTTTAACATATAATATTTTATTATTTCCTATTTTCACCACATATTTCAAAAGTTATAGACGGAAATTCAAATTTTTTTCAACCCTCAGTGACATGCATTAGGAGGGAGAACCGCGATATTTTTAATTTTTCGTAATTTGACTACAGAATTGTCTAGCGGATCGCATATCTACCTAAATTTCATTAGCAAAATAGATTCAATTTTATCTGAGTAAAATAACTATGACAAACGTACAGACAGGTTCCTTTTTGCATTTTGCTACGGAATCCTAATAAAAATTACCTAGGGGGCGGCATTTCAAAAACATTGTATGATATTCAGAAAATCTACAGCACGGCGCTGACCGCGTTGTGAGCAATTTAATATATTTGGCAGATTTAAACTATTCACAATTTTAAAATATGATGAAATAATTATTTTGACATGCACATTATATCAACCGTATTTTTAACTTTTACTTTGGTTGTTGTAACTTGTAACCGAAAATCAATTAAAATCATTAATTTTTTATTATTTACTAGCGACTCATCCTCGCTTCGCTTGGGTATGTTCCTAGGTACGTTTTAAGTAGATATTAATAGATACTGCGAGTGTACCATAGGAGAACAACTTATGCTATTGCAGATTTTTTTGTAAACCTTATTAAGATCTACAATTTTCTAGTACATGGTTTTGATGTATCTCTTGAAGTTATTTCGAATGCTTTACAGCATCCATGGTCACGGGAGAGACTGAGGTGTTACATGTCTTAAAGATATAGTTGTTACAGACAGCCTACCCACAATCAACAAAATGAAAAATGCACCAATTACTATACAATATTTTTAACTTTAAAACATTTTTATAATTTTACCTAATTATAATTGAATATGGAAAATTATTTATTTAATTTTTGCTATTATTTTTATAATTATTACAATTTTAAAATATTAATTAGTAATCTATATTTAGTGTTGCCATTATTATATTTATAACCATAAAGAAAAATATAAAATATAGTATTAATTATTTAAGCCATATAATTGTTCTATGTGTAATTTAAAAAGTTAAAATTAATTAAGGATAATAATTTTAATTTAGTTTGCTATTATTTCAAAACAACTTACTAAGCAACACTATTACTATAAACTTTTACAATAGGCTGTCTGTAACAACTATACCTTCAAGACATGTAACACCTCAGTCTCTCCCGTGACCATGGATGCTGTAAAGCATTCGAAACGTCGGGAACCAAAAATCAAAATAAATCCGCGAAATAATCCGAAAAGATAGTTTTATTTAATAATGTCAAACATTCGCGTAAATCTAAGAAAGTATTAAGAATTGTTAATATTTATAATCGACATATTCTCTAGTTGACTTGTATATTTACATTCTAAAGTGAACATTAAAATCATTTTTTGTCGATAATTTATATTTTAACATAATATATTATTTTATTATTTCCTGTTTTCACCACATATTTGAAAACTTATAGACGGAGGACATCCCCAGAAGCTAATGTGGATGTTTATTTTTTCACCCCTCAGTGATATGCAGCGGTAGGAAGACCGACTCTATTTTTAATTTTTCATAATTTGAATACAGAATCGTCTAGCGAATCACATACGAGTATCAACCAAATTTCAATAAAATAGATCCAATAGTAGCTGAGTAAAATTACTATGACAAACGGACAGACAGGTTCCGTTTTTGCTTAATGCTACGGAATCTTTAATGAAAATTACCTAGGGGGCGGCATTTCAAAAACATTGCATCATACTGAGAAAATCTACCACACGGAGCTGTCCGTGATATGAGTGATTACATACATTTGGCAGATTTAAACGACATATTCACAATTTTGAAATATGATGAAATAATAACAATTACTTTAACGTGCACCTTAAATATTGTCAACGTATGTTTAACGTTCACTTTGGTTGTTGTAACTTGTATTATATAATATATATATATATATATATATATATATATATATATATATATATATATATATATATATATATTATTTTTTTATTATTTATTACTGACCTCGCTTCTCTTGGTTGCATCCCTAGGTACGCTTTAAATATATAATATGAATAGATACTGCGAGTGTACCCTAGAAGAAAGATTTATACTATAGCAGATTTTTCTGTAAACCTTATTAAGACCCACAATTTTCTAGATTCATACAATGTTTTAATGTATCTCTCAATACCTCGCGGTTAAATTCTAAGAAAATACTTGTTAACAGTTAACTGAGCCATCTGTGGTTAAAAATAAGGTTAATAAAATTAGACACTTAAATTTCTAAGAACGACTCGATAGAACCAGTTACGAGTATTACGTTTTCTCGTCGAAATGACAGGTTTTCCTGCAGTAAAACGTATCCTAAATGTTGATCCGAATAATAAGTTATCACTACACAAAATGTAATTAAAATAGGTTCAATACTTTCTGCTTGATCACGTACATCGGTTTCGCTTTGTTAATGTTTTATTATGTATATAAATAGTTTATTATTATTGTTATTATTATACTCTGGTTCTACAGAATTAAGATTGTGGAGCTCAATCGTTTAATGTACGTTAAACTCATTTAAATAGACGTTAAAGAACTTCCCCCCCAACGTGCGTTCACCTTGTCGTGGTGGGCGGGCTCAGTAGTAGTAGTACGAAGCTAAGAAACGCACAGGGAGGTTGCCCACTTCGGTGGGCGGTGGGAGGTGGCCCTCTTCGGGGGGCGGTGTACCTTGCGGGTTGCTCCTGGTACTTCTCTGATAGCAGAGTGGACCTTGGAGCAACCCCAAGGTTGTGGTGGTCTGCTTTGGCAGACCTGCCGTCGGGGCGTCGTAGTTGAATGCGTAAGCGATCCTGCGACGCCCCATTAAGACGGGGGAAGGTTTTGTTGGGTTTTAGTGGGTAGTACTGGCTGTATTACGCCGGTGAGTCCCACACGTCGTGCGTAAATGCATTTCCCAACGTTAAAAAAAAAAAAAGACGTTAAAGAACTTCACTATCTTAATTCTGACCGACATTGATGTTTTCCGGGCCGATTCCGGCTACGGCGGCCAATCTCATTTAGACTAGCCAACTGCGCAGGAGATATTATAGTGCACAAGTGTACGCGCAGACACAACGTGCACTCTCTATTCCTGTCACCCTCATACTCTGGTGGGACGACTACTCGACACGACCAGTGAGAGTTAAGGCGCAGAACCGACGGCTTTACGTGTTCTCCGAGGCACGGGGGTGAAACACTGCCAACTTCCCAACTCTGGGCTATTACTGAGGCTTAATATAAAGAAATACTCAATAACTAAACTTGGCCCGACCCGGAACTCAAACCCAGGACCTCCGGATGCGCAGCCGTACATGCTAGCCACTACACCACCGAGGCAGTTAAATCTGACCGACATTAGGATTCTCCATACTCACTAAGTTTCAAAGCAACACGATTGTAAAAGTGGTAACCCGATCCTCCTTCCATCCATTTCTTTATATCCAGATCGATTTATTTGTAATATGTGTAGATAATATAATAATATAACGAAATTATAATATTTATAAAGTAACAAGTGAAGCTAATAAAAGCGTGTAAAAATTGTTTTCTTATTCCAATTAATTAGAAAACGGTTAGATCAAATGATCAAATTAGTAGGAACCTATTTCTTAAAATAAAACACTACTCGCTAAACTAAATCGAATTAAATAACGACAAAAATATATTAAATACGATAAACACGTAACCTTTACTTGAGCTATTTTGCGATAAGGGAATATTCATACCAAGCAACATCCAACATATTTTTTATGTATGCCATATGTTATAGATACATGCTTATAAGTAATTGTAATTTTACTTCAAAAAAAGTTCAATGTTAAGATTTGATTTGACGACACGTTTGGCTCAGTTTATAGTTACCCTACTTGGTGCGCCAGCGGTCGTGGGTTCGAGTCCCGATGGGGGCATTCATTTGTGTGATGAGCACAAATGTATGTACTCCAGTCATGGGTGTTTATATTTATATATGTATGTACTTAAAAGTCATATATGTGTAGTGTATCAACTATCTGGTATCCATAACACAAGCCTCGTAGCTTATCATGGAACTAGATGGTGATGTGTGTTAATGTCCCAACATATTTATTATTTATTTATTTTATTTATTAAGATTTTCATCTATCACCTTCAACCAGGCGAGAATATGTTCCGTACTTCTTAAACATGAATTTGAAAGCTTGTAACGAAAAGTAAAAGCTGACCCAATTACGATTTAACGCTGTTAAGATGACGAGTATCTAAAAAAATAATAATACCTGAGCTTTTAACGTCATAACTTAGTTTTCAGTAAAACAGTAATTATTAAGTAACATGGGGATATATATAGAGCGTCCAGATTAATTTATTACATTACGAGTGTAACACTCGCCCTAGCCATGGCGAGGGTTCGAAAAGGCATCGTCGCTACTTTAACGGTGCATATTATTTTTTTGAGATTCTTAATAATTAGTTTCATATAATTTTTAAATATTTAAGTTTTTAGTTATTATTTAACTTTTATTCTACACTACATTTAACATTACATTATAGATATCTATTTTTTTTTTCTTATAGCTTCTAGTTTACAGTACATGCGTACGTGCGGATGTGTTAGATGAAAATGGTAATTTTTATTGAATTTTAATTCAATTATATTAAATGATGTACATATATAATTCATTGATGTATATATGTTTTATTTTTAATCTATCACATTTCTTTCCAGGAAATTTCAAAATTAGTTGGAAAGGACATTTTGGGCTAAGCCACATGTATAAGTGGTATCCAGACCCATACGTCCCCAGCGACTGCATGAAATACTCGATATGTAACAATTTTGACCACTATCCTACAGAACTAGCTCATTGGGCGCTCGAAGAGGTATGTGTTATATACTCGTAAATTAGCTAATTTCTTAAACTGTAAAATCATTGTGGAACTTCCCACCGGGCCAGAGTTTATCATTTCGATGACAGCGTAATGTAAATATTTCTATTGGTCATGGGTGGTCGTTCTGTACAGTGCAGGAATGTGTAGGATAAAAATGAATACCTATTAGACATTAAATAATATTGTTTTATCGAACAAAATATGAACAACAAAACAAAATAAAATAACATATTTAAAAACAAGCTTTTATTTAAATGCTCTAAAAAGAAGAAAATTAACTTTAAATTAAAGCAAACCCATAAATTTATTACATTACACAATTCATATGATATGAAAGCTTGTCGCGAGATTTACCTGTGCAGATAAACAAAAATATAACATTTAAAATATGTTATTTTTATTTTATGATTAAGTAAAATAAAGTCTGCATCACAGTTGTAGTTAAAACTGTAGTAATTTTTTTTTGTCGTAAATTTTTTGCTATTTGTTTTAGATGTGGTTCAATTTTAAATTTAGTAAATACACAATGGAGAGAAAGGCGGTTGACAGAGATGAGGAGATATACCAGCTGTGTCCTTCTAAGGAAGAGGTGATATACAATTTGTAATTAATGTGATTGTCTTAATAATGAACCAGTGCCTGAGCTTTGATCGACTTGTTTTTGTAAAATCATGTTTTTTCGGAAAAGAAACAAAAATGCGTTTTTTTTAAATAGTATATAGGTAATATATGAATAATCTTAAAAAGAATCTTTAGAGACGTTCCCGAGGTATATAGTATATTTTTATTTCAAAATAAAACATTTTGCTTATAAGTAAGTATATTATTAAATTACATTTAAATATATGAATATATTTATAAACAAAACAGGATCATTTAATATTATAATATAAAAATAAATATTAAGTATTTAATTAGCAATGAATTATTTTTACAGATAATCTATCCGACAGCAGCATTGAGTACTTTGAATGAGGAGTGGTATTATATATTGAACTTACCTAATTATAATTTTCAAGGATATCATGTAAATAAATGCGAGTAAGAGTTTTTTTTCTAATTTAGTTACAAAATAAAAGATAATAAATAAATCACTAAATAAATTAGAATTGTGTTTGTGTTTGTTCAAACACAATTCTATAATCTCTAATCTCAGGAACTACTGGGAATTATCTAGAACGGTAATAAGTTATAATTTATGTTAAGTTAAAACTTAATACATGTAGCAAATAGGATATAATAATAAATCATGTTTAACATCATAGGTACAGTTATGTTTGGTTAGTTACTATTAGGAGGACATAAAAAGATCATATACATGAAAAAAAAAATAACATACTTTTTTTCTTTTAGCAATATCTCATCAAGTTGTCAAGGACTGAGTTCATCAAAGCGATCAGAGTGTGAACAAGTATATACAGACAGAAAGATGATCTATTTTGATCTAAAGGAACAATTTGTTGGTATAAAGTCTTTTAAAGTTCCTTCGTGCTGTTCCTGCGCCGTATATTTTTAGAAAATTGTAGTTAGTAAATATTTAAAACTTTATTTATATTTGTTATATGTCAAATAAAGTATTATTATTTACACAAAATTTTCATTAAAGCTCCCACACACGTTGTTTTTACGAAATACTTTTACAAAACAGGTATTAAATATTTACAACACAATTATATAATCTTAATATAGTTAAATAATAATCATTACATTAGAAAAAACGTGTGTATGTACTTATGTACATAAGAAATTATACTTCTTTGGCATAACATAACAAAAATAGCTAAAGACTTTACCCCGTATGTCACAACTCTCTGTTTTTAAAAGGAATACAGCTATTTTAAATTAAACTATCTTTTCGGATTTTTTTGCGAATTTATTTTGATTTTTGGTTCCCGACGTTTCGAATGCTTTACAGCAATCATGGTCACGGGAGAGTCTTTCCCGTGACCATGATTGCTGTAAAGCATTCGAAACGAAAAGATAGTTTTATTTAAAATGTCAAGTATTCGCGTAACTCTAAGAAAGTAGGAATACAGCTATATTAATCATGTCGCTTTCAGCTAACTTCATCATGTCGCTTTTTGGTTGTCGGTGTGCGTGCGTATCGAAAAAAATTTACTCTCATATTTTTTTCCAAACGTGCGAAAAGAAGTATAATTTCAAAATGATACTGAAATAAAAGTTAATAATAAGTACATATCGACGTAGGAAAGCATATTTGCTGTAAGTAGACATATTTCAATTGTTCACCAGAGCCAAAAAACTTTATTAATTTCGGAAAAAAATTAATAGTGTCTGACCTATCCATGATATTGCTACCATTTTTGGAACATAGGTTTATTGAACTGCCAGTCACCATTTGCAATGTAAACTTTTTATCCAAAGTTACTATAAGTACGTGTTTGGCTAGTTACAGCAAACCGTTTTTTAAATCACATACCTTTAAAACGCTGTAACTAAGGAAGAAAAATATACGCGTAGATGGATATTATCAATTTACAGGCGGTAAATATGCTGTATGCAGTAAATTTATTTATTTGGGTACTGCCATTCATGATGTAAGATTAAATTTATAATTATAATTAGATCTAGAAATGCAGTGGGTAAGTTGGTAATGTAATTTTTGGTTGAAATAAAATGTCGTAAATGGTAAAAAAATAATAATGGTCTTTTAAATTGTTGAAACAAAATTTGAAACTCTAATTATGCTGCCAGAACTTCGTTTCAACAATACAATGAATTAAAAAAGTATTTTTCTCTTATATATATATGAGATAAAACATAATGAGACAATAACAGAATGTCGTACAGGGAATGAAGGGTGCGGGCGGAGCCGGTAGCGACGCGGTAACACCGAAACAACTTCAAAGTACTATCATTTTTTCAATGACGTAACGGTAAAATGAAATGATAAATGATTTATCAAAATGCATTATCTCAAATTTCTAAAAAATCACAGGTTTTTAAAATGCATTATGTGGTGTGAGCTTTTAAAGCAAATACGTGATGATTTGCTGTAAATAACAAAAACTAAAACTGTAGGTTCCCTAAACTTGCTGTAAGTAAACGAATGTAAAAATCACACGCCGCACATATGCTGTAAGTAGCGTTAAGTTTTTAAATGGGAAGAAGTAAGTATTTGTAAAGCAAAAAATGCAGTCTTTCTTTTGCTGTAAATACAAAATATCTAAAATGACTAGATTTACAGCATTTAATCTTGCTAAAAAAATATAAGTACGGGCATTTTCAACGGCGTATGTAATTTTTTTTCATCGTATAGACACAGGTGGTATGACCCGGGTGGTCATTCGATGCGGCTTTTTTTTCTGATTCTAATGGTAGTAAAAAGTCACTTTAGGTATTTTGTCTACTTACAGCAAATATGCTTTCCTACGTCGATATATACATATCTACACTAATGTTACAAAGAGGTAAGTTTGTGCGTTTGTGATGTTGTAGGGGGTAATCTCTGGATCTACTGAACCGATTTAGATGAAATTTGGTTAGAAAATAGTTTGAGAACCTGAAAAGGACATAGGATACTTTTTATCCTGGAAATCATCTCTTAAGGGGGTGAAAATGAGGATGAAAGTTTGTATTGGGAAGCAAGCTAGGGACGAACCCGAGCGAAGCGATAATGAGTCGCTAGTCTAGACATATATACGTACACATATCTAGAAGAACTTTGATTACTATAACATTTATTTATTTTATTTATAAAATAGTTGAACGTCACCAATGTTTAATATTTATTTTGTGTGTTATTAGAGAATCTTTATCATTAGCTACGTAAAAAGTACTTATTATTTACGCCTATATATAGACTTGTGTGTTTCACAATTTTATTCAAAGCCATGGCTCGTGCAGGAGTAGTTGTTATAATGTATTGTTATGTAAGATTATATTTTTCTTTATATTTGGCTGGACCTATTTTAATATATATTTTTTTTATTTTAATATACACACGTACAAAAGATTTATTTACGTTTTTGGACAGAACAACTTCTGTCAGGTCCGCTAGTAAAATTGTAAATTATTTTAAAATAGTCCATTCAAATCATTATTTCTCTCAGTTCTTTTAATATTTTTAAGTATCATATTATTATCACTTATTATTGTTTACATATAACCATTGTTATATTATTGTGTATTTTATAGTTTCAGATGTTAATGACGAAATCTATTACAGATGGTAAGTTTCTTGCAATAGCAAATTTATATTTTCAGTACTAAACAATATAAATTACTATAAATTACTATAATATAATAATAATATATTTTTTTCAAATTTCGTACATTCGTCGGTCGGTCGGTCGGTCGGTTGGTTATTTATTTATTTGTTATTTAAATGGCTCTCGAACACATGTACATATTAACTTACATCTAACACATGCCTATCATCTATTGAAATTACTATGTACTTCCAATTATAGGAGAACACATCATTCTATAAGAATAACAGTGTCTATAATTTGCTTATAAAGTAAAGTGATTAACAATTGCTTGCTTAATGACTACAAAAATAAATTTAATAAATAAAATATATTATAATAATTTATGTAAATTTTTTTTTGGGTATTATAAAAGTTAACAATTAATTAATTTGCTAAAGTGTCGTTACATTTTTTTCACAAAAACTGAGATCCCGTCACAACCAATGTCTAGTGTTGTTATGCTTTTTACAAAATCATTGTATACGCGTGATATTATTATACGTGTTATTGGAGCGTTTTGTCCAAGTTTCGTTCGAGTGTTATTCGTCTTGATCAATGACGTTGACGATCAATGATCATGTCTATTTTATTTCAGACACTCCAAAAGAATGTAAGAAATATGGAATATGTGCAAATGTTGAAAACTATCCCACTGAATTAGCAAAGAAATTGATCGCAGAGGTGGTTGCCTTTTCATCTCCAATATAATTTAAATAATTTATTTTCAACCGACTTTCAATACCAAAAAGGAAAAGGTTCTCAATTCGTCGGAATCTTTTTTTTATGTATGTTCACCGCTTACACAAAGACGCCGGAACCGATTAGGAAAATTTTTTTTTTGTTTCATATGGTATACTTCCCAGGTAGTCTCATATAAATTTGGCACCGACTTCGAAAATATCTGATTAGGTATCTATTCTAAATGAAAACCTCCGTTTAGTTATTTTTTACATTTTAGTGCCTGGAAGTCGATTTTTATTTTTTGTTAAAAAGTTTTTGATTAAATCGAATTCACTACTTAAGGTTTAAAACAGTCGTTAGTACGAGGACAATTGGAAAATTTTGGAAAATCTTATTGAAATAAACATTATTGTCGATACAGAGGCCGAATCTATAGATTTTAGAATTTTTGTCTGTCTGTCTGTCTGTCTGTCTGTCTGTCTGTTAATCTGTTACCGCATCACAGAAAAACCACTAGAGGGATTGTGATGAAATTTAGTAGAGTAATAGCTGGTTATCCGGGTCAACATATAGGATACTTTTTACCGCGGGAAAATGACTCATTTCTGAGAAAAAATACAAAAACTACAATGTAAGAGTATACTAATATGTAAAACCTAAGAATTTGTTTTTTGGTCATCTGAACGCGGGCGGAGACGCGAGTAATGCTAGTTTATATATTATTTATATAACCGTAGAGATAAAAATATAGAAATAAAGATTAATGTATGTATTATAACTATATATGTATGTCCAATACTATTTAAATTATAACAATCAACCATAGTTTTTAAAGTTGTTTTTCTTCCTGATTTCAGCTTAAAACTCGAAATACCATTTTTACTGTTGACGAACCTCCAGAAGAACCAACGTTTAATATGAATAGAGTAAGTTTTATTTTTTATACAAATATCAGTTACAAATCAATCTATCAATCAAAATATGCTTTATTCTAATAGACTTTTAAAACATCACTTTTACAATTTAAATCTATACAGATAATAAAATTGTAACAAAGTCGAATCTCTACATAAAATATTTTTTGGAAAATTTAATTGAAATAGACATTATTATCGATACAGAGTCCGAATCTATAGTTTTTAGAATTTTTATCTGTCTGTCTGTCTGTTGCCGCATCACGAGAAAACCACTGGACAGATTTTGATGAAATTTGGTATGATGATAGCTGGTTATCCGGGTCAACATATAAATAAAATAAAAAGAAAATATCTCCTTTCTGAGAAAAAATACAAAAACATATGTAAAGCCTAAGAATTTGGTTTTTGGTCATCTGAACGCGGGCGGAGCCGCGGGCAATGCTAGTATAAATAATATAATAGATGGAGGTCTGGAGAGGGATATAGGTTACTTTTTACCGTTTTACCGCGGCAGACTATCTCGTTCCCACTGGAAAATAAGTTATATGTATTCCATACTAAACTAACCAACTAGGCACGAGGTATGGGACTCACTGGTAAAACCAGTACTACCCATTAAGACCCAACGGAACCCCCGTCTTAATGGGGCGTCGCAGAATAGCTTAGACATTCAACCACGACGCCCCGACGGCAGGTCTGCCGAAGCAGACCACATCAGCCATGGGGCTGCGAGATCAAGAAGTATCAGGAGCTACCCGCATGGCACACCGCCCACCGAGGCGGGCCACCTCCCTTTGCGTTTCTTGGCTTCGCACTCGGCTGGATTACTGGGCACTACTGCCCCACCCAGCCCCCCACCATGACAAGGTGAACGCATTTAGGAGGGGACCTAGGGAGGAACCTGAGTCTGAAATAAAATAAGCGTTCCTTGGCTGCCTCGTCGGTCTAATAGTAATTGTAAAAAACTATAGTAGTAGCGTATATTATTGAGTTGTTCTACTGGGAAATATTCAGTAATAATAGTTTAGAAAAGTGCCAAGTAATCTGCTTAACGCCCGCTTAATATTACGTGGGACTTCGAAAACATAGTTGGCGAAATATGAGTGTATATTATGTATTAATCTTGTGTGGCTACCATTTAAGTAATGTAAATATACATAGTTTTATTTTAGTGAGGTATCACACAGACAAGACAAGTCTTCTTTGTCTATCTAGACTATTTATTTTATTATTTTAGAGGAAATGGTTGAAAAACTTGGAGAACAGCAAATTTTTTAAGGAAAAATTCTTCGAATCACTTAGTATTAAGTTCATCTAAATATTGTACTTATTGTGTTTTTCACATTGTTTAATATATGAAGAAACTGAAACTATAACAGCTATATTATTGAAGTTCTGATTCTCAAATTATTATTTTAAAAATAAAAAGATTGTGGTGGCATTCCGTACATGGGACTAGTGAAAAATAAAATTTAAGTACTATATAAGTGGTATAAATACTTAAATTGACATAGCTATTACTCTTTTTAGGTACGATACTTTTAACGTAAATTATTATTTGAAAAAGATATGTGAGTAGTTTTAGAGATATGGTATATTTTCATAAAAATAGAATAAAATACAATAAATTTAATTAATTAATTATTCGCCCTCCAGCTAGATGGAGCGACGATATATGAAAACTGGCTTGCAACGGTTGGACGCACAGAGCTGAAGATTGAGCTCAGTGGCGTGCCATAGGAGAGGCCTTAACTATGTCCAGTAGTGGACAATGCTGAATATGATAATGATGACGATGATGAATAGCTTATTTATTGAGGATATAGGAAACTTTAATAAATCACGTTACGGCTTTTAGGAGCGGGGCAATTAATATAAACACACGAGGCGGACGAAGCCGCGGGCACATACATGCTAGTACATTATATTAGCGACCAGCTCTTGCTTTACTCGTGTCGTGTCGGAACTCTGCTCTGCCCACCTAAACTGTTTCTAGTATACATATTAATATCCTACGAGAGATATGATATTTGTTTTCTTTATTTCATTAGTGAGATAGAGCCGGCTATGATTATATCATGTCAATTTGTTAAACCATGCATATATTAATTTTTATATTACTTTTTTACAGCTTGCATGTAGCTTAAATTCAGGTGAGGACAGGCAAGCAAACAAACAAAGTCTTTGTACAACCATAAAAAAGGTATTTTTTTTAAATAACTTTTTTATTCTCCATATAAAAATAATATACCAAAATAAAAACAATGCGTACCTAATAACAAAATATTATGATTATCGTAATCCGTACCCTTTTACCGTACATGTCCAACAGTAATTAATTATTACAATGTTTGCACTAATTTAAATTTTGAATTCCAGTCATGGTCACCAAGACTCGCTCACCACGACAGTGGTGATTTTAAACATATCTTAAACGATGATATTCCAATTCAAGTATTCAGTATAGGAATATGCCAAAATTCTAACGAACCAAGGTATATTTTTTATATATTTTTATTTTACATAATATATCTATGTTTAACTGATCAGCGTTCAATGCAAAAACTGAAGGAATCATAATGCATTAATTAAATTTTTACCGGTGGTAGGACTCTGTCAAGCCTGAGGAGTCCGACTGGATGGGTACCACCCCCTTATCTATTTCTTCCCCCAAGCAAAAACGATTACATTGTTGTATTCCGGTTTGAAGGATAAGGTAGCCAGCGCAATTACAGGCAAGAGGCATATCATGTTAGTCCTCACAGTGACAACGCATTTTTGTAATATAAAACCTAAGTGCATTAACCGTAGGTGTTATGGGCAACAGGTACCGCTTTCAATCAGGTGGGCTATCTGCTCACTTGTCACTGAATACCATAAAAAAAAGTGTATGCGCCAAAACAATAGACTAAATAAAGTATGTGCTATGAAAACAAATAAATATGTTGGGACATTAGAACACAGCACCATATAGTTCCATAGTAAGCTACGAGGCTTGTGTTATGGATACCAGATAGTTGATGCACTACATAATACATATATGTATGCCTTTAAATAGGTACATACATATTATAAATATAAACACCCATGACTGGAGTACAAACATTCGTGCTCATCACACAAATGACCCCGCGACCGCTGGCACAGCAAGTGGGGTCACTACAAACTGAGCCAAACGTATATATATATATATATCCCTATTTCCCTTGGTCACGCCATCACGCGTGAACGGCTGGAACGATTTAACTATTTTCTTTTTGTTGTGTTTGTTATTCTCAGGAGAAGGTTCTTATGAAAGAAAAATATGAAAAATTAACGAAAAAAAATATTAAAATGTATATGGCTAACGCTGGCTAATAACCGAAGCCGCGGGCAGAAAGCTATAGAAAAAAAGAATGGCACTTTATATTTTATGTAACGGGTGATTTAACTTAAAAGCCATATTAGCCGAGTTACATGATTGTACAGTCTTAAGCATTGTATTTGAGTTATATCATTGTAGTCTCTTCCTCTAACTTTCTAAAGAAAGAGTAGAAAAATTTTAAAATGTGCCAAAAATAAAGATAGTGGAGTTTACTAACTATTTTAATTTACAGAATTTATGTTAAAAAATCTTTAAAAATGGATTTCTTTTTTATTTTTTTTTAAATAAAAAAATTCCATCTCGCTGTGGAACGAACTCCCTGCCGAGGGCTACAGTATGGGGTCCTTCAAAAGGGGAGTAAATAGGTCCTTAAAGGGTTGGCAACGCGCATGTGATGCCCCTGGTGTTGCAGGCATCCATAGGCTGCGTTAACTGCTTACCATCAGGCGGGCCGCATGCCTGATTGCCACCGACGTGGTATAAAAAAAAATGTTTTTCATAATATATTTAAGAAACACGAACTTATTTGTGTAAGTCATAAAGTATGTATGTATTGTGAAAACGTAAAAAAACCACCCTCGATGCACGAATCAAAATCATACACATTTGAAAATCATTACAGCCATCAAAATATTATTAGTTATAACACAGAGCCCAAGAGTTTGTTTTTAGTAGTTTGAACGCGGGCGAAGCCACGGGTACTGCTAGTTAATATATATATTTTTATATATATTCCAGAGATGATATATCCATGTTATGTCGCAGTGAAACAATGTTGTTGGGATACGAAGGCCAGTGCATTGAGAAAACGAGACTCAACGAAATGTATTATATAGAGGGCAACCGAACTGCAAGAGGGTACTTTCATGTTCCAACATGCTGTTCTTGTGACTTAAAACGTATCTAATAGCTGAATTCAAATGAAACCAGCAACTCCTGAGTTTCATGAGGAACGCTTCCACAAAATTTGTTTTTATTTTCTAATATAAATATGTATATTTTGTTTAATGGCAACCAAAATAAACCCATGTTATATAAACGCATAATAACTTATTTTGTCCTGCTCCTTCACCTATTAGCCAATGTTTTGTTAACTATGTTATATTGACTCTATAATGTCACGGGATACGGATAGTGTAATATTCATAATTCTAGTTTGAGACATAGTCGTTTCAAGTTAGTTTTTTATACCATAATATTGCAATATCAACTCGTAATTTTAAAAACATAGTAAATCCAGAAAACCTTAAGAGATTAAAGTTTGTTTAATCTGATGCCATAGCTAGGGTTGATCTCTGAGTAACTCATACCGACACTGAATAAATCATTTGCGATAATAAATATATCAAGATAAACTAATATATCAAGTTTATAATAAATAATATTGTAAAACTAGCGGCTCACCCTCACTTCGCTCGGGTTCGTCGCTAGGTACGTTTTAAATAGATATAAATAGTTATTAGCCAGCGTTAGCCATATAATTTTTTTTTGTTAATAATATTGACAAATATTGACATTAATATTTATACGATAGTAACGACACTCCATTGTTTTGCCGGAACCCCTCCACTAACACTTAAACTTTATGGTATGGTATTAAAGTTCAAATTGACTTTTAAGTATTATTACGAATCTTTTGTATGGGAAAAGAAAAGTGAAGAAGAAAAGTGTTGTTTTTAGACTTTTTCTGGCACTTTTCTCCCCGTAAGAACCATCCTCGTACTTCAAAGAATATTCTAAAAAAAGAATTAGCGAAATCGGTTCAGCTGCTCTCGAGATTTGCGCTTACCAACACATTCAGCGATTCATTTTTATGTTATAGAAGATATGTAAATGTTATCTTCTTATACAAATCAAATGTACCAAAATTGTATATAATTTAAAAATTATTATTTAAAACAACTGATAAGCACATTTGACAGATGAGATAAGCTTACAAAAAATCACAAATTAATTTATTAACAACAATAAATGAAGAATATGAGTCAAGTGATAAGCAATATACTAAAACAATATTTAATTATTTCTCATTATAATAAGCAATTTAGCGATTTATATCAATTTATAATGTATGTAATTCTCGGTATTTACTGGCCCGACAAAATTTCCAACGAGCAACTTTGGGAACGCTGCAATGAAGTCCCGATCACTCAGCAGATCAAATGCCGTAAATGGCGCTGGATAGGTCACACGCTCCGAAGGGATCCAAACCATATACCGAGGCTAGCCCTAGACTGGAATCCCCAAGGAAAACGCATACGCGGTCGTCCTAAACAGACCTGGCAGCGGACAGTCATTGGCGAAGCGAAGGCCATCGGGAAAACCTGGAGCGAAATCAAACGCATAGCTCAAGACCGAACGGGATGGCGATGCACTGTGGACGCCCTCTGCCTCACCTAGGGGACACAGGAACATAAGTAAGTAATTCATACTGAGAAAATCTACCACACAAAGCTCTCCGCGATATGAGTGATTACATACATTTGGCCGATTTAAACGACATATTCACAATTTTGAAATATGATGAAATAATAAAAACAATTATTTTAACGTGCACCTTAAATTGTCAACGTATTTTTCGCGTTCACTTTGGTTGTTGTAACTTGTAACCGAAAATCAATTAGAATCATTACCTTTTATTATTTACTACTGACGTCGCTTCGCTCGGGTGCGTCCAAAACACTAAATTTTGTTGACTGTATAGTAGGCAACTTAATAGGCTTGTGATTCTACTGCCTCGTGTTCAACTGCCTCGGTGGTGTAGTGGTATGTACGGCTACACACTCGGAGGTCCTGGGTTCGAGTCACGGGTCGGGCCAAGTTTAGTTATTGAGTCTTTCTGTATAGTAAGCTTCAGTAACAACCCGGAGTTGGGTAGTTGGCGGTGTTTCACACCCGTGCCTCGGAAAGCACGTAAAGCCGTCGGTCCTGCGCCTTAACTCTCACTGGTCGTGTCGAGTAGTTGTCCCACCGGAGTATGAGAGTGCATTTGTGTCTGCGCGTACACTTGTGCACTTGTGCACTTGTGAAACTTTATTATATAATTTTAATAATTCTTGAGACCTAGATAAGGCTTTATAATATTATAATTACTCGAATCACAACTGTATTTTTACATCATCAACCACACATTCTTAACGCAACTGTACCTCATAGTATTGTTCGTATAAAGAGTCAATCTTGTTCATGCGCAATTGTAACTCGATAACATCACAACTATTTAAGAAATTCATACCTACTGGGAAGCGTGTGATGTTGGAACCTATATATATATAATAACAACTTCAATTTTATAAAATAATAAAATACTTAAATATACAAAAAGTTCATTTACCTACTTGCTATGTAATAAGTAATTGTTAACTTATATTTGTACTAGCGGACCCGACAGACGTTGTCCTGTCTACACGTCTTTAATTTGAAAATTTCAAACTTTTTTTAATAATTTTTTTGATGAAAATTATTATTCAAATTGTGAATCTAAACCATTTCCAGATCCCCTTGAACACACACAAAAAATTTCATCAAAATCGGTCCAGTCGTTTGAGAGAAGTTCAGTGACATACACACTCACAGAAGAATTATATATATAAAGATATACAATTAATAAACCTATACCTAATGACAAACTTTTATTTTTTATTTAATTTTGTCTTAGACGTGAAATCTAACTAAATAACTTTAAGAAATTATAACTTTAAGTACATTACCAATTAATTAACTTAATTTACAATATAATTACTAATAACTTGTAATAATATCGAACACTAACTAACAAATTATTTCTAAAACATACCACGAGTTATAATAATAGTTATACAGGTAAAAATGTACTACACTTTTATATAAACTTACTATAAAATTAAATACAGCCTGTTTGAGTGTTGGTATGACGATATATTTATAAAAAAAAATAATTAAATTCATTATGTACTGTATGTCGTTAACAATCGCTGATTTGAATATATAATTTTCAATAACTTTTATTCATACCCATATAAACCCTATCCGTTCCATAAAGGACCATGTACGGGACTAACAGGGACACGGGGTAAAAATAAAACCGCGTACCAAGACAACTTGATGAGAAGTATATTCATTAACGAATGACCCACACGATATAACAAAAAAAATAAAAGTTAAAGTTAACTGCGAGTAGTTGAAATTCGTTGCCTTAAAAAATCATCAGATTGAATAGACGTGTGTGTGTGTGTGTCCAGAATAATTTATTACATTTCGACTGTAACACTTGCCCTAGTCATGGCGAGGGTTCGGAAAAGCATCGTCGCAACTTTAACGGTACAATTTTTTTTTTTGAGGTTTTTAATAATTAGTTTCAAATATTTTTTTTAATTTTTAAGTTTTTTAGTATTTAACTTTTGTTCTGAGCAATATATAACATTACATTATAGATATCTAATGCTTAATCTTTTTTCTTATAGCTTCTAGTTCACAGTATATACGTACATGCGGATGTGTTAAGTGAAAATGGTATTTTTTATTGAATTTCAATTTTAATCCAATTATATTACATGATGTACAATGTACATATATAATTCATTGATGAACATGTTTAATTTTTAATCTATCTCGTTTCTTCCCAGGAAGCTTTAAAATTAGTTGAAAAGGAGTAAATGGGCTAAGCAAGAAGTCGTATTCAGACCCAAACGTCACCAGCGATTGCATGAAATACTCGATATGTAACAATTTGGACAACTATGTGTTATATAAATTAGCTAATTTATTTAACTGTAAAATCATTGTGGGACTTCCCACTGGGTCAGAGTTTATTTCAGGTTAGAGCTTAATGTAAATATTATATTGGTATTATATTGGTCACGGGTGATCTTTCTGTATAGTGTGCAGGAACGTGTAGGAAACCTATTAGACATTAAATAATAAATTTTGTTAATCGATGAATTGTTTTATAATAACAATAATATTCTCCTGACTGATATCGGCGGCCAATCTCATCTGCAATCTCTCATAGTGTACAAAAATGCATACAAACACAAGTACACTCTCTATTTTTAGTGATCTGATAAAACACCGCCAACTCCCGAGTTACTGAGAAGTACACAATAACTGAACCTGGCCGAACCGCGAATCCAACTCAGGACCTCCGGATCTGTAGCCGTGCATGTTATCTAATATCCTACCGAGGCAGTTCATTTGCGAGCTTATTTTATATTCAATGTGGAGTAAATAAGAAACAAATGGAAATGTGACACTTCTGACGACATTACCAGTGATTATTTTGTTTGTATTATCTTTAACGAGTAAGCGTTGATTAATTAGTAAGATTTCTATTGTTTCCTTATAGAATTTTTTACGATGAGTTTAATTTAGTTTAACTGCATTGAGCTTAGTTTAACTTGCAAATAGCTTATTTACGTTATTTATTGTTTTATGTAAAAGTAAATAGTCTTATAAAAAACAAAATTATTTATTTTTTTATTAATACAAAACGATATTTTTTTAAATCAATAAGTTATAACATATCATTAATCCCGACGCAAAATTTAGTATTTTTTTGTTTGAAAGGTGACTTGATCAGGAGTATTCTTAGCTAGTATAAATCGAGAAAATCCGTTCAGCCATTCGTAAGCTGTTAGCTCTTTTGTAGACGGTAAAAAGATTCGAACAACTTCCAAAGAACTAAACGATGCGAAATTTGGTATTACGAGATATCGTGGTTTTTTTTTACTTTTATAATAAAGAGTTATTTTATTTTATGATTAAGTACAATTTTATGATTAAGTCTGCATCACAGTTGTAGTTAAAATGTAGTAATTATTTTTTAATTCGTAAGTAAAACCTTTTGCTGTTTTAGTTGCGGACCAAATTCAACTTAGAAAAATACACGATGGAGAGAAAGGTAGTTGACAGAGACGATGAGATACTCCAGCTATGTCCTTCGAAGGAAGAGGTGATTATACAATTTTTAATTAATAATAATAATCATCATCATTTATTGCAGGCAACTTAAAACTCATAACATGTAAGAGACAAAATCAAAATTGCAATTAAAATTAAGAATAATATAAATTAATAATTATTATGATTTTAATTTTTAGTCAGAATCTAATCTATACATATAATAAAATTGTAACTAAGCCAAATCTGTACATTAAATATTTTTTGGAAATTCTTATTGAATTAGACATTATTATCGATACCGAGGCCGAATCTATAGTTTTTAGGATTTTTGTCTGTCTGTCTGTTACCGCATCACGGAAAAACCACTGGAGGGATTTTGATGAAATTTGGTATGGTGATAGTTGGTTATCCTGGTCAACATATAGGATACTTTTTACCACGGGAAAATATCTCATTTCTGAGAAAATATACAAAAACTGCCTTGTAAGGTTATACTAATACAGTAATACCCCGGACTTACGCGATAGGTGGGACCGAGCGATAACCGTGTAAGTCGAATTCGCGTTCAACTTTGCATATAAATACATATAAAGTATGTTTAATCGGGACTAGACTCTAAAGAAAACAGTAATTTAGAAGAAACATGTTTAATAAAATGTTAGAAAATAGAAGAATTTACATTGATAATGAACAGTATAAACTGAAGATATTTTGATGTCGTTAAGTTTGTCGTTACAGTTGCTTGCGTTCGCTTGCTGTTGGCGGTCGTTTAGAACCGGTTTTGTTTAAGCGTACGCGTATTTGTTATTTTATAAATTGCAATGAATTTTTTACTCGTCGGATATGGATAGCGATATAAACTCGTTAGATATGGACCGAGATTGTGAAGTAATTGATTTATTAGAAGAGAGGGCCGAGATTAACAGTAATGACGACAATTCGTTATCATTATATGAGAGGACAGAAAGAAGTCGAGCAGAGAAGAGAATTCGGGTGGTAGACGAGGAAGAAGTTTGGACAGAAGTCGGGAGAAGAGGTAAAGTAGTGGCACGCAGTGCGTCTGACGATGATATGACTAGAGTACCAGAAGAACAAATTGAGATAAGTATGACATCGAAAAAGGAGAAGTTACCTAAGCAATTAGGATTGGCCCGTATCCTCAAGCAGGAAAATATATTAGATATTATTCGAGTGAGGTATATTAATGCCTATAAAGTGATGCTAAAATTCAGCAAAAACGAAAGTGCAGAGAAGCTTATGCAATGCAAATACTTCATTGATAAAGAATATCGATGTCAAAAGACCTTTGAAGTGGGCATTTCTTATGGAATAATTAGGGACATAGATTTAGAAATGACTGAATCGGAAATTCTGCAAGATTTAACTAGCACTACTCCAATATTAAATGTAAAACGGCTAAAGCGGCGGAATTTTGACAATGGTGGGTTCGAAGATAGTGAATGTGTAAGGGTTTGTTTTAAAGGTTCGTCCTTGCCTTCATACATTTATTCTTATGGCACACGCATAAAAGTAGACCCTTTTGTTTTCCCCGTTACGCAATGTTCCAGGTGCTGGCGATTTGGCCATAATTATAAGGAATGCTCAAAAAAGAATACCATTTGTCCTAAGTGTAGGAAATTTCATAATAATTGCGAAACAACTGCTTTTAAATGTGTGAACTGTAAGGGTAAACACATGGCATTGTCAAAGGTTTGTCCTGTTTATTTAAAAGAAAAGAAAATAAGGGAATTGATGGCAGAATACAATTGTACATACAAAAAGGCTCTTACAATGTATGTGCAACCTTCACCTCAGTATGAAAGACATCAAGAGGACACTCTTCAGGAAAACCTACCTAGGACAACTCAATCAGATAACAATATAACATACGCAGAGGTCTTAAAAACTACAGCCGAAGTACACAGGGAGCAAGATACGACCCTTAATTCTAATGCATCGGTATTTAACACAAAAAAAAGAAGGCAAGAAAAGACCAAGAAAATGTTCAAACTGATGAGGAGTACACTTTAGAATTAGATTCTGATATTGATCTAGAGCTACAGGAGAGAGAAGATATCCAACAAAGAGAGAAATTTAATAAATTTGATGTGCAACAATTAATAAAAAAAATTAAGGACATAATTTTTATGAAAAAAATTAATTTTACAAAAAAGCTCAAGTGTTGTGTAAAAGTTTTGTATTACTGGTTTATGGATTCATTTGTGGAATATATATCAGAGTGGTCTAACTTCAAAAATCTATTCCAAAATGGATAATGATTTTTTACGTTCTGTTAATATAATCCAATGGAACTGTCAAAGTATACGTCCGAAGGTAACTGAGTTGGAACTATTTTTATGTCAGGAGAAAATTCATATTGCGGTCTTAAGTGAAACGTGGTTAAATTCCAATGTTAATTTTAGGATATCTGGCTATAATATAGTTCGCAAGGATAGAGACGACGGATATGGTGGTGTAGCAATTATAGTTCATGCCTCCATTAAATATCAATTATCTAAAATATATAGTACAAATCCAGGAATACAACTTATACATCTAAAACTACTGAATTGTTTTCAAATAGAAAATATCATTGCTATCTACTGTCCGTCGTCTGTGCAGACTACAACAAGTGATTGGGATTATATTTTTGGCATTTATAACAATAAAACTTTGATTGCTGGAGACTTTAATGCTCATCATTCGAATTGGTCATACAAGACAGATAACAGGGGTAGTCAACTTTTTGATGTATTGCTAGATAAAAATTATATAACTCTGAATGACGGATCACCTACTAGAATTAAATTAGTCAATGGCAGTCTACAAAAATCTTCTCCCGACATTACATTGGTAACAAGTGATATCGCTTTAAAGTTTACTTGGGCAATGTCAAATGAATCGTTAGGGAGTGATCATCTCATCATTAAATATTCCTTGTGTAACAATAATCAGAGTCCTAACTTCGTTCGAAAAAGGAATTTCAAAAAAGCCAATTGGAATGGTTATTCTAGTTTTCTCCAAAGCATCTTCTCCGTTTTGATATTGGCTGCCGATCCTCAGGAGGCGTATAATCAATTCGTTGACGCTATCAATACTGCTGCTAATATATATATACCCCCAGTTAACATTTGTCAAGACCCATTAAGACTTAAAAAATTTGTTCCTAAATCATATTGGAATGTAGACATCTCTCGCTCAATAGCGGAACGGAGACTTGCATTAGCCATTTTTAGGAAAAACCCTACGCCTCATAATTTAAGCAATCTTCAAGCTAAAATTGCTTCTGCACGGAGAACTATTCGTAAAGCTAAAAGAGAAGCTTGGAGAAAGTTCTGTAGTAGTATTAATGAAATTGTGTCCCTTAGTGAAATGTGCCGTCGAATGCGATGGTTAAAAGGATACCGTTTACCTAGGGCTAACATTGATGAAACTATTGCCAGTAAACTTTTACGTAACTTATCCCCAGATTATGTCTCGCCAGATAAGCCTTCTTTTACTTCGAGTAATCAAGCCTTGGAAAGCATCATAACTCTACATGAACTCAATCGTGCTATAAAAAACAAGGATACAGCTCCTGGCGATGATTCCATTTCCTTTTCTATGATAAAATACCTTCCTGTTAATGGGAAAGAGATATTGATTCAGATATATAATATGATTCTGGCTTCTGGATATGTGCCAACTCAATGGAGAAAAACTTCAATTATCCCTATACCGAAGTCTGGTAGCCTAACTCAATCGTTGTTGGATATAAGACCTATTGCTCTTCTGTCTTGCCCTTGTAAAATCTTCCATACAATTTTAAAACACCGACTAGAATGGTTTTTTGAAAATTTAAATTGCTTTTCTAGAAATACTGTTGGGTTTAGAAAAGCTCACTCCTGTTTGGATAGTTTGACTAGTTTAGTTTCTCACATTCAATTAGGATTTGGGGACAATATGTTTACTTTAGGGTGTTTTGTAGATATTGAGAGCGCATATAACAACGTTGATATTACTATTTTATTGAAAACATTAGACAGTCTTGGAGTAGGATCAATTATTTGTATTTATTTGTGGGAATTTATGAGATCTAGAGAATTAAATATACGTTCCTCAGGTAACTACAGTATTTCAAGAATAACAAGCCGTGGGCTCGCACAAGGAGATCCCTTATCTCCACTCCTGTTTAACGTAGTCACAATGTATATATGTCAGGGAATAGAAAATGTTTCTATATCTCAATACGCTGATGATTTTGTATTATATGGTTCATTTAAGTCAGTAGAAGAGGGGTCATTACAGTTACAATTGGCACTAGATAAATTTAACAATCTGATAGAGGCTCTGGGCTTAGAAGTTTCTGAAAAAAAGACTAAAACTTGTTTATTTATGAATATTGACATAAAACTTAAAGGAATTCAGATACAACCAGTTGAATGTGTCCAATACTTAGGTCTTTGGTTGGACAGGAATCTTAAATGGACTAAACATATAAATAAAATTTTAGATAAAGCACAAAAATGTTTAAACATGTTTAAAATTTTGGCAGGATCAGACTGGGGTATGCACCCTAAACATCTAAGACGGTTGTATATTTCTTTGATACGTAGTCGTATGGATTATGCGTGCTTTCTTTATGACACAAGTTCTAATATGAATTTATACAAACTTGATAAAGTCCAAAATCATTGCATGCGTATTATTGGTGGGTTTATCAAAACGACTCCAGTGCATGTTATGGAAAACGAACTCCATTTACATCCACTTTCTTTGCGTAGGTCGTTCTTAGCAGGGAAGTTTTGGTTAAGAAGTCGAGGTTTTCGGAACAATAGAAATATTGAGCTAGTGAGTCAATTAAACTCTCAGTGCATTAGATCTGGCTATTGGAAGGCTAAAAAGAAACCTTTGTTAATTAATATATATAATCTTTTAAAATCTTTTCCCATCCATTCTTCGAAAAAATTAGAAATGTTTAGTCTCAACACGTGGGTTCAAAACATTAATTTAGAAAATAATATATTCTGTTTCATTGAAAATGTCACAGAATCAAAAAAAGAGATAGATATCCACAATTTAAGATACAAATGCTTAGAAATGATAGACAAAAAATACTCTGATTGTTATAAAATTTATACTGATGGATCGAAAGGAGATAATGGGTTTGGGGCAGCTATATTAGACCCACAGTTAGGTACTAAAATTAGGTTAAAAATTGAAACCAATGTTTCCATTATGTACATTGAATTGTTCGCTATTGCGGAGGCACTATCTTATGTAAATAACGTTAGTCATAAGAAATTTGTTATTCTAACAGACGCCAGAAGTGCGCTCCAACACGTGGCTCGGTGCACCTCGAATTTTCGAGGAGTTCCGATAGCCTACAACATATTGAAAACAATTCTAAATTTAGAACTTTCTAATAAAAAAGTAATATTCCAATGGATTCCGTCTCATGTAGGAGTTCCAGGAAATGAGCTGGTAGATCGCCTTGCAAGAGAGGCAGGATCCGATGGAATACCCCTAAGCATAGTGCCTTTTTATTGTGATCTGTTACCTATATTAAAAGAACATATTAGTAAGTTGTGGGTGCAAAACTTTGAAAAGACTTCTCAGAACAAGGGGATTTGGTATAGGACTATTCAGCCTGTACCCTTTCACTCTCCTTGGTTTGAATCCTGTAATTTAGATAGATCCACCCTAAAATTAGCTTTTAGAATTCGTTCTGGACACATTCCCCTTAACTATTTTGCATTTATAATGAAAAAGGTTTCATCTCCTTTGTGTGTAGTGTGTGGAAAAAATGAAGATGTTTATCACGTTTTGATGGAATGTGTTCGGAATGAATCGTTTAGAAGGCATATATTTGTTCAAAATGATATGAATGTTGGAATTTGCAATAGTATGTTAACATGTCCTTATTCAAGTTCCGATAAAAGTGTGTATAAATTAGTGAAGTTAGGCTTAAAAAACAGATAACTGTTTGATTATTTAAATAATTGTAGTATACCTAAAAGGTTTTTTTTTAAGTGCTTGCATTTATTGTTATTAGTTATAGTTCTAACCTTAATACATTATTATGTTAGTAGTGTTCAGGATTTAAAATTTGTTATGTAGCATGTAAGAAGACTGAACAGGACGACATGTTTCTTTTTTGTGAACAAGTCCTTTAAATAAAGAGAAAAAAAAAAAAAAAAAGTTTGTCGTTAATTCAGAGTTAAGTTTTAATGTCCGTTGACGTTCGGTCCGTTTTGATACTTGATTCTGGTAGGTCAAATTTCTTTGCCAATTCATAATTTTTTATTTTTGCTAAAGTCTTTGATACAATTCAGTTTACATTCCAAAGAAAGTGTTTTTCTTTTCTTGTTAAGTTCAAATGTCTCATTTTTTGTTCTTTTGGATGACATAATTACAGGTTATCAATAAAACGCACTGCAAACGTAAGACAATTCCACGTGGAACACTTTCAGACTTGTCGTAAATGGAACACTAACATTGCGTAATGGGAGAGCTGATGCGCGGAAATCAAAAGGAAAAACCGCGTATCTCCGAATTCACGTAAAACGGGGTAGCGTAAGTCGGGGTATTACTGTATGTAAAATCTAAGAATTTGGTTTTTGGTCATCTGAACGCGGGCGGAGCCGCGAGCAATGCTAGTCGTTTAACTAAATTCAATGAATGTCGTTCTCGAAACAGTCTATATTTTACGTCACTCGGCCAGAAATTATTTGACAAAAATGTATTGAATGTATGTTTTTTGTAATGTGATTGTCATATTAATGAGCAGTGCCTGAGCTTTGATCAACTTTTTTTTTAATCATGTTTTTTCGGAAAAGACAGAAAACTTCCGGTTTTTTTTCAAAAAAATCACAAACCACACCTGTGACCTCCAGCTTCCCTTATACAGATTTAACGGCTGGTTCAAGCCCTATGTGGATGGTGCTGGAGTCCGGACTCCCGCAAGACACATACTCGGTCTTCGCGACATTTAGTTTGACACCGTCGTTCTCAAGCGTACCCTTCCACAGGTTCACCCTACGCTCCAGCTCTACACGGCTTTTATAAACGAGCGCTATATCATCGGCATACATCATCAGCCATGGAGGCTGGTCCTGGATGCATGCGAGACAACATCTAGTACTACGTTGAATAAGAACGAACAGTTCTGACCACGGAACCACCGCCTTTTTATCTAACTTTTGTGAAACTATATTAGTTCCCATTGAGAATAGTTAAGATACATTCGTATTCTAAAATGATGGTGATAAGATCTCAATTTACCACTCTTAAGAGTTTTGATAAAACTGTGCCTTATTTGTAAGTAAATTATTGATTTTGAAGAAGTTTAATAAACGATGATTATTTTTCTAAAACTAGTATTTATTTACACAATAATTATGCATTTTAGTGAGGGGTATAACTTGAGTTGTATTATTTAACACATATTTCAAAAAGCCAAGATTTTACCAAAGTGATACAATTCAGCTAAAATATGAAAATAGGGGACTGATTAGTAAAAAAATCTCATCTTTGGGGTAGTATATTTATCATTTGTTTGAGCAACATTGCGTTAGGAACATATTCCAATGAGTTATTAGATATTTTTACTTCATATATATCAATTTACACAACGACAACTTATAGGTGCAACATAATTTAACTGTACTTGTACCATTTATCACGTAATTTTAGCATGTACTAGAAATAAAAAATGTACAACTCACAGTTTTTTCAATAATTACTTTAAAACTATAATATTTACCAGAAAAATTTAAATACACAGTGAAAGTGAATGTTTTTATCTACAAAATAAGGTACTCAAGTTTAACCTAGCCCACTTAGAACGCGAACTAGAATTTTTTAAATCTTGTTTTTGCTCTCCTGTAAAATGTAGATTTTTGACTTGTATCACTTGTCACAGGAGGCACAGATATGTTTTGTTTGTTCATGGAAATGTTAATGATTTTATTTATTAAGACGTGTCTAGATTTTTATATGTCATTTATTTCTATATATAGAACGACTTATAGGATTTTAATGGCAAATTTTTGTTTCACAGATATTTACATATTACACTCTAAAAATTAGGGTCCTTCACACAAATTTATGATACACATTTCCTTCTATATAGTATTTACAAACTTATGTCACGGCGATTGTGAAATTAAAATGTGCCATAAGAATGAATAAAGTCAGTCGACTGAAGATGAAACATCTCTACCTCCAAGGTAGAGTATATACTCTACCTTGGAGGTAGAGATGTTTCATATGAATGATATATCATTCATATGACTGTTGTTATACATATACTTAGGAGTTGTTTTTGTAATAATATTTATTCAAGTATCTGAAAAAATTCGGATTTGTTATACGTAAGTTTGAAAGGAGGTTGCAAAACGTGAAAAAAATTAGATCCAGTAATTATGAACTTAAAGTTGACTTGTCTATGGGAGTAAGTGTTATCTTTTCTCTATCGAAAGGGAAATAAATATTCTAAGTTCAATTTTTCTATTAAAGTTATATTATATAAATAGCTTTTATCTGTTGAATAACAAAATCATTCATTAGTCTAAGAAAACTAAGTTTAAACACGATGTTTTAGGAAAACAATTTCATAATTAATTACATATAGATATGTAGCGGTTTTTAACAAATTAACAACTTTAATTATACATTAAACTCTATGTATTAGCTATATTATTAGTAAGAATTAGATAAATTATAATAATACGTAATAATTAATCAATCGCGAATATGGTTTTACTCACATACGTACTATTTAGTTTTACTGATAGACATAATCTACATATACTAAAATTATAAATATTAAAGATTTAATTTTTTGTATGTTTGTTTTTATTCCGGAAATCATCCTTTAAGGCGGTGAAAATGGGGATGAAATTTTGTATGGGGAATCAACCTAGTGACGAACCCAAGCGAAGCGAGGATGAGTCGATAGGAATTTAAATAATTTTAAATTGGAATAATATTAATAATAAAAATTACCTAGGGGGCGGTATTTCAAAAACATTGCATAATACTGAGAAACTCTGTCGCAAGGAGCTGACCGCAATATGAGTTTTTACATATATTTGACAGATTTAAACTATTTACAATTTTGAAATATGATTAAATAATTATTTTAACATGTACATTATATCAACCGTATTTTTAGCTTTCACTTTGGTTGTTGTAACTTGTAACTAAAAATCAATTAGAATCATTACTTTTTATTATTTCCCAGTGATTTAGCCTCGCTTCGCTCAGGTGCGTCCCTAGGTACACTTTAAGTAGACATGAAGAGATACTGCGAGTGTACCTTAGGAAAACGACTATTGTAACGGCTATTGTAGATTTTTCTGTAAGCCTTGTTAAGACCTACAATTTTGTAGTACATTGTTTTGATGTATCTTTTAACGTTTAGCCTCGGTGGTGTAGTAGCTAGCATGTACAGCTGCACACTCGGAGGTCCTGGGTTCGAGTCACGGGTCGGGCCAAGTTTAGTTATTGAGTCTTTCTGTATAGTAAGTCTCAGTAACGGCCCGGAGTTAGGAAGTTGGCGGTGTTTTACCCTCGTGCCTCGGAGAGCACGTAAAGCCGTCGGTTCTGCGCCTTAACTCTCACTGGTCGTGTCGAGCAGTCGTCCCACCGGAGTATGAGAGTGACAGGAATAGAGAGTGCACGTTGTGTCTGCGCGTACACTTGTGCACTATAATATCTCCTGCGCAGTTGGCTAGTCTCAATGAGATTGGTCGCCGTGGCCGGAATCGGTCAGGAGAATATCATCAATGTTTAGCCAGCGTAATGTAAATTTCTAAGAACGACTCGATAGAACCAGTTATTGATTTTCCCGTCGAAATAAAAGATTTTCCTGTAGTAAAAAGTATCCTAAATGTTGACCCGAGTAATAAGTTATCACTCCACAAAATTTAATTAAAATCTGTTCAGTACTTTTTGCGTGATCGTGGACATCGATTTCGCTAAATTACTGTTATGAGTATAGATAGTTTATAATTATTCTTATTTTTATTACAATCTAGTTCTTACATAATTAGGATCAATCGCTTAATTTACTCAAAAAAATATTTTAATAGACATTGAGCAACTTCACTATCGCAATTCTGACCGACATTAGGATTCTCCATACTCACAAAATTTCAAATAAACACGATAATAAAAGTGGGAAACCCGATCCTTACATATTTATTTATTCTTAATATATGTGTAATATAATATTGTTCTTAAATTATTATATTTATACAGTAACAAGTGAAGCTATTAAAAGCGTGTAAAAATTGTGTAAATCGAATAAAACAACAATAAAAATATAATATTAAATACGATAAACACGTAACCTTCTTTACTTTAGTTATTTTGTGATAAGAGAATACTAAGTACACTGGATCCTGCATATTTTTTATCTATGCCATATGTAATACATACATGCTCACAATTCCTTAGTCATTATTATCGACATAAAATCCATGGAATTGTAAGTTTAGTACAAATAAAATTCAAGGTAAAGATTTTTCATTCATCTATTATCTTCTATCACGTGAGAATATGTTCTGTGCTTCTTGAACATTAGCTGACCCAATTACTCTATTACAATATTACGTTAAGACGACGATTATATAAAAATGATAATACCTGAGCTTTTAACGTCATAACTCAGTTTTAAGGAAAACAGAATCATTAACATAGGCGTATATATACAGCGTCCTGAATAATTTATTACATTACGAGTGTAACACTCGCCCTAGCCATGGCGAGGGTTCGGAAAAGCATCGTCGCAACTTTAACGGTGCATATTAATTTTTTGAGATTCTTAATAATTAGTTTCATATAATTTTTAAATATTTAAGTTTTTTTTGTGTTTAACTTTTATTCTGAACCATATATATAATATTATATTATCAATATCTAATTTTTATTTATTTTCTTACAGCTTCTAGTTCACAGTACATGCGTACATGCCGATACGTTTAGTGAAAATGGTAATTTTATTGAATTTTAATTCAATTATATAATTTATATATATATATATATATATATATATATATATATATACATATAATGTATTATTTCTAATCTATCACATTTCTTTCCAGGAACTATCACAATTAGTTGGAAAGGAGTAAATGGGCTAAGCAAGAAGTCGTATTCAGCCCCGAACGTCACCAGCGATTGCAAGAAATACTCTATATGTAACAATTTTGATAACTATCCTACAGACCTAGCTCAATGGGCCCTCAAAAAGGTATGTGTTATATAAATTAGAAATTTTTTTAACTGTAAAAATCATTGTGGTACTTCCCACTGGGCCAGAGTTTATCATTTCGATTACAGCTTAATGTAAATATTTATATTTTTCATGGGTGGCCTTTCTGTATAGGAAAATGTGAGAAAAAAAGGAATACCTATTAGACATTAAATAATAAAGTTAATCGATGAATTGTTTTATAATAACAATAATGTTCTCCTGACTGATATCGGCCACGGCGCGGCGGCCAATCTCACAGCCAATTGCACAGGAGATATGATAGTGCTAAAAAATGCGTACAGACACAAGTGCACTCTCTATTCTTTATTTTTTAGTTAGTTATCATATATTATTATTCCAACACAAATTTAGTTTTTTTTTTGTTTGAAAGGTGACTTGATCGAGTTTTCTTAGCTAGTATAAATCGATAAATTCGCAGGCTATCAGCTCTTATGTAGACGGTAGAAATATATAAGTAACTTCCACAGAACTATTCGATTCGAAACTAGCTATCTCGAGATATCGTGTTTAGGCTTATTAATTAAAATGGCCTCAATGAATACATGAATGTGTCGGGGGTTTTTTTTGTAATTAAAAAGTTATTTTTATTTTATGATTAAGTCTGCATTACAATTGTAGTTAAAACTATAAAGATTTTTTAAGTCATAAAACTTTTTGCTATCTGTTTTAGTTGCGGACCAAATACAACTTAGAAAAATACACGATGGAGAGAAAGGCGGTTGTAAGAGACGAGGAGATATTCCAGCTGTGTCCTTCGAAGGGAGAGGTGATATATACAATTTATAATTAAAGTGATTGCCTTATTAATGAGCAGTGCCTGAGCTTTGATCGTTTTTTTTTGTAAAATCATGTTTTTTCGGAAAAGATATTAAAATTGTTTTTTTTTTCAAAAAAATCCCTGATGGATAAACTTAAAAGGAATCTTTAGAGCCGTTTCCGAGGTATATAATATATTTTAATTGTAAATGAAAAAAAATTGGTATATAAATATATTAATATATACAAAAAGTGCTCATTTAATATATAATGAGATAAAAATTATCTGCAGTATTTTATTAACAATTAATTATTTTTACAGATAATCTTTCCGACAACAGCATTGAGTAATTTGAATGAGGAGTGGTATTTCATATTGAACTTACCTGATTATAATTTTCAAGGATACCATGTAAATAAATGCGAGTAAGTATTTTTTTAATAATTTAATTAGTAAAAATTAAAGATAATAAATACATAGATCACTAAATAAATTAGAATTGTGTTTGTGTTGATTCGGACTAATCTCAGGAACTACTAGGACCTACTAGAACTATAAACCATAATTTATGTAGCAAAAGCATTCTACCAATTTGATATTTGTGAATTACGTTGAAACTAAATACATTTACCAAATATATATCTAATAATAAAACATGATTACACTAGGTACTATATACTAGGTACAGCTATGTTTGGTTTGTTTTAGTTACTATTACGAGGATATAAAAAGATCATACACATGAACAAAACAATAGATATAATCATCGATGAAAAACGTACTAGATACACAATCAGCGACAAAAAATATCCTCACCGAATGAGCGCTCATTTGAACATTTGAGCGCAGTTTTTTTTTTTGTGAAAACAACTCTAAGCATTACATTTAAGGTTCAATTTATATTGTTGTATATTTATTTCAAAAGGAATAATTACCTAAACACAACTGGTGACAGTTTTAAGAGAACTTTTGCATGGGATTGTGTATCTAGTACTATTTTGATCGATGGATGTAATCAATGAAATCTAAACATACTTAAGTTTCAATTCATTATTTTATCACATATTTTTTTCTTTTAGCAATATTTCATCAAGTTGTCAAGGACTGAGTTCATCAAAGTCATCAGAGTGTGAACAAGTATATACCGACAGACGCATGTTCTATTTTGATCTAAAGGAACAATTTGTTAGTAATAAAAATATTTTTAAAGTTCCCTCATGCTGCTCCTGCGCCGTATATTTTTAAGAAATTGTAGTATAAAATTAAAACTTTAGTTATATTTGTTAATAATTTATTCGTTATACTATGTTAAATAAAATGTATTATTATTTAAACAAAATTTTCATTAAAGCTCCCACACACGTTGTTCCTTATACGAAATACTTTACAAAACATATATTAAATATGTACAACACAACACAATTATATAGTCTTAATATCGTGAAATAATCACTAGGTACATTAAAAAACTTATGTACACACGTAAGAAGTTATACTTCTTTGGCGTAACACAACAAAAATAGCTAAAGATTTCATCTCGTATGTCACAACTCTGTTTGTAAAAGGAACGATATATTAATAAAAATAATTAAATAAGGCATATTATGCATATTACAGTCATATATTTATAAAATATCATTTAGAGAAAGAATATAATATTATATATCATTTGTGAGACATTAACAACGGTTACCATAGCAACAAACAGTTATCATCTAACTTCATCATGTCGCTTATTGGCTGTCGGTGTGAGCGCGAATCATAAAAATTTTACTCTCAATCCGAACGTCACAAAGGTCCCAGAAGTTACACCTACACTATAACTTCAATAAGATACTGAAATAAAAGTTAATATGCGTACACATCTAGACATATATACAATACACATATCTAGACGAATATCGATTAATATAACATTTATTTATTTTGTGTCATTTCGCTATTTATAATTCCAATTACGATTTCTTAAAATTAATCTAATATAAGTACCTATAAAGATAATATCATAGTAATATTATAATTGTTTTCATATAGTACATCCTTTTCCCAGCGTTTCCGCTCGCATACTTTATTTCTTTATGTATTAATTACTCCGCTTCTGAAAGCTCTAGCGTCATGTTTTATATCCTACTACTCGTAGCAGGACCCGCGGCTTCCCTCGCGCTAAAACGACAAAAAAACTTTTAAAAGGTTTGGTTTCATACAAACTATCATTCTCTATTTTACACCCTTAAGGGATGAATTTCGAAAAATGCTAAAACACATATTTATTTAATTGTATTCAAGAGCATTAATACCAAAAGTAAATATTTTTTGGGTTGTTTTATAACGTGTTTTCCCGTGGGATTTCTATTTATTTATTTATTTATTAGATTCACCTGTCGTTAGTTACAATAATACAATTTATTATATACGAGTACAATTTTTTTAAGTTTTTATAGCTAATTGCACTACCTTTTAAGGTGAATATCACATGCAAACTTGAAGATTTTATAAAATGTTTATATTATATCTATGTTACAATAATAAAATTACTATTATAAAATATTAAGTTAAATAAATAATAAAATACACTAACACAATTAAATAATACACAAAAATGGAAAAAGATTACAATTCGAATTAAAAAAGAAAAAAAAAACAGGAAGAACCACAAAATAAATTAAAGGTATTTTTTGCTTTTTTTGGAACCTAGATAGCATGTCTCCAAATGGATCCAAGGTGCTATGATTATTAATAATATTACATAAACGTGACAAGGGAGAGTGATTACCTAAAACAGATCTGCGAGAAGATTTTAGATTAAAAGATGATACTGGTGATGGATTGTCATATATACTGTTAATAATTTTATATAAGAAACTTAAATCCAATATATCTCTTCTTTTTTCCAGACTAAACATCCTAAAATACGTAAGCCTTTCTGTATAAGTTGCAAGTGATCTAGATTTCCCCAGTGAGAAAGCCACATGATATAAAAAACGCTTTTTTGGAGCCTTTCAATTCTCAAACAGTGGGTAGCATAATGGGGTCTCCAGACAACACTTCCATACTCCAAAATACTCAAAACTAAACTTTTATATAGAGTAACTTTTGTTCGAATATTTTTAAATACCTTACAATTTCTGATCACGAACCCTAGCATTTTACTTGCCTTACTGACAATACTATCTATATGTGTGTGTGTGTGTGTTAAACATAATTTCATTCATTTTAAAACAAAAAAGTTAAATTAGTTTGCTTAAATAATCCATACTCATAATCACTTTATAGTTGGAGTCATCCGTTTTTCTCATAAATATCCTTCCATTGCGTACCCAAACATGCTTGTAATTCAACTCCTTAGCTTTACGTCGCGCAGCCGCATGAAGTAGTTTGTTCGTAGATGAAAGATGTTCACAGACGTAAATAGGAGACTTACTTTCACCAATACCGAGGTAGGAAGTGTTTAATTTATCAATAGAATTATTTTTATTGAATTTTATTACAGCTGCTAAAAGATGATCACGTATTAAAGGTGTGCTAAGTTGAACTACTATAGATCTTGGTCGCGTAGATTTCGAATTAATTTTAGCAATACGGGTACAATGAGAAATACTGCTATCACCTATATCATACCCGACAGTCTTTGACAATTGTTTTACAATGGAGATTAAATTTTCATTTTTTGATTCGGGGACACATTGAATCTCGATGTCATTAGACCGGGCTTGTTGTTCCATTAGATTCACTTTGTTAGTAAGACTCGCTACGGTGCTCTGAAGGGATTCATTTTCCTGTTTCTGTTTATTAATTATGTCAGAATACGTGTCAATTTGCTTTTTCATGTCACCATATTGGGCGCTCATAAATGAGATCGAGTGTTGCAGGTCCTCAATTTTGCTGTCAATACTTTTTAAGTAAGAGCTGACGGTAGAAGTTATAGTTTTGTTGATATTGACTAATAAACTCGACATCTCCTTTACAAAGACTTCGTTGACAATAGCACGTACTTGATCTAACATAATGATCGTAGATGAGCTAGGTGATGATGGGGAACTCAAGGCCTGTCTTTTATATGATCTTTTAGTGACGTTGGAATCGTTGACGTTTGTATTGGACCGATTATTAGTGCTTGAATGTACAGGCGTTACATCAATATTACATTTCTTGGATTTACTACACTTCAAACAGTTCCAATTTTTTTTGTATTCTTGTGTTTGAGTTGATGCCCAAACAGCCATAGTGATATACGTTACAACATTTTGAACATTGAATATAATCATCTTCATTTTTATCTGCGTTGCAACATCCCCAGGAAAGCCACCTGTCGGCCATTATTTACGTATAAATGTAAATCCCGTTCAAAATAAGAGTTAAACAAATTGCTTGGATTTGAACTCAGGACACACGGATCGTTTTTAGTAAGTTATGCCGCTGGGACAACTGTGACGTACTGGTTATTACTAAATTGTCATCCTAGTGCAACTAAATTATAATGTATTCAGCCCTTTTTAACGTCCCACTGCTGGGCACGGGCCTCCCTTCAATACGAGGGGGATCAGGTCATAGTCCACCACGCTGGCCAAGTGCGGGTTGGCGGACTTCACATGTCTTTCGAAAACTTGCTAAGTTCTCTCAGACATGCAGGTTTTCTCACGATGTTTTCTTTCACCGTAAGGCAAGTGGTAATCATGTTAGAAATGATTCGCACATGAAAATATCAGAGGTGCGAGACCCGGGATTTGAACTCGCTTCACTCGGTTTCCCAGCGAGAGCGTTACCACTGGGCTACCACTGCCTGCAACTAAATTATTATAATAAATATCAAAGACAGTGATCACAAAAAAGTCTTTTAAACTGATCACTAACTGTGAATTATCTTCATAAAGTTCACTACACAATTTCATCAATTTTGTAACAATTTCACTTAATTATTATATGTAACGTATAAAATGTCCGAATACGTTACTCAAATGACTACATGTTATTGTTCATTATGCACATTTTACAGTTTTTCTATTTTTTTAGATATAACTAAACAGGGCAACAAGAAACACGTCTATCTCCACGGATGACAGATGACAGAATTTTGATGATCTCCCGCGGTAAAAAGTAGCCTATGTCACTTAAGCTTAACTTAAGCCCTCCAACTATCTCCACAATCACGGCAATCCGTCACTTCGTTTCCACGTGAAAGAAAGACAAACAAACAAACACACTTTCACATTTATAATATTACTAAAGATACCTTTATATTAAGTTCGTACTGATTGATGACAAAAAGCTAGTTTGTTGCAAACAATGCACGTGCTAATTATCCTGGAACTATAGGTCCAATACGAAAAATTCCTCTTACATTGACATACTTTTGCAAGACCTTATTGTCTACTAGCTTTAGATTTACTATGAGTTCGCTCGGGTGCTTTCCTAGGAGGCTAATTATAGCCTGTGTCTTACTCCAGGTCATCGACTCTATTAATTTCATCAAAGACACACACATACAAATTTTAGTTTTTATAATAGTAGTGCGACCACAAAATATAAACTTCTTTTCCCGTTTAATTTTATACACACGATTCGGAGATGTTCGGATTAGGTAAAATTTCTGAACGGATATCTATAAAACATTTTTTTATTATAAGCATAAGTAAAATTTGGAAGTATTTGAGTTTTGAAGAAGACGTAAGTTTCTTTTTAAGAACTCGAATTACTTTTGCAAATTTTCGTTTACTCGAACGTCCTACACCTAATGATATACCTTTATCCAACAGCTGCCATCATATTAAACCGACTACTTAGTTCATTAATATGCAGCCCACAAAAAAAGCTTTTTTTACTTTATCATTATATGGAACAAGTATCCCATAGGGAAATATAGATTGTAATTGAGAAAAAGTAAATCGAGATATTAATTTTGGACTGCCAATCACGACCACTTTTTGAATTTTATTATGAATCCTTATAAGTCTCAATTTAAATATCTTGACTAAATATTGACTCCCAATCTCAAAGACGATACATCGAGAGAGAACGAAGAGGGTTGTTAGTGTGAGCGAATATGCTAGTTCGCAGGTTTACGCTTTGTTCAAAAAGCATAAAAATTACTTTGTTTAGAGCCTGTTGTTTAACTTTTTAAACATGCATCCTGTAGGTTAGATATTCTCAAAAATCATACAACCCTCTTCGTGTTCAATATTGTTATTATAGCCCATCACTCATTAGGGATGTTCGCTATTGTGCAAATAGATGGATTTTCCGCTACAAGAGATGTGGATTCCTGGTGTGCATACGTGATTCCATTAGAAAGAGCGCAGCAATGAATTACGTAGTATAGTAGTATTTTTATTTACTAACATAGAAAATAAGTCTGTAATACTAACAAATTGGGCCATTGTTACTCTTAACAAAATTTATTATCATTATTATAAATTTGGAAGGGCGAATTGAAATTACGAAACGAATAAGGAAGATGAAGGTCAATGAGAGTAAGAATTCTAAGTCTAGACTTGTTGCTGGCTACAGTATTAAGATTTAAGAAGTCGAAGATATGTAGTAAGGCAAAATAGCAAACAAAAAAAATCAAAATCGACAATATTAAATGCATTACTAAAATCATATAACACCATAACTGTGACTAGGCAGACACCATTTGTCATTTTTATCAGTGCGGCGGTACTACTATGGCCGGCCCTGAAATAAAATTGTAAATTACTAATTTAGTTGGAAATTCGAAACGTATTTATTGAGTTTTTGACACACAAGACTATGGATAGAAAAGGTAAAAATGATATAAAGCGATAATCTTCCTTCGAGGTCGCCTCTTTTCATACTTCAAGAAGAAAAGCCTTCTGTATTTATGGAAAAAATAAAGTGTTAGGCGTGTCGAATCAAACAAAATAAGCCCAAACTCAAAGTATCTACTATTAGCAGTTGAAGAGTTCCACCTATCCACCTTACCATCAAATCAGGTCAACAATACCGAACCAACTGTACTATCAACGGAAATACAAACACTTGCAAAGTTTCAAGTCAATATGACAATTAGAAGTAGGTTAAATTCATTATTAGCTATTTTTCCACCCTTAGGGGTGGTTTTTTTTTTTTGAAATTTAAATGGGACCAATCTGGAAGTATAGCCTTTCAAACAAAACAAAAATTGTCCAAATCGGTTAATAAATGACGAAGTTCTGAGGTAACAAACATAAAAAAAATATATATATCAGTCGAATTGAGAACCTCCTCCTTTTTGAAGTCGGTTGATAAAAATGAATGTTAAAACAGGAAGTGAAATATCTTAATAGGATAGATAGGACTAAAAATGGCATATTTTTTTTTATGGGACTAAGGGGGCAAACGGGCAGGAGGCTCATCTGATGGACAGTGATCACCGCCGCCCATGGACATCTGCAACACCGCAGGGCCTGCAGATGCGTTGCCGACCTTTAAGAAAGGAATACGCTCTCTTCTTGAAGGTGGCCAGGTCGTAGCGGTTCGGAAAGACCGCCGGCGAATATATAATATATATATACCGCATATTTTTTAGTATTAACACGAAACAATTAAGGATATCTTATATTATGCTAGCGGCTCACCGTTACCTAGCTAGCAGTTGATATAAAATAAAACAAATCTATCCCACGGGAACCATACATTTTTCCGGGATAAAATATATTTTTCCGGGATAGATATTCCAGACTATTATCTATCTCTGTGCCAAATCACATCCAAATTCATTCAATCATTCTGGCGAGATTGAGTAACAAACATCCATCCATCCAAACTTTCGCATTTATAAAGTAGAGTAAGATAAAACCTAACCACAATAATTGGCCGTCAACATTGTTTAATATTTAATTAAAGTGTTATAAGGAAATTTTTATCATTGGCTACGTAACAAATACTTATTATTTACGCCTATATATAGACTTGTGTATTTCACAATTTTATTCAAAGCCATGGCTCGTGCAGGAGTAGTTGTTATCCTGTTTTGTTATGTAAGAATAATATCTTTATATACATATATTATAATTCTTCTGTACGTGTGTATGTCACTGAATTCCTCCTAAACGGCTGGACCGATTTTATTATTATTATTTTTATACACACGAACAGAAGATTTGTTCATTTATTTATGTGTTTGGACAGGACAACTTCTGTCGGGTCCGTTTGTAAAATAGTAATTTCATTAAAAATAGTCAATACAAATCATTATTTCTCTCACTTCTTTTAATATTTTCTAGTATAATATTATAACTTATTATTATTTACATAATTATTATGACCATTGTCATAATATTATTGTGTTTTTATAGTTTCAGATGTTAATGACGAAGTCTATTACAGATGGTAAGTTACTTGCGATAGCAATATCATATTTTTAGTACTGAACAATATAAATTATTATAAGAACTATGCTTTTTTTTAAATTTCGTACATCATTTAATTTATGTATCTCAGGTTAATAATGAAAAATATTGATAATTTAATAAATAATTTATGGTAAAGTACGTTTTCAGTTTACACTCTTGAGCAATTGACTGTCTTTTTTTCCAGACACCCCAGAAGAATGTAAGAAATATGGAATATGTGCAAATGTTGAAAACTACCCCACTGAATTAGCACGGAAATTGATCGCAGAGGTACTTAACCGTTCCCCCCCCAACGTGCGTTCACCTTGTCGTGGTGGGGGGGCTCAGTAGTGCCCGGCAATCCAACCGGGCGCGAAGCTAAGTAACGCACAGGGAGGTTGCCCACTTCGGTGGGCGGTGGGAGGCGGCCCTCTTCGGGGGGCGGTGTACCTTGCGGGTTGCTCCTGGTACTTCTCTGATAGCAGAGTGGACCTTGGAGCAACCCCATGGTCGTGGTGGTCTGCTTTGGCAGACCTGCCGTCGGGGCGTCGTAGTTGAATGCGTAAGCGATCCTGCGACGCCCCATTAAGACGGGGGAAGGTTTTGTTGGGTTTTAGTGGGTAGTACTGGCTGTATTACGCCGGTGAGTCCCGCACGTCGTGCGTAAATGCATTTCCCAACGTTAAAAAAAAAAAAAAAAAAAAAAGAGGTACTTAACCGTTGTTTTTTGATCTCCAACATAATTTATTTTGTCAAAATCGAATCCATTAGATAAAAATTACGTTTGATCTTTTATTTTTCTATCTTTGTCATTATAAGTTATTACAATTAAGCAATACTTAGGATAAAAGCCCATTTAAATGCAAAAAATATGCCAATAAAATTATTTATATATAAATATTACCGTAGAGGTTAAGTTATATATAAATATTGATTAGTGTATTTATTATAACTATATATGTTTAATACCATTTAATTATAATTTTAACCGTAAAATATATATTTGTTTTTCTTCCTTATTTCAGCTTAAAGCTCAAAATATCCTTTTTAATGTTGACGAACCTCCAGAAGAACCAACTACAGTAAGCAATTTAGTTTTATTTTTTACACAAGCATAAAGACAATAATACGGAATATGAATCTATCTATCAACGAAAATATGCTTTATTAAAATAGACTTTTAAAAGACATTTGTATCCACACTTTTTACGTTTTTTAAATTTAAATTAACTGTCAGTATTATATGTTTGTGAGGAATCTAGCACCGGTCAAATCGATACATGCAGTACGCCAACTATTGACATTATTTAATTGGTGTTGTAAAAACAAGATAAAATATATGTGATTAACGAATTTCGAGATTTCATCATAAGCAGTCTTATAACGATATCGTTGATTTTCGACCCCTCTAGAGATAAAAAGAGGATTGGGACCGTGATGCCTCAAAACTTAATAGTTTATTTATTGAGGAGATTATAATACATCACATTACGGCTTTTAGGAGCGGGGCAATTAACATAAACACAGTAGGCGAGCGAAGCCGCGGGCAGATGCTAGTAGAAGATTATATCAGCGACCAGCTCTTGCTTTACTCGTGTAGGAGCTCTGCTCTGCCCACCTAAACTATTTCTAGTATACATGCTTATATCCTACGAGAGATATTGTGTTTATCTTAAGAGTGAGGCGTTTTTATTGACTGGATAGAGTCGGCTATGATTATCTTATGTCAATTTGTTAAACCATGCATATATTAATTTTTATATTACTTTTTTACAGGTTGAATGGAGGTTTGGATCAGATGAGGACATGGAAGCAGACAAACAAAGTCTTTGTAAAAGTATAAAAATGGTATTTTATAAATATTTTTAATCCCTTGCAATAAAACAGCCATATTTTATAATTTGATCTCATAATGTAAAAGTATACTTAAACATAAACAGAACTCTTTTTGTTATTTATGATAAGATGAGATTTTTGGCAACATCCACAAATCGTCGAATGTTGCCTTTTTTTGAGTCGGTTTAAGTAATATATTTTTGAATTATGTTTTATTTTCCACATAAAAATAATATACAAAGATGAAAACAATGCGTAAGTACCTAATGACAAAATAGGATTATCGTAACTCGTACACTTTTATTGCACACGTCCAACAGTACCCAATTAATTATAATTACGACGCTTGCACTAATTTAAATTTTAAATTCCAGTCATGGCAACCACAAGTTGCTTACCACGAGAGTGGTGATCTTAAGTATATCTTAAACAATGACCAACCATTACAAGCATTCAATGCAGGAATATGCCCAAATTCCAACGGACCAAGGTACATTTTTTTTTATTTTACATATGTTTAAATAATCAGTGTCTAATGCAAAAAGTGGAGGAATAATAATTATGCACTAATTACATTAAAGTGTATGCTCCAAAACGATAGACTAAAATGTGATAGGAAAACAAAGACAACAAATTGACTTAATGACTAACAAGTTCTTTCTCCTCTTATTTATTCTTAACTTTTAACTCATTTTTTCTATTTTGTGTAATTATTGTTTATCATTGTTATTAGATATTTAATTAATATAACAGCCGGGTTCCGTACGTTAAATTTTGATGAAACTTAAAGTTTTCGTTACATTTTTCCTATAAATTTTTAATGTGACAAATTATCATTTTTTACATTTTATCTAATACCACATAAACACACATTTTAAAAGTGATATTTTTTTTTATAAAGAGTCCTTTTAATTTATTTTTTCCCACTAAATCATTCCAATAAACTCTTCTTTTTTATTTTTTTAATCTGTCATAGGCACGGAATGTGAAGATTGGAAAGTAAAATATTAAATAACTTCATTACGTAATTAATGTAAATATTTTACCTAATATTTTTTTAGGATAACTAATTTTTTTTTTATATATTCCAGAGATGATATATCCATGATATGCCGCAGTGAAACAATGATGATGGGATACGAAGGCCAGTGCATTGAGAAAACGAGACTCGTCGAAATGTATTATATAGAGGGCAACCGAACTGCAAGAGGGTACTTTCTTGTTCCAACATGCTGTTCTTGTGACTTAAAACGTATCTAATAGCTAAATTTAAATGAAACCTGCAACTCCTGATTTTGATGAGGAACGGTTCCACAAAATTTGTTTTCATTTTCTAATATTGTATTTGTTTAATAGCATCCAAAATAAAGCCATGTTATATAACCACATAATAATTAATAACTTATTTTGTCCTCCCTCTTCCTTCACATGGTAGCCAATGCTTTCTTTACGAGGTTATGTTAACTTCTATTATGTCACGGGATACGGATAGCTTAGATATTAATTCAAGTTTGAGACAAAGTTATTTTTTTATACCGTAACATTTTAATTCTACTCCTAATTTCAAAAACTTTGTAAATTACTAGCGACTCATCCTCGCTCCGTTCGGGTTCTTCCCTAGTATTACATTTTGACTTTTATTATAGACTAGCGACTAACCCCCGCTTCGCTCGGGTTAGTCCCTAGGTACGTTTTAACGGTTAGTATGAAATACAAATCTTTGAATTTCTCGGCTTTTCTGTACTATAATATGCATGTATTATACATAATAATAAACCTTCCCCTTGCTATTGCTGAAAACTGTATTAAAATCCATTGAGTAGTTTATATAGGGACTATACTGATAGTCCGTCTTTACCATAAGGACACACGGAGCACCGGCCCAGGGCCCCCAGCCTTACGGGGGCCCCGCAAAGACAAAATATTCGTTTACATGAAACAGAGAGAACCTTAATTTTTTGCCTGTTATTATTACTCTAACTACCGAATTTTAATTATAAATATAAAATCAGACCAGATTTCGTAATGTTTTCAAAACAGTACATTTCACGAAGAAAAATCTATATCTATACATCTATGCATATAACAAAAATGTAACTGATCGCTGTCTGTACATGGAAGATAATAGGGGTTAAAGTATGAAATTGCCTTTTTGTTGTAATAAGTACTTCGAATTGACATAGAACCTTCATGTTTTGAGATTTTTGAGTGAAACTTTTTTCACATGGTACCTATGTAGTTCTTCTTTTAAAAAATGTGCAACATTCTATTATCGACTTTCAGTTGTTTTTTTTTTATTCAGCTTAGACAAGAAAGATGGATACTTCTAAAATTCGAGTGATTTCGGAAAACGAGTTCCGACGCGAAACTAACTTGCCAGAAACAGCTCGCAATATCAATGTTGCGTTTGGAGAGGGGACTGCTAATGAACGCACCGTGCGATTTTGGTTTAAACGCTTTCGTGATGGAAACTTTGATCTGAAGAACGAACTACGTGGAAGACCGCCCACACGGGTGAATAACTATGAATTGAAAGAGATGATGGAAGCCGATGCGAGTCAAACTACCCAAGAATTAGCGGCGTGGTTTAACGTTACCTTACCAACAACATTGACTCATTTGCGTCAAATCAATAAAATAGAAAAATATGAAAAATGGGTGCCTCATGATTTAACTGATCTGCAGAAAGAAACGCGTGTTGAAACTTGTGTTGCCTTGTTGATACTTTAACCCCTATTAAATATACAAGAATTGCTCGTTTAAATATATTAGATACGTTTACGGCACAAATTCACTAGTTTAAACATTTTAAATTACACAAAAACAGAATCAATATTTTTTTAAATTTTTGGCAGTCTGTCTGTCTGTTACCACATCACGAAAAACCACTAGAGGGATTTTGATGCAATTTGGTATGGTGATAGCTGGTTATGCGGGTCAACATATAGGATACTTTTTACCGTGGGAAAAAATGTCATTTCTGAGAAAAAGTACAAAAACTGCCATGTAAGAGTATGCTACCTAATATGTAAAACGTAATAATGTGGTTTTTGGTCATCTGAACGTGGGCGGAGCCGCGGGCAATTCTAGTAAGTGATAAAAATGCAGCGGGCGAGGTGGTGCCTATAGGCACCAGCGGGGTTTGACGGTAACGCCGGAAGTCGTGCCTATAGGCACCAGCAGGGTTCAAGTGGTTAAATACACTATGAACGTAGCAATCTTGCAGCCGGATCTTGATCCATGACTCTTGTTATTGGATCCAGAGAACTTAAAATCTCTTAAAATTTTTAATAATTATTATTATATTACAGTGGTTACATTCTCTTTGTATTTCTGCCCTCCCGAACCTAAAGTGCAGTAACAGCAAAAACACGAATTCGAGAAAAACGCGCCTAAAGTTTAGAATCCATAAAAATATATCAAAAAGAGACTTTTCGATAAAACCTTGAATGGAAAGTGAAAGAATATGTACCAAACTAAAATACTAAACATCGTTACGTTAGTTTTTTTATAAAAAACTATAATTATGGTAATTTTAATTTTTTAGCCCCTATTGCTACACACACTTTATTTGTATAATGTTTTCAAAAACTGTTTTAAATGCAGTAAATCCTGTTATTACTGCATTTTAGACATTTCTTCCATGATTGTTACTTACTAAAGTGCAGTAATATTATGAAAATACTGCTATTTAATCTGTTTTTTTGAACAAAACACTGATATTCCACACTTATAGTAATATAAAATTACCTTTAATTTTGATAAAAATATGTAATTTCTTAAACAAAACTGGACATGCATTTATGACTATGCTATTAAAACTATTCATCAAAACATTGTACATTATAATCTAATAGTGTAAATTGTTTTATATGACTAACAATATAACAATCTTTACAAGATGTTGATAATCTTAACTAGTTAATCCACCATAAAAACTATATCACATGTATTCTCATGCATGGATCAATAAAATTTACATAAAATCTTTCTTCTGAACATAACTAATTACTAAATGAATATTCTTGTCTTACAAAAATAATAGTCTGAAAAGATTATGGAAGGGAGAACCAAGAAGAATTAACTTATATGGGAAACAAGTTGAAAAAGTGTCCAGTAGTGAGCAGCAAATTATAGCTCAGAAACTCACCGTTACAGCACTAGCGTAGCAAGTAGATGTGATGTGAAGTTAGTAGTTTTTAACGGAATGAAGTGTGCTGAATTATTATTACTTGAAAATAATATAATAATTATATTGCTGTTTGCCTATGCTAGAACTATTTTGAAAAGTGCGCCACAGCAAAGCGGAAATCTTTCTTTCCTTGTTTAATTCACCTTCTTACTTTTATGACGCTATGTTTTAAACTAGCGACTCACCCTCGCCTCACTCGGGTTCGTCCCTGGATACTTTTTTTTTTGAGCGGAATCTAATTCTTTTTTTAAAATAAAAGTAGCCTATATTACTCCCTGTAACATCAGTACCTTCCACTGAAAGTCCGTCAAAATCAGTCCAGCCGTTTCAGAGATTATTCGGAACAAACAGACAGACAAAAAATTTTAAAAAATTAGTTTTTCTTATAAGTACCGTATATAATTTCATATGCATTTAGTGAAAAGGTTTATTTTGACATTACAAACAGACACTACAATTTTATTTATCTGTATAGATGTATAGATTCATATACTTGTTTTCTGTGGCGCCACCAATTTAATGCTTGTCAGCGGTCACTTTTTATACGAGAAAATAGTTCTCCTTAGTTCTACCCTCCATATCTCTTTGGTACAGACACAGCATGGCATGTCAAGTCAGCCTTAAGCCACAGATCCTTGAGACAGACAGACAGAAGGACTGCCTCAAACCGCGATCTTGCCTGTCCTGTGTTTTTAATATTTTAATAATTTTACCTATTAAAACGCAGTATTAGGGAATAGTATTTGACTTTAAGTTATTTTAGGTAGTATGACTTGGATGGAGCAAACTAACTAATATGCAGTAAAATTTATAAATATTGTAAACTAAATGGTCTTTTACAAGCAACTACAAAACATCCTACAAGTTAAACTGCAGTAAAGTTATTAAATACTGCATGTCTTTAGTTTTTCACAAGAAATTACAAAATCCCCCACAAGTTAATGTGGCAGTATGGAATGTTAATACTGCATTTTAATAAGTTTTTTCTTGAATCTCCTAGAACAAACTACTATTTTAAGTGCCACAAAATATGATAAAACACTGCAGTTTAGTTAGGAAACAGAGAAAAATCTTGTGCAGTATTAATTGTACTGCGGTTTAGCTGGTAAACATGGAATATTTTAACAGATTTGTGATATTTTTGCTGTTACACCTTCCGAAAAAACATTAAAATAAAATACTTTTATTAGCGCTACAGAAAAAAGAATTAATTTGACTGATAGCTACTAAAATGGGGATTTTGAATATATAATTAACTCAAAACCGACCAAAATGTCTATTACTGCACTTTAGGCTCAGGTGGGCAGATTTAGGTACACTGAATTTTATTTTGTCGAATGTCATGTCAAAGTCAAACTCTCTATGGTTCAAACTTCAAAGTTGTCACTTGTGCTACCTACTATTTTAGTATTTTTACGAGTTAATAATTAATATGCACTGAATATTTTCTGCAAATATATACTACATATACAATACTCCAAAAAAATTGTAGAGCATAACATGCTTAACGTGGTTAATCGTAAATGTCTTATTACTTTGTACTTATCATTTTTTAGACCAATTTTTGTCATTGCACAGGCAAATATGTCGGGCAGCGTAGATGCCGGTAAGGAAAGAAAAAAATCCTGTAACATTAATTAACTAACCAGTTAACCATACAGAGTTATAATTTTTGCAAACAATACATTTTACTTTAAAGTTTTATTTCAATCTTTATATAATAATCTAGAAGTTCTTAATTGCAGTATCCCTTCATTTGTTATTGCTAAGACATATAGTCCCAAGGCTAGCTCTTTTATCTTTTGACTTATTTCGAATCTTGTGAACTAAAATATCTTATACTTACAATATGTTTAATATAATTTCAGATAAATACTCAGTGGCATATGTGACAGTCCCCAGCATTGATGTGGGCAAAACAATTGGACATGGACTAGTTAAAAATAAATTTGCTGCCTGTGTGAACATTATTCCTCAAGTCACATCTATATATGAATGGAAAAATGAAATCAATGAAGATAATGAGGTGTGAAAGTGTGGTTTTACAATCAGCTAGTAATATCATACGTTTGAAATGATCCCAACTTTAACTTACCATGATTGACTCACTTTAGGTTATATTCATAAAATTTTCAGTTCAATTTTTATAAATAGTGGTGGGAAGTCCCTGAATATTATAATATTATACTAAGGTATATTTAAAAAAAACTTAGCCTAACAAAGAAACTGACTTTAAGTAAATGACACCAACTACTTGACAACAATTACATAATTAATTACTCCACTATTAGTACACTTTTTATTTATTAAACATTTATGAGACCCACCTTCACATACAGAATGTTCCATTAAAATATAATAATATGTATGAATTAAAATTTTATTAATTATATTTTTTTAAAACTGCTTTGATAAATAAACATTGTCAGGGTTGATACATATGTATATATTTCTAACCATTATTGGATTAAAATATATAAATCTATACTAATATTATTAAAAGGAAAGATCTGTTTTTTTTTGTTTGTTTGTATCGAATAGTCTCTGAAACTTCTCAACCGATGTAGATGAAATTTGGTAAGAAGATAGCTTGATACCCTGGGAATGACATAAAATAGTTTTTATCCCGGAAATCATCCCTTAAGGGGGTTGAAATGGGGGTGAAAGTTTGTATGGGGAAGCAACCTAGGGATGAACCTGAGTGCATCGAGGGTGAGTCGCTAGTGTATAATATAATGAGATTATATATAACTAATGACTTACTCACATTTCGCTCGGGTTCATCTCTGTGAAGGTTTTAACTGTTAGTTTGTAATAGGTAGATTATATGTACCTATGACTATATTTCCCCTTATAAGTTTCATTTTTGTGACAAAAACTATCCTATCCTTTTCCAAGGTCCCATCTCTCTATACAAAACTTCATCAATATTGGTTCAGCAGTTTATAGGAGTCAAAATGTAACAGACAGACCGAGTTACTTTTGCATTTATAATATTAATATGGATGTACTTGCCTGTAGTATTTAAAATATCCTCTCTAGCTCTTTACAGTAAGTTTTTAATATATTCATACAAGAACCTTTGTAAATATTTATTTTATAAATATTGATTTTGTTTATTTTATTATAGCAAAATACCTAAAGGGATGTATAAAGGAACAGAAATGTTAACTTGCAAAATATATTTAAAAAGGGTTTTTTTTTTTGGGGTAGTTCTAAATATCCTTTCTCCATATTTTTTTGATTTTTAGGATCTAACATATGGAGGGTGGAAGTAAGGAGGACAGTCTTGTATGGGGGTTAGTTGAAAAAGTGTCCTCAGTGTAGGAAATGGAAATGACATGAATTTAGCAGTTATAAAGAGAGTGAAGTGTGTTGGCCGCTGGGCCAAAAAATTTAATATAATTTACAAATAATATTTATAAAATATTATTTAAATAATTTGTGGCGCTCCTTTTAAAATTCTTCCACTTGTCACTATAGCGCCACCTTAATTTGCTCCCTTTCAACTGACACTTTTTAATACACTGAGATGGTCCTCCTTACTTCTGCCCTCCATAATTTAACAGAAGTTTGCTTTTGAAATTACATTTTACCATTAAGGTGAAATAATACCACTATTTTGCCATAATATCCAAAAAAAAAAACAATCTTAGTATTAATAAAGCTTTAGTAATATTACAATTGCTTTATGTTTGTTACTTTGTTCCTCTTTCACACAGCAATAAAAAAAATTATTTAAATGTAGATACTTATAAATGTTCAAAACTGCATTTGTAGAGATCACACCTTAATATTTTTTTAAGTTGTCTGTGTTTGTTCTCTTGTTTAAAAAAAAAGTAGTTTAAGATTTATTTTTTAGTTTGTATATTTTAGCTTTTCACTTGAAAATTACTATCCATTCAGATTTTAATGAATTTCATTATTGTACAAGTAATACCAGTGTTACTATCTTTGTTACAACACGGTTATTTTTTTTTATAAATAAATTATATTTATTTATTCTGTTTGAAATATGTAACATGATCATAAATACAGAGGATGATTGTGTCAAAAGGTGGTCTACTTAATAGAAAAATATGTAGGCAAAGGCCAAATGTTATTGTAAAAAAAATTAATATTATTTTTGTTTTGTTCAAAGGCTCTTCTAATGATAAAAACCAGGACATCGCTTGTGGACAAGCTAACAGAATTTGTGCGTGCTAATCATCCATATGAGGTGTGTGAAGTGATTTCTTTACCAATCAAAAATGGTAATCCACCATACTTAAAGTGGATTGGTGAAACACTACCTGAAAGTTAAATGTGTATGTAGTTTACTGTAATGGTTAAGTGTTACCAGTTGAAGATTAGATTAATAAGAATGCAGTTGAATTAAACTTTTATACATATAAGTTTTGAAATGGCAATATTTTTTCTTAATTATAATATTGGCACACTTGCTTATTGGTTTTTTATAAATAATGACTTTCTGTCATAATCTCAATTGACAACATTTCAGAAATATGAAGACCCTAAAATAAAAATACCGTTTCTTTATTTTCCTATTTTGAGTACAAATATATTTTTTTGGGATTTTTTTAATGCGTGGTTTTGGAGAAAAAAAATAAAATCTGAAAATATTGTGGTGACGTCACAAATAAGGTTGAATGAGATGATTGCCTTTGCCTACTAAAGATTAAGATGAAATTATTCGTCCAACGTCAGTGTCATATGTCATATGTGTCATTTCTGAATAATTGACGTTTGAATTTTGAATTGTTTCTCAAAATATGACAATCACAATAAAAAACAAAACGTTTAAGCTTTGAAACTTTTGTACACAGACAAATGACAAGGAAAGATTTTGTAATGCCAAAATGACATTAGTATATTTTTTTTGACGGATGAGAGAAAGGCAAAGGCAATATCGCTATTCAACCTAATTAATGACGTCATTTGTCGCTTACGTCTTTTTAGAATAAGACGAGTTTCAAAGTGGAAATTTTATATGAAAACGGCATCATTTCGAAAAAAGAAAAGATATGGGTCGACTCATTTTTGATCTAGTTTTAATTAAAATTATAACATAGGGATGTTGAAAAAATGAAATGTTGTCAATTGTGCAAAAAGTACAACAATTATTATTATTTTTTTCAAACAGTAGCCTTGATTAAAAAATTGTATTCTGGCAGCATTTAATTTTAATAAATATATGTAGTTATATTGCTTAAAGAACTACTAGAATGTTACATATATATAACCTTCCAAATGTATAAGTATAGAAAATAACTTATTATTAATTTTATCAAATATTTGTATGTAGATATTTTAAATGATGTATATGAAAATATATATTTTACAATAAATATAATATATAAACCTACCATTTATTGTTATTTAGATTCTTTAAACATGGTATCTACCTACTTACTATTACTTTATAGAAAAAATCTTTGATATAAAATAAAATATTGAGATTATGGAATGTTTTTTGATTATATTATTAGTAGTAAAAAGCTTCAGCAGAAAGTAAGGGATCGATAAGGCCTCATTTTCGCCCCCCAATAATGCAAAAAATTATGTCATACAATTTGATCTTTACATACTCTGAAAGTAGACTTGTGTGCCTAATAAAAAATATTTATGATAGAAAAAAAAATACCAATTAATACTACTTGTGAGATGCCAAACTAGGTCTAACTGGGATTTTTGTTCAAAATGAGACATTTTCAGTAACATTTCAACTTTTTTTATATATATATATGGCGCATATAAGAAGCACTTCCTATTTTATTTTATTTTTATGTTAATACAAACTATATTAAAAAATTACAGTGCTTCCATCCTGTGTTCTATATAAAAAAAATTCAAATATTACAAAATGTCTCATTTTCACCAGTTAGACCAAAGTGTGGCGTCTCACAAGTATTTATTAAATGTAGTTTTTTTTTCTCATAAACATTTTTTCTTTTCAGGCACAGTCTATTTTCAGAATATGTAAAGAAAAAACAAAACTGGCATATTTTTTTCGTTATTTGGGGGCGGAAATGGGGCCTTATCGATATCCTTCCTTTGATCATATCCTAATAGGTAATATTATCTAATATTTCTATTAAATTTATTTTATAAATATCTATTTCTTTATAAACATATACTCGTAGGTTCAAATAAATTATAATTATATATATGTACAAAAACAATAGGTATTAAATAGTATTATTTAAGACTAGCAGCTAACCCTATCTTTTCTGGGTTACTATTTTATTAATTTGCTAAAATAGTTTTCCATACACAATTTTATCCCTCTTCGAATTTAGAGAATGAATTTTCAAAGAATCTTGTATGTGCTCACCTTGTGCAAAATTTTATGTTATTAGATCAAGCAATATAAGTTGTCCTTTGTAAGTCAGTTTGATAATTAATTAATTTGAGTTTTTTTATGAAGTTGATAGTTGGTATTACCCCTGAATGAACTAAATGAAAAAAACCTGAAGAAAAAAAATATATTGAAAAAAAAATTCTAAAGAAATAGCACTTGTACAAGTATTCGAAATCATTTATAGGTTTCAGATTAGTTATCCATATTTATTAGAATTGATTACTAGTCTATACATATAATAAAATTCTAAGTCGAATCTGTACATTAAATATTTTTTAGAAAATCTTATTGAAATAGTCATTATTATCGATACAGAGGCCAAATCTATAGTTTTTAGAATTTTTGTCTGTCTGTCTGTTACTGCATCACGGAAAAACCACTGGAGGGATTTTGATGAAACTTGGTATGGTGATAGCTGGTTATTCGGGCCAACATATAGGATACTTTTTACCGCGGGAAAATATCTCATTTCTGTGAAAAAATACAAAAACTGTGTGTGATGTAAGAGTGTAAAGTAATACTAATATGTAAAACCTAAGTATTTGGTTTTTGGTCATCTAAACGCGGGCGGAGCCGCGGGCAATGCTAGTCTTCTATATAAATAAAAATGAATGTTGCTAAGCGCAAAACTCAAGGACGGCTCGACCAATTCAGGTATTTTTTTTTTCGTATGTTGCTAAAGGTACACGGAAAGTTTTAATAAAGAGAAAAAATCTGTACAGATAAATAAAATTGAAGTGTGTGTTCAGTCTGTGTCTGTAATGTCAAAATAACAGCGTTTTACTAAATGCAGAAATTATATACGGTACTTATAAGAAAAACACAATATTTTAAATTTTTGTCTGTCTGTTTGCTCCGGATAATCTCTGAAACGGCTGGACTGATTTTGACGGGACTTTCACTGGAAGATAGCTGATGTTATGCTCAAAAAAATCAAAGTGAGTCGCTAGTTAGTTAATAATTGTGACACTTCTGCCAAACAAAATAAAACCGTATGGTTATCACAGAAAGAAAGCACTTATGCATATTAATCTATCAATTATTATTTATTTACTTATATGTAATGACTAAGCAAATTTAATTTAATTAATATAGATTCTAGAGAAATCAAATTTCCTTACGCATAACATACAATAGAGCCATGTCCTATTTCGCGTTCCGTAGACGTCTACGAGTTTCGTAGCACACAGTGACGCACGCAGAGGGCGTCAGTCACGCAAAACTGAAATCATTGACCTCTCTAAAACCTCCGCATTCCCTACAAAATATTCTCGACGCCACAGCCCACAACAAATACACGTTATTTTAGTGGCAACACCGATCCGTAGTCTGCTTAGAACCGTCGAAGCGATTGTGTGACATGAACGTATCGAGCACATATAGTTTTCTGTGAATAAAATATGTATATTACAATTTAAGTGACGGCCTGAATCGAGTATAAGAAGCTTGCTGTGAAAGAAAATCAGTTTGAAGATTAATCGGTATAGATAATTGAAATCGAAACAGTGGCCTGTGTGGGAGCAGTGGATGGGAAGCAGGTGAGGGTTGAGGGCGTCGTGGATCCAGGAAGCAGGAGAAGAGAAGGTCTAGGGGTCAGCATGAGCGGTCGGTAGCGGGCTCGTCACTGCGCAGGCGCGGATCGATCGCGCGGCATCGAGCGGGCGGCGCTCCCGCTTAGACTCAGTCGCGCGCCGGCAGCGTGCGAGCGCGCGTCGCACGTGCATGGCGCGCCTGTCTGGATGCCTCGCGCCCTGGAATGGCTTCGTCCGAGGAAGGGGCGACGACCGCGCCGCACACTGAACCAGAATGCCTCAGTGTCAGAAAATGGTGGTGCTTCCTTCTATCCTCGATCTTCACGTTCCTTGCGGGTCTACTCGTGGTGCTATTATGGCGCGCTTGCGCGTTTGTATGCTGCCGCAAGGAGCCCGAGCTCTCGCCCAACGACCCGAAGCAGAAGGAGCAGAAGGCGGCGCGACAAGGGAAACAAGAGTTCGAAGGCACCTTCATGACGGAGGCCAAGGACTGGGCCGGCGAACTTATCTCCGGCCAAACCACCACCGGACGAATACTGGTAAGTAATAGACCGTCTTCCGTTATTCATATTGTTAAATCCTATAAAACTACCTATGGGTAGCGGGAAAAGATAACCCCCTAGTTTTATTATGGGTTAAAGAAAAATTCGTATCTCATTTTGCTTAAAAATTTGCAGAATTATTAATGTAATTTCTTGTGTCTAGTATATAAACATATTACCTACAATTATATCTGAAATTATTCCATACAATATTTTGTCTACATAACAAAGATATAATATAACACGTAACAAACATACGTACATATCTCACACGTTATATGCTTTCCACTCATCTATTGAATACTATTTAGCGAAAGTTTATTGTCTTTATAACGTTCAAAACGTTAACGAAATCAATTTACGTTACGCATTGTTACGACGCATAGTTAAACCAAGAGGTTCGGGAAATGATAGACATTTGTTGGATCAATAAACATTTATGTTAATGTGTTAATTTAAAGTATTTAATAGAGAATTATCAAATCATGATCTCACGTGAGCTGTCTTCGATCTACCCACTCGATACGCACTTGTTATAATGGCAGTGACCTAAGACTGACCCACTTTATTTTGGACGAAAACATTTTCCCGTTCACAAATCCCATTTTTATTGATTGCAGGACTTTAGGAGGACTACTAGTATATTGTTTGTATTCTTTATATAAACGATTTCCATGCAAATAAGTCCTTTTTAGTAACTTCGAGAATTATGTAAGCAGGAAGGGCTGTACGACATATTCGGCATAATTTTTCAATTATGACGTCACCTTACAATTTTTTATAGATATTTCATACATATATAGAATATTTCATAGGAAATTCGATACTATCTAAAATAAAATTATAAAAATCTACGAAATACGTTACTAGATATAAATTTATATAATCTATACATTTATACAGGTAAATAAAATTGAAGTGTCTGTTAGTAATGTCAAAATAACAGCGTTTTACTAAATGCATCTTCTTATGGTACTTACAAGAGAAACACATTTTTTTTTAATTTTGTCAGTCTGTCTGTCGTCTGTTTGTTCCGGATAATCTCTGAAACGGCTGAACTGATTTTGACAGGACTTTCACTGGAGATAGCTGATGTGTAAGGAGTAACATAGGCTACTTTTATTTTAGAGAAAGAATTAGGGTTCCGCTCAAAAAAAAATACATACCTAGGGAACGAACCCTAGCGAAACGAGGGTGAGTCGCTAGTTTAAATCTATACAAGCCTGTGAATATAAGATTGCATGATTATTGCTTTTTTCTCTTGATGCGTATTTCCAATTAGATGTGTGATAATAACACCTTTGCCTTTGACTATAATGTAATGGCAGTCATTAAAATAACATTTAAGAACAAAAGATTGAAATCGATATTGATTTTCGTTGAATTTTATTAACGTGGCTATTACTGGCTTTTAACGACTTATTAAATGTAAACGAATCACCAAAATGCTTTGGATATCTAAAAGTAGAAGTATAAAACCAAAATTTATGTTTATTTTATTCTAGTTTTCCCCCGCAGTTCCTCTTGTATCTTAGAAAGGTACAAAATGATCTATATATTGGAACTGTGCTTCCATACCCGCCATAGAAAGTCCCGCTAATATGGGTTAACCCGTTCTATTCTCTTCTCTATCATGCGGCATCTTTTGTCCCATGAGAGGTATACAGATAAACAAACAAATGTAATTTTAATAGAGCTTTGAGGAGATATTTCTAGGGTTTTGATTATCGTATAAATAACTAGATACGAATATCAATACAATTTTAGGTACTTATTTTAAAATCACATACAGATAATTCAATATTATTAAATACTAGCAACTCACCCTCGCTTCGCTCGGGTTCGTCCCTAGGATATGTATATAACTTCCCTATTTGAATCGGATATTATTAAATTTTTCATTGGTTTTCATTTTTTTCGTGGGACCCTATTTTTTTCTAAAATAAAAGTAGCCTAAGTTACTCCTTATTACATCAGCTATCTGCCAGTGAAAGTCCCGTCAAAAATGGTCCAGCCATTTCAGAGATTAGCCGGAACAAACAGACAGACAGACAAAAATTGTAAAAAATGTTGTTTTGGTATATGTAGATACCTACCGTGTATCCATATGCATTTAGTAAAAAGCTGTTGTTTTGACATTTACAAACATACACTTCAATTTTATTTATTTGTATAGATTAAGTGTAGATCGATAATATTATTCTAATAACAAAATGTGTAAATACTTTTTGGTGATTTTCATGAATATAATAGGTGGAATATTTTTAATTTAGATAAGTACGGGCATCGCACTGTAGTCTGTGATCGTGCGAAATAAGCGCTTACACCAAATTCATTTCAAACTCATTTAAATTAAACTAACTTTATACAATGTAACTACACTATATCATGCTTTACTGAAATTGAATTTCTACTTAATTAAGAATGTTTTTTTTTTCTGGAATAATTTTCTTTAGAAATGCTTAGAAGATTTATTATTTGTAGGTATATTGTTATGCGAATAAATAAATCTTGTATGCACTTGTTATTTGAATAACTAAGTGGTTTTGTGGTTTTTATTCATCTACGTTATAATTAAAGATGGCATGATCTGACTTTGAAATCAGATTGAAACCCGTTTTATGGTAATTTTTCTCATCGCATATACAATGCGCTAATATGTTGTTTTTATAATATGTGTTCATAAAGTGAAGTCATACCTACTCGGTACTCAATAACTTAACATCACCAAAACAATGTATTGAAATATATGATATACTAAGCCATTACAGAAAAAGAGAAACATAAGAAGAAGAAAAGACAAAATAGTGCACTATCTTTTTCTACTCCGATTGCCAACCAATTTTCTTTTTTTTTTGTTTTATAGCGTTGCATTGATGAGATTTTGTGTTATTGTCAATGAAAAAAAATTATTATGGTAGAATATCAACCACTGAGCGAACATCTATATACATATAATAACATTCTAACTCTTATTGAAATAGTCATTATTATCGATACAGAGACCAAATCTATAGTTTTTGAAATTTTTGTCTGTCTGTCTGGGAATGCATCACGAGAAAACTACTGGACAGATTTTGATGAAATTTGGTTTGATTATAGCTGGTTACCCGGGTCCACATAATATAGGATACTTTTTACTGCGGGAAAATATCTCATCTCTGAGAAACCTATACATAAAGTTAAAACGTAACTACGAAGGTACAAACCCGAGCGGAGCGATGGTGAGTCACTAGTTAGTTTATATAAATACATACTTACTACAAAACTAAGATGTCAAAGTTGTTTTTGTATTTGGAATATAATTGAATCTATAGTTTTTAGAGAAAAGCTCTAATCTGGACTATGGCCAGATCCCCATTGTTATAGAGGGAGGCCCGTGCCCAGCAGTAGGACGGTAAATAAAAGGCTAAATTCATACATTTTTGCAGTTTATTTTAGTGTGTCACTAGAAAATAGTTGCAGTTATTTCAATGTTTTTTTTTATTTTGCTTAAAGTGCTTTCGACTTAAAAACAAAAGTTTTAAGCTAAATTTTAATTAAAGTATATCCGAAGGAACAGCTTAAATGCTCAATTTTCCGCGTTTCTATAGGAAGCAATGTCATTAGTACCTAGTCAAAATCGTGTGCGAGAAAAGCTGGAGACAGGTACTAGTGTGATATACAGAGATTGATTACCATTATTGTAGAATGTATAAATCGAGGTGACAGTTAACATTTCGATTTTGCATGCTTATTTGAATAACAAAACCGATATCCAACGCTTTTCATAATTATTGGCAAAGAATGAATAAATGGTGGAATAGTATAATCTTTAACATCTTAGATACATGGTCTCTCGTTTTACCGATAAAACTTATCGAAATCGATCCATCCGATTGAGAGCTACGATGCTACACCAGACGTGAACTTCCAAATTACAACAATAGACAAATTCCTACCAAATAAGATTATAGTTCTAACTAGCGACTCATCCTCGCTTTGCTCGGGTGCGTCCCTAGGTACGTTTTATTTTGGGGTGGAACCTTAATTTTTTTCTAAAATAAAAATAGTCTTTGTTACTCCTTATAACATCAGCTATCGGCCAGTGAAAGTCCTGTCAAAATCGGTCCAGCCGTTTCGGAGATTAGCCGAAACAAACAGACAGACAGAAACATTTTTAATAATTGTGTTTTTCTTATAAGTACCGTATATAATTTCATATGCATTTAGTAATAAGCTATTATTTTGACATACAAACAGACACTTCAGTTTTATTTATCTGTATAGATACCTACTTACGACAAAACTGTGCATCAACATGCAAACGATACCTCGGTCTAATTAAAAGATGACTAAGATGAACTTATGGTGATGGTATATCGTTTGCATAGCATTAGTCACATGTAGATTGTAGGTAAATCACATATAAAAGTCAATTATAGTTGTAGTATTCTTTAAAGGTAATACTACTAAAACGTTATTTTAATACATTTCTAAAATATTAATTAAAATTGTAAGAAATCTATTGTTAACTGACACGCCGGCGTGTCCGCGATCGTGGAGGGATTAGGCATTCTTGTGGATATATTATATAGTTATTATGAAAATATAGGATGTATAATTTGGAGTGTGTATAACTTGCTTATACTTTAATAATTTAATAGAAGAATTTCCTGATGATTCCAAGTGCCCATGTCAAACGTAAATAAATTTACCACAAAGTTAACAAAATATATAGTTAAGTTTAATAATAAAATTTAATAGAATTATTTCCTGTTCATTCCAAGTCCCATACAAAACTATTAAAACTATTTGTTAGGAAATATGCTTAGTATGTTTTTATATATTAACTAGCGACTCATCCTCGCTTCGCTCGGGTTCGTCCCTAGGTTGATTCCCCATGTTAAGGGATTATTTCGGGATAAAAAGTATCCTATGTCCTTCCCAGGGTCTCAAACTATCTTCTTACAAAATTTCATCTAAATCGGTTCAGTAGATCCAGAGATTGCCCCCTACAACGACATAAACTCACAAACTTTACCTCTTTATAATATTAGTATAGAAGTATAGATGTATATACTCGTAGGTTATATAAACGTACATCAGAAATGGAGCCATATATTTTAAATAGCTAAACTTTCCCGCACATATAGGCTATATGATGTAACTAAGAACTCCTATATGATATAGATAAGTTTCTATAGGAAAACCACATCAAAATTGGTTCAGGTGAAGAACTACGATGTCATAGACAGACGGACTAGTAACGGATAACACATCGTGGTAAAAAATATATAAATACTCTTAAACTAATACAAGATTTCATTCTAAACTCATAATCTCCATCATCGAATCATTAATATACACTTTAATCTATTACGACCTCTTAAATGTTTACAACATAGTATTTTTAAGTAGTTTTTAAGCTTTTAATTTAACTAACTCAAAACATACTTGATTGTTTCGTAGATAACTAAGTAGTTATTTACAAAGCTGTGTAGTTTCAACTTTTCTATTATAACTTTTATAATATGTAATCTTTACAGATTGATGATGATGATGAGATGTATGTGTTAGAAATAAGTACAAAATGCATAAAATACATCAAACATAAGAGAAATACAGCATCAAAATAAAATCTTGAGGTAGGTAAATGAGTAATAACTTGTCAACTCGGATAAATATGTTTAGTTATTAAAATTTAAAGTAATCTATGGATTTTGTTTTTTTTTTGACACATCATAATTCTTTGCACCGCAATTCTATAAAAAACGCCCACACCTTTTTTCTGTGAACTACACATTTTAACGAAACCTGACAATTTCGAATGAAATTTTTATTTCTTAGTTAGCTTTAATATTTAAAGCTTGACCGTATGACGCTGTCGCAGCGCGATATATTCCAAGTCAGGTTACTTTGTTTGATGTCAGCTACAAACCTGTAAATATTCGTATGTATGTATACTTTAAAATCGCAATGATACCAAACCTCCATGGTAATTGAGTTGGTGTAAATCACAACTCGTGCACTGAGGGTTCCTTACCATTGTAAGCTAAATTAATTGAGGTATTTTACGATGCTTACAGTAGGTACTTTACCGTTTTTAAGGCATAGACAGTGAAAACTTACATAAAAGTTTAACTTTTTGCTCGTTATGATTATATCAGATATACTATATATATATATATATATATATATATATATATATATATATATATATATATATATATATATATATATATGTAGTTCTTAAAAGATACAGCTTTTTAAAGATACTATAAGCCGACAGACGGAAAGATACAATTAGGTCTAAAATCCTAATAAGAAGGCACCAACTGATTACTTATTTCGTTGCAAGCTTTTAACTGAACATTTTTTTTTACTAAAAACCGAACCGAACCGAAACCGAACGCATATTTTCCGCATAAGTAGTATGTTTCGGAAAAGTCCCAAAATTTCGGCCACGCCTAACTTACATCGAGCGCTTAGTTAACAAGATACAGCGCCGGCAGCACGCGACGCGTAATGGACCCTGACCTGATTCTGTTATCGATGTGCTCCTAGTTCAAGTACATTCGCTTTCTCCCATTGAAACGATGCGGTTATATGTGAACGTAGTTTTCTTAGTAAGCCCTTACTCTATGGAAGCTTTTATTTTTATTTTCCTATGCCACTCCACTGCTCTCTTTACATGTAATCTTGTTTAGACAACGTTTACAATCGGTATTGCCGATTATATCAATTTAATTATTTAAATATATATTTATAGTATACATGCTGATCTACAAAATGACCTAAATTTGTTATTTTTCAGCTATGATACGATTTTTTTTATCTGAAATGAAAATTTTTATCGGAAAAATAACAATTATGCTTTAAAAATACAAAAAGTGCGATTAACAAATTACTGATTAAAGACAGTATCTACATAAATGAATGGAAGCTTTAATGGCTCCCTAGTATATTTAAAACATAAATAAATAACATCAAGCGAGGCGCAATAACTAATAATTTATAGATAGTTTTTGCTTCCATATTCGCTATCTTATAAAGTTGCTACATTGATTTTTTATTATTTCGATTCGGAGAAACATCTATGTGATCATCAGTTAGTATCAAAAATCATTACCGTATTGGCTATTTCAGACACTTGCTCCTGTGTTTTTGTTGCCGTATAGAATAATTTCGTATTCAAAAAAATGTCTATTAATGATCGTCAACATTTTGAGAATGTTTTTATATTTTATATAATACTAGCAGAACCCGCGGCTTCGCTCGCGCTAAAACTACAAAAAATCTTTTAAAAGGTAGTTTCATACAAACTTTCATCTTCTATTTTACCCCCTTTTAGGATGAATTTTAAAAAAATGCTAAAACATGTATTTATTTAATTTTATTCAAGATCATTAATACCAAGTTTCAAGTTATTCTGATCATATATATTTTTTGGATTGTATTTATTTGCGTATCGTGGGAATAAATCTCCCGCGGTAAAAAGTGGCCTATGTCACTCTTGAGCCCTCCAACTATCTCCGCACAATAACTCACTCTAATCTGTCACTCCGTTTCGAGGTGAAAGCAGGACAAACAAACAAACACACTTTTACATTTTTAGTAATAAGTATGGATGAAGGTCGTCTAGTTGTCTACGTCTTTTTGGCATCTAAAATACCTATTTATTTTCTATATTAGATACACTGGACTGGAATATTTATCAAACTTAGATAACGTAAATTGTAAGAAAACTTGTAAATACACGTTATATTAAAAATAATCTTTAAATGTTGCATAGACTTGAAAGTAACAAAATTTATAATTTGTTATCTATAATGTTGATTTGAATGATATTTGATGACATTATTATTATTAGAGTTCAAGTGATGGGTTGTACATTCGAGCCTCAAACAGGTAGAAATATTGTGCACAAAAATAACAATGGCACTTTAAATCTGGCAATCTAGCAAAAGCCATCGACTAAGTAGTATATAGCATTTATTAAATTCCAAGAATAATAATATAAATACATCTTATTTAAAACGATTAAACTAAAAATACAAAACGTGTCTTTAAGAGAATGGAGAATGGTTTTTCCACTCGATCACGATGGCATCAAGTCAGATCACAATTGATTGAATACCTAGTTTCACAGCATCCATCATTCAATATACTTACGTATGAGCTTGAAAACTCGAAAATGCTTTTTCCCTAAAATGTTGGAACGTATGTAACTCGAAAAAATGTTAAGAGATATTTGCAGTAAATGTAAATTATTTGATTGTTATATTTTATAAGAATTCTCAGTGTACTACGATGAAAAATAAATAAAAAATTAAAAAATAAACCGATTATCTTGGACCGATTTACATTAAACAATGCTAAGAACACTCCTGACCAACACACTTTTTAAACAAAACAAAAATAAAATCTAAATCGGTTCATCCGTTCGGGAGCTACGATGCCACAGAGAGACACACACAGACACGTCAAATCTTATAACACTTCGTCGTTTTTGCGTCGGGGTTAATAATACCTATTGTCTATGCGAAAAATTGAGTAAATTATACTTTTAAAAACAAATAGCCATTACAATATTAAAATTCTATATTAAAATTTCTCTAATATTGTTAGGTCCTTGTATAAGCTGACGCGACGCCCTCATATTTACAAAAGACTGGTTAAACAATACCCACGTGGGTGTACGCTTTTAGTTATTTTTAATTAAATTTCTCAGAATGCATAAAAATTAAGCTTTTGGGTGAAACATAACCTTTTCGTATGCATATATAAAGTAACAAAGTGTTTATTATAGCCATATTAAGGAATTATTACTCTTAAATAGAACAAGAGATACATTTTTATTTGGCTCGGTTTGAATAGATATTTTGGAATAGTAAAACATATATTGCACTAGCATTGCCCGCGGCTCCGCCCGCGTTCAGTTGACCAAAAACCAAATTCTTAGATTTTACATATTAGTATACTCCTACAATGCAGTTTTTGTATTTTTCTCAGAAATGAGATATTTTCCCGCGGTAAAAAGTACCCTATATGTTGACCCGGATAACTAGCTATCATCATACCAAATTTCATCAAAATCTGTCCAGTGGTTTTCTCAATTAGATTTCCCAAAAAATATTTAATGTACAGATTCGACTTAGTTACAATTTTATTATATGTATAGATTGCATACGACAAAGGTGTCGTACCATACGTAAGTATTTCCGTAAAATCCACAACTTCCAACTACGGTTTTACACATCTTCGCTAAAATCAGAGAAAATAAAAGAAGTAAATAGTATTACAAACTTCTCTATTCCAAGCGATATATATAATATGTACATTAGGGTGGCCCTAAAAAAACAAATATTTTTTTCGAGTCTTACGAAAATATGTTAGTTTATCATGTTTTAACTTTTTAAGAACCCACTTCAAAGCGCAGTTCAAAAAAAATCATCGCCAAAAAAATCCAAAATCCAAAATCATCGCCAAAATTTAAAAAAAAACCAAAATCGTTGAAGATTGTATTTTTCTTTTCAATTTTTTTTTTCGTCATTTCACTATTTTCTACTTTAAAAATGATTAGGACTCTGAAATTTTCAAGTTATATATTACGATATGTTACTCAACACTGTAACCTCCAAAAAGCTGTACTTTATTGGAATAGCTGTTATGTACTTTTAAAAGTCCGAGCGACCTTTTCGGAAAATCCTGTACAAAAATTATTCTCATATGTTTTGGATTTTCAAAAATACCTACTAAAATACAATAAAATATTTTTATCGTATTGTCTAATTACAGAAATAAGCATTTTAAATGTTATGAGCAACGCCTGAACTCGCGTGATTAAATGAATCGTTCCTGTAATTGCCGATCCGCTACAATTCTCAATAAGCTTATACTAATATACATACGAGTATATGTGACAGTTAAACTTTTATATCCGATAAGATTTAAGATAGAAAAATAGACTTTTGCAGAAGTACCTATACATTAAAATATTTAAAAAGATATAATTTATTAATGAATTTTGTCTATAATACTGTAATAATTTATATGAAAACATTATTATAATCTATACTAATATTGTAAAGAGGCAGCCTTTGTTTGTTTGTGTTTGTTTGTTTGTTTGTTTGTGTTTGTTTGTTTGTTTGTTTGTTGAAAAAATTTTATTGCATTACAGATAGTCCGTTTATTGAGGAAGGCTATAGGCTATAGGCTATATATCTCTCATCTCAGAACCCAAGTAGTATTTACTTTTGTTTGTGTATTTTATTTTTGTAATATATAATTTATAACGTATAATCTAATTAGGGTAAGTAGCGCTGCCGTTGTAATTGGATGTAAAATCTATACATATAATAAAATTGTAACTAAGTCGAATCTGTACATTAACTTTTTTTTTGGAAAATCTTATCGAAATAAACATTATCGATACAGAGGCCGAATCTATAGTTTTTAGAATTTTTGTCTGTCTTTCTGTCTGTTACCGCATCACAGAAACACCTCTGGAGGGATTTTGATGGAATTTGGTTGGAGGGAGTTGGAGGGAGTATGATGATAACTGGTTATTCAGTTCAACATATAGGATACTTTTTACCGCGGGAAAATATCTTATTTTTGAGAAAAAATACAA